CCGAGCAAATCTGCCACTTGACCCTTCACACATTTGGCCAAGCGTCGATCCACCATTCTTTGTCATTGCGTCTTCTCTTGTCAGGAAATGCTATTTTCTATGTGTTCAGTGCGGACTACGGAGTACTCCAAACAGTCAACGGTTGTTTCCAGAGCCGGACACGGTCTGATAAAACAGCAGCTTGTTCAACTGACGCCTTGGCTGCCTCCGTCGAGGTCCATCCAATTGACTGAGCGGTGCATTATTCCCATGCCGTGCAATACAATGCGATACGGTGCCTTCGCCGTTGAGGGCGATATGACATGAGCCAAGCAAATGCGGAGGTGATTTGGTGATATGGAGCATTTGAACTCGGCTCATTTATGCACTACTTTATATCAGGCCTGTCGTCGAACAGACGCGCAAGAAACAAGAGTCTGGTTATGACGGAGGATTAATACAATACTACTAGTGAAGCACACGATCGACTTGATAATGGTAGCCGTGGTTCGGAACAGGGCATACCCCTGCTTCCCTGCTTGTGCGAACCCATGCCGCCGAACGACATGGATGTTCGTCGCAGGGTTTCCAATGAGAAAGCTCGGTGCCAATGACGAGTTCAATTGAGGACCCCGTGATTTTGTGTCTCGGTATTTTATGGCAGGCACACTTTTCGTCAAGAGTAGCCCATTTGTAGATTTGGGTTGTTCGGATTTTGGCACGTCAACTGATTGGCATGATGACTTGGTCGAGAGAGATAGATGGCGGACAACAAAGTTGAAATACGACTCTTGGCAACTCCCCAAGGCACGAGTCAGTTCATAGTGATGGGGGTTCGGCGACACATCATCAATTACGGCGTGCTATGTATGGGCTAGAGAAATTTACATTGGCTTCAGTTACCCTAATCCACCAAGCTAACAATTTATAGGTAGGACAAACAACGAATCTAGCACATACGACCATAGCCGCTAGCAGCACTCACGATCCCGTCCGATCTCGTACGATAACCTAGCGAGCGCTGGATTAGTAGTTGGGTCGGTGACGACCAGCGAATACCCAGTGTTGTATGTAATCTTTTTGTATTTTTTGCCCAACATTCCAACTACCCAGGAATATGGCATATTTATGAAAAAGTATACAGTAAAAAACACCGTAGTACAACATGGTATTAATGGTGATAGTCAGCTACCTGGTCTAGTCAAAGGCTTTCTTTTGGCCTCCCGGGGGGGTGGACAGATTGGAGTTGACGCCGAACACAACTCCGCCTCCGCATTACACCCGCTGGGGATTTCTTCATTCTGTAGTGTAACGAATGGTCCAATGCCATGGATAGATGGTCAGCTCACCGTTGGACTGCAAGATAACTGGCGTCCGAGGCACCGAACACGCTCCCTCCATGCAGAGGTCGAGACTCGGCATCCGAACGGAGATTGAATCCACATCACATGCCGAGAGCACGCGGAGCATTCAAGGACAGCGGCCACGAATCTATAATGGTTTGTCACAGGGTTGGGGTAGTGGTTGAAGCAGTGGACCACTGCATAGCGCAGAAATCAAAGTAAATTTGATGCAAATGGCCGACTTTGAGAGTTCAGCTCATGTAGCGTGGAGGTGCGGTTGCCAGTCGACTGAGGGTGTATGCACGACACATCATACTTGGCGCTGTTTTGTGTGACCTATCGAGCCTGTTTCCATGTAGAGACCAGCGAGTACTGGGGATACTCCGCACCAGATTGATGATGATAATGGCGAGGCGAAGAGTCCATGCATATCGTTTCTGTAGCGTCGGACAAGCTTGGCTACGTCAACTCGGCACCGCATGGTGGGTGCATCGCGTATCGCGCCATGAAGATGTGAGTTTGAAGAACAGGGCATAGTCTCCAGGATGACGGCACTCTGGAGTCAGTCAGTCAAGATTGATGAAGGTCCTTGGTGCCGCCACAAGCTCGAGACGCCGTGGTTGCCGCACTTCTGGTCTGGCGTTTAGACCAGACCAGACCTAAAATGATTCAATGCTACCCTGTTGAGGCTCCTGCGGCGGCACCAGCCAACCAGGGGAAGGAGCGACTTGGCGAGGGTCCAGGCGGGTTGCGGTCAGGGCTCTAGAAGTGCTAGCACTTGGAGGGCGGAACACCCAAGTCTGCAGCGCCAAGTGCAGTGCAAGGTCTAAGTAAGATCAATATGCCAGTGAGCAAGTTGTAGTGAAGCCCGGCTCGCTACGGTGGGGTCCATGTGCTGTACGGAGTAGCTTTGACCCCTCCAGATGTCCGGTGCACCAACATTGAACGATTCAATCACTTAGCCCGCACTGTTGCTGGTGCGGAAATGTCTGCAGGAAAGAGCTGCAGTATCCCTGTGAGGCTAGCGCGACCAATCATTTTCAGGGTCGCTCAAAAATGCAGCTGGGGTGCTTCACTCTTCTATCTTAAAAAAAAACCATATAACTATCTAATACTACCTACCTACTTGGGGAGAGGGCCTTGAATCGGCATTGTGCATTCTTTAACAGCTATGCCCAGTCTCTGCTTTGCTTGGGCTCGTTAACGCTCTGGCCATTGGCTTTGTTTCCTCGTACGGGCGCCCTCCATCTTCTGATCTCGAGCCCCAATCCCCTCGAGAGTATCACGTCACCATAGCCCACGTCAAATCTCGCCTCTCGTCGACTCAAGCCTCGCTCGCAAAGGCGAGGCTGATGAAAGTGTTCAAGAGCCTTGCCAAACTGCCGCTGCAATGAGTTCACCAAATCACCGCTCCAGCCCGGTTCGCCGGCCCTCACTGCTGTCTCTCGACGACAACCATCACCACTATCCACTGGCCACTCGAACCGGTACTCTCGCCTCACTCATCCGCAGCCGCTCTCAACAAAGCTTGGCCGGCTCTTGGCCTCCTCCACTCCATCGCCATGGCACTGACGACGAGGAAGCTGGCCTGTGGATGCGTCACGACGAAGACGATGCTATCGAGCGCCTCCTCAAGGATGAGAATCGCTTGAGTCAGATTCTGAAGGGTCCATTGGCTCGAAGTATGAACCTGATTGGTAAAAGCAACCCTCGATATCGATGGGAGCGCTATTGGAAACATGACGACGAGTTGCAGACCATGAAGAAACCCATGTGAGTGAGACACATGCGCACACGAACCCATCTCTGAACTCGGGTTGACTATATACTGACTGTTGTGTAAGACGAGAATATTATGAGCGGACAAACGAGCTCATTGAACAATACATGTACATTGACTGTCTACTGGACTCTTCAATTCCTCACGATTTGCTCAATGAGTACAATGCCGAACTTGAAGCCTCTGCTTTCAAGCCCATTGATGTCCCCGCCACCATTACCGAGGAACCCGGCACATCTCAATCTCTCTCCGCGTCTCTATCAGCATCTCTTGCCGCTGAAATGGAGCAGCTTGCGCAAACCACTGGCTCGTATGGTACAGTCAACGGTAACGCCAACGCCAACGCCAACAGCTCCCCCGTCGATGAATTCTCCAAGCAGGTTGCGTTGCCACAAAAGCGGACGCCAAAGGACATCTTCCGTTCCTCGGAAAACTTGCCTCTACTAAAACACTCCCATGACGATAGTGAGGAGGAGGATCACACGGCACAACCCGCCCTTCCATCCAGCTCAAGCGACTCTGGCCCGCGGCCAAATCTTCCCTGGCTTGAAGATGCCGAAATCGACAGCGATGATCCAATTGTCACTCTTGCCATCTGGGTGAACATGATCGCCAACATTATTCTACTCGTCGGAAAAGTCGCCGTAATCATATCTGTGCCTTCTATGTCCGTTCTAGCTAGTTTGGTTGACGCAGTTCTCGATTTTCTTAGTACCGCCATTGTGTGGACTACCACGCGGTTGATCTCGGCTGGTCAACAGGATCAGCATCACTATCCCGTTGGACGTCGTCGGTGTGTATTTCCCAGCCACCCTCTAGCAATGGAACTGCAGCTCACCCATTCATAGATTGGAACCTGTAGGAGTTTTAGTCTTCTCTGTCATTATGGTCACATCATTTGTCCAAGTTGGCCTAGAATGTATCCAACGTCTTGCAAAACCCGAACATGAGATTCTCCAACTCGGTCTCCCCGCCATCATCATTATGTTCAGCACCATTGTCATCAAGGGCGGATGCTGGGTTTGGTGCAGACTAGTCAAAAACTCTAGCGTTCGAGCCTTGTACGTTCCCGAACTCTTCCTCAAGCATAGCATCCACTAACGCATTTATAGAGCCGACGACGCCAAAACCGACGTCATTTTCAACGTTGGCTCAATCTTCTTCCCCATTGGTACGGATAATAGGCCCCTCTGCTCTACAAATCCATTTCTGACTTTTTATAGTCGGCTTCTACGGCCGAATATGGTGGCTCGACGCTGCTGGCGGTCTCCTTCTCTCTCTTGTCGTCATCCTCACATGGAGTCAAACGTCCGCTCATCACGTCCGTAACCTCACTGGTTTATCGGCCCAGCCCGACGAGCGTAACCTCCTCCTCTATCTCACCATGCGCTTTGCAACCGCCATCCGACAGATTCAGAACCTGCGCGCATACCATGCTGGCGACAAATTGTTTGTAGAAGTGGACATTGTCTTATCGGCTGTTACGCCGCTCAAGGATAGCCACGACCTGAGTGAAGTGCTGACGTATTTTTTGGAGTCGGTGCCCATTGTGGATAGGGCATTTGTGCATGTAGATTACACGAGTTATAATGCTCCGACGCACATGCAGAAGCAAAGTTCTGCATGACCCCGTAAGTCTGAGGATTCGAGGCTACGGGGTGAGTGACGCAAGATGAAAAGTTACGGGAACTCGGGTAGACGGATATTCTTGGAGAGGCAGGGCATCAATCCTGGCGGGAGCGGTGTACTATGCAAGTTACACAGCGAACCATACAAGCTTGTATTTTATGCGATTGTATGTTATTATTACTTGGATAACATGGGAAAATACAAAGCACTAGACAAAACTTTGACTTGAAAAACAGAACAGAAAACCCAGTTGGATCAAAACAGCACCGTTAGTAAGGGATACCGTTCGTAAGCAACTGGAACTGGTCATAGACGCCAGTACTATAACTGGAATAACTCGTCTTGATCAAGCCCTTCATGAAATTGGCCGCCTCCCTCTCCGACTTCTCCAGCACAAATCGTTCCTTGAAGTGCTTGACACTCTCCGGCTTGAAACATGGCAGGCCGCTGTCCATCATGAGCAGCACGATCTGGCTAAGTTTCTCGCAATACTGTCTGCTAGCGAGGAAGGACTTGACGCACAGCTCCTCGAACCACTTGAAGCTTTGGTGGTCGGTTGACCCGCCCATGACAGCCACCATTTCGCTGGTCAACTTGAACGGTGCGCGCTCGAACTTGATCCCTCCAGGCGCGATATCGAAGCAGAAGCCAAAATCAATATGCAGGATGTGGCCGGCATCGTCAATCATAATGTTTCCGTTGTGGCGGTCCTTGAATTGGAGCAGGAACGAAATGACAGAATAGGCAGCCATGGATTTGACAAAGTTGCTGCGGGCCCGTTGGAAGCGGAGGGAGTCTTCGTTGCCGTACTTGGAGATGAAGTAGTCGTAGAGACCGTTGACGGCTTCTCGGCCAAGCATATCACGGGAGATGGAGTTGGGTAGCACGTCAATGACACCGCATCCAGGAGCCGTGGCAGTGACGCGGTATGGGAAGACGTAGACATCCAGGCCCACGCTGTGGAAGATGCCACGGAAAGCGGAAATCATCTGCAGAGCTAAAACGTCCTGCCTGCAGTCGTCACCAACCTTGAAAATAGCCGACTGCCACACCTCAATAGTGCGGTCCTGGAATTGATGTTGCTCTTGCCCCTTGTCCTCCTGTGTTTGTTCAAGGTCCGCACCGTTGACCTCATCTCCGCCACTCTTGTTCTTGCGAATACGGAATGTGGCCATGTAAGGCGCTTTCGCGTGACTCTGAAGGGGTTTGCCAGACTTGCGGTCGATGCCAATAACAACACCATCGGGGTTGCTGGGCAGATAGACGCCGACCTCGACCTTGATCTTGCGGAGTTCCTCCTCAATTTTTTGTTTCTTCTCGGGCTTGGGTCTCTTAATGAGGGGTTTAAGCTTGCCAGAAATGCCAGTAACTTCGTCAAAAAAGGCAAATTCTCGTTCGTAAAAGTCTCTGTCCAGGGGAGCAAAACTTTCTACCATCTTACTCCTGACGCCATCAAGAGCGGGCTTGATCTCATCCGGTACCTGAGCGTCATCATCCTTATACGAGTTTGCCTTCATATTCCAAATAATTTGATGTGCAAACAACTGAGAGAACTGTGCAGTTTCCAAGATGTAACGCTCGACGTAGCCCAAAGCATCATACCTGAGCGTCTGCACAATTTGGGGAACGTAGAAGAAGGTGATGTCTACAGAATGACTCTCTAGCGCCCGCATGGCATACTGGATAATGAACGGATGGTTCTTGTAGGCTGGCAAGAACATGGTGACGGCTGTCAGGGGGTTGACAGGCTCCCAAACGAGGAGGTACTGAAATACGTTAGAATGCTGCATACAGCGCACGCAGCGGCAGAAGTATGCGGTCAACTTACTTTGAGCTGTGAATTTACATCATCAGGTAAATGTCCTCCAAATATCAACGGTAAAGCTTCTGGGTCAGAGATTGCCTTCTCGGGCGCGGACAAGAGCAAATGTCTAACATCCCTGTGAAGGCGAGGAAAGTTGAACCTCGTGGCAAGCTCAATAGCAATGGAGGGGTCCTGCTGCCAGGCTGTTTTAACCAGAGGAATCAGTGCATTCTCAATGGACGACTTTGACGTATTGTTTGCGGACAATTGCAGTCCTTGTTGGCTGAGAGGGTTGATCCAGACCGCAAGCCTTGACTGCTCATTTTCCAGCAGCAATTGAAGCAGCTGTTCCTTGGCGTGCAGAGACTTGGCATTGCCAACGGCAGAGGCTCCAGTAACAGAAATCGCCTTCATGGCCGCCAAGACATCAGCAATCAATCGAACTTCAGTCTTCAACTGAAGCAGGTTACTGCCAAAAGACCACTTGGGGGCGTTTCTGAACCAACCAAGACCTGCGGACAAAATCTTATTCCTGAACCTGAACTGTGCCATTTCCCCAATTGACGTGCTGGAGGAGCGAAGGACCTTGAGGCCAAGTAATACTAGCTGAAACCGCAGTTCTCGAGCCATGGGGTGCGAAGGAGCTTCTTTCAGAGCAGTCAACGTGAGGTCTAGCATGCGCAAGAACACTTTTTGTATGTCACAGCTCCCCAGGAGAGTAGCGTTGAAGTGACTGGTGAAGAATTGCACAAGCCGAGTGTGCGGCGACAGCAGGTCATGGACTGCCTGTCGCTTCTTGGCCATGAGCTCAAGGTCGCTCGGAGCAAACTCTTCCTTCAGGAAAAACGGATCGGGATGTGCCAATGCCGAGCTAAAAAGTCCAACTTTTTGAGAAATAGTAAACTCCCACTGCTGGGCAATGCAGTTCAAAAGTTTTGGCTCCAGTCGCGGATTCTCATTCATTACACCGAGCCACAGTGAAACACCAACCTTGATAGACTGCTTGGTAAACAATGCGAAGGGTATACTAACGAGATATCTCGTAACTGCCGACTCATCCCGGTAGCTTCGACAGAGCAAGGCCGCAGCTCGTCTCAAGATGTCGCGGACTTCGTTCAAAGGCGTTGCCTTTTTGCTCAAAATGCGGGCCTCAACATGAGCCAGGGCAGTTGCGGCGTTGGCGCTCTCGGTCACATGTGACTGAGAAAAGGACAATCGTCGATTGACACTCATGAAGCTAATCAGCTCATTTCCATGATCTGGTAACGTCTCGCCATATCGATACTCTTGTCTCGTCGTATACTGAGCAATGAGATCCGAACCCGTGTTGATCTCACAAGTACCAACTTTTTCCAGAGACTGAAGCCGGTTGTCAGACAATGGGATGATGGCGCCCAGCTCTAGTGCAAACGACCTGCCCAGAGAAATGTTGCCATAGGCACCCTCGTTATCAAATTCAGAAAGGTACGTCTGTAATAAGCCCTTGACATCCATGGGGGCGAGGTTAATAGCCGCGGTAACCCAGACTTTGGCTTTACGGTGTAGATGATCGAGGGTCCAACGGCGGAAATCATAGTCGTCGGACAATTCCACAGTCACTTTCCCGATGTCCGACTTGAAGGTGGATTCGGGTGCGTAAAGATCAGTTTCGGCCTCGAGGCAACTCGACCACATGAGCGACAGCAATTCAAGAAGAGCAAAGAGTGACTTTCTCTGGCACAGAGCAGATGGAACATCCCGAATGATGCGGTCTGCACATGTAAATGCAGCTTGCTGTACACGCTCAATGCGATGACAACAAATGCAGAAAATATTTGCCAGCTGTGTTGCTGCATACTGTGCTGAAAACGTGGGCTCCGAACCAGCCAGCGTCTTCTTGAGATACTTTTCGACAACTGCAGCAGCGATGCCTTCCATTGTGCTGCTTACTTCGCCCTTGCGCATGCTGGGTTCTAAAAAGTAAGACAAGACCTTTGTGCAGTCACCCGTATCTGCTCGTAGACTCTCGACAAGGTAGGCGGCCTGTAGGAATATTACTTTGCGATAGCTGAGGCTCTTGATGTCGGATACCTTGGATGGAATCAACTCAATCAGGAATTTCTTTTGTGCGGCTTCTCGCTCCCCACTGTTTGCACGTCTGAGCACCGTGTTGAGTTCGATGTCACTCTCAACGACTTCCATTCGTTCCCCAGCTACCAAGGGGGGCGAATGAACAGCAATGGTACGAAGCTCATTAATGTACTTCCTGCCACGATCTGTGGTTGTGGTGAAGCCGTGAACAACAATGTTGAACCACGCATCCTTGAGTAGCAGATACGTCTCATCGTCATCAACGGGGTTCGATGCAACATCATTGCTAGACATGAACACTGCCAAGGGATGCAAAAGCTCGGCAATCTCTTGTGCAGCCAGCTGCACGTCTGACTCCTTTGTGTGGTGTGGAGATTCAGCATCACCCAGTGAGATGATGGCGTCAAGCAGATGTTCCCAGTAAATGTTGAAAAGGGAAGAGTCACGACGCAAATTGGCGGAAATGTATGTACGAGCCTTCATGACAGCGGTCAAGAGAAAGTCTTTGTGGTCCACAACGCCAATGTGACAAATTCTGCTATACGTTTTGAGCAATGAGCGAAACTCTAGCTGTCCACCTTGGAGAGAGAGCTTGGCTGCGCCAGAGATCACCTTGGTATCAACACTGGCGCTGACCTTGTCAAGCTTTTGAAGGAGCATTGACTGTGCCAAGGCAATGATCTTCTCGTCGCCAGACTCGGTGGCAATGGTGCAAATGGCTTTCACCACATTGCCATAGACAATAGCAGTCTCTTGCTCGCCATTCATTAGAAGTGATATTGAACTACCAGTGGAATGACGGCGGCTATAGCCTCCGGGAGCTGAGCCTTCATCGGCCCCGGCCATGCCATTAGCGAGACCGTTGACAATTTCTGCTTCAGCATCCGGGCTCAAGACATTTCCGAGGGTGTAAAGAGTACTGATGATGGCGTCCTTTGATAGCAACTTTAGGACAAAGGCCAAACTCTCGGAGGCAACTTTGATAGAGTCGCTATGTGGTGTCGTCTGGACCAAGAAGCGAGGAAGGGCACGGCTGACAGATGACGAATACGATGGTGAAATTCGGCAAATGAGGGCCATGCATCGCAGAACAACGGCAGCGAGGCCAGGGTCAGACATTTGCAAGGTATCTTCCAGCGTCTCTTGCAGCCAACCCATGAGTACATCGGAATCGGCAGCATCTTCATTGAGGATTGAGCAGTTCAAGTGGGCAATCATGGCAGCAGCCTTGACATCATATGCCAATTTCTGTTGATCCGGTGAGCCCAGGAGAACAAAATCAGCACCAGCATCAAGGTAATCCATTTGTTCGGTAGCAATTCCAGCATACACCTCGATCGATCTCAAATCTCCGTCTAGGAGCCCTCGTTGTTCATTCAAGGCAGATCTATCTTCAGACATAAGCAGATCAAGAACGTGCTGCCTGCGAAGGGCGGGTCCATCTGCAACCATTAACGATGTGCTGGAGAGTACAAGCCACATAAAGCTACGTTGGATGATCAAGGCACCAAGCGGCCGTCCCTGGGATGCATAATGGCGAAGCAATCGTTTCCATTCTCGAACCTCGTGGGTCTGACTATGAGAGTTTCGAATGGTCGATAAAGATGTCTCCACTGCAACTAGAAATGGTTCTGACAAGAGCTGGTTGATCTTTTGGATGAGTCCCAGCCTGCCCCCGGATTTCCAAAAGTCAGCCTGGGCGCAAGCGGCGTCCAGGAAACCTAGGAGGGCCAGGGCAATGGTTACGGTACGAATTGCATCGTCGACAGGAAGGCTTCCTGGGTCTCCAGATTGTGGTGAGAGTACACTTTCAGTCGCTCTTCCACAAGCATTGGTAAACGCCCATATTCCATCGGCAACGGTCTCCTTTAGGTCGATATAATTGGTGCCCAGAGAAAGAAGCGCCGCAGTAAGATGAAAGGCCAGGGACTCGGTCGGTGACGGCTCGACTTTGCGGAAAAAAGGCGACGACGCAAAGACTTGCGTATGCGCTTCGAGAATATAGGGGATCAATCGGTACGAAAGTTTTTGAGCGCTCTGGCCAGATTGAATGCTGGGTGCAGTTTTGCATAAAGCCAGGAGAACCTCGAATTCGCGAATTGACTAGGCTTATGTTAGCCCAAGGTTTCAAATTTTACAATGCACAATATCTCCAGACCATTGGAATACGACCCAAGGAGCCAGCTTGCTTAGTGCTGTATCCCCCATGGTTATATTCTCGGCCTCGTGCTGAGTGACAGGCACGGCATAGCTTGTCGAGATCGGACTTGTCGAAGGACGTGGTGGAGCTCGCCGCCGAGAGTGCTGCTATGCGCTCAAGTGCTTTGGCGCGAATATCTCGCGTCATGTTGATTGAAAAGCGCTATTGCATGAGGGAAGAATCAAAGGTGATGCAATGTCAAGGAAAGGAAGCTTCCAAAGAGAGCAGACACGTATGATAGTTTGCCTCGGCAGCAGATGTGAAAGTCGATCCAGGGATCTCTCACCCCTGCAAATGGCGGTGGCTTCCTGGTCGGGGGAACGTGGCTGCCCGTTCTGAGTTCGCTTAGTCATCCAAGCTTCCCCAACGTGAAGCACCGACCACTACGCAGCTGGCAAGGCTGCAGCTGGCCTGACGACGCGCGCATACATTACAGGCCATCTCAAACTCCATCTTCAAACAACTCGAAAGCATCATCCTCGACACAACCGCCGTCTGCCCGTCGCAAGCCGTCCTCACATCAAACCGCATACCGCCGTTTGCATTGTTGCGACTCCCACCGATCGCCAATATGGCCGCCATGTTTAGCCAAAACCCGGTCATGAATGGCCCCAACTACTCCTTTTCGGATGCTCCCAGGACGAATGGAGAGCCTCGCGAGCATCGCTTCAATCCGTCAGTATCTCGCAATAGGATTTTTTTCATTATACGTTCGTCGAGCTCGATATCATCTAACACAAATGCAGTTACACCGACAATGGCGGTTCCACGCTAGGTATCGCTGGTGCCGACTTCACCATCATGGCCGGAGATACCAGACACACCAGCGGCTATAGCATCAACTCCCGAATGGCGCCCAAAGTTTTCAAGATTGGTGGTTCAACCTCATCGCAGGATGATGCAACCATTGTACTCTCTGTTTGTGGATTCGCTGCCGATGGCACCGCCTTGAGAGACCAGCTCGACACCATCTGCAAGATCTATCGCTACCGGCACGGCAAGCCTATGACGCTGAATGCCTGCGCCAAGCGGTTGTCCACAATTCTATACCAGAAGCGGTTCTTCCCATACTATGTGACAGCCATGTTAGGCGGCCTGGATGAAGAGGGAAAGGGTGCTGTGTATTCGTACGATCCTGTCGGTAGCTACGAACGAGAGCAGTGCCGAGCCGGTGGTGCTGCGGGAAGCTTGATTATGCCTTTCCTTGATAACCAGGTCAACTTCAAGAATCAGTATGTCCCCGGAAGTGGTGAAGGCCACAATCTGCAAGAGAGAGAGCGCCATCCCCTGTCTAGAGCTCAAGTCGAGACCATTATCAAGGATGCCTTTGATGGCGCGGTGGAGCGTCATATTGAGGTTGGCGATGCCCTTCAGATGCTCATCATCACCAAGGATGGTATTGAGGAGACCATACTTCCGATGAAGAAAGATTAAGCGTGATGAAGGGTGCTCTTTGTACAATAGCCTTACTTTCAACAGGTTAGAATGGAACTGAGATTATCAATATTGGCAGGCGAATACGCTCTATTTGTGCTTGTGTGAAGATCACATCTCTATGCCCTACCCATTGTTACGGCTGGCCTCAAATGAATCATCAACATCGAAATACATTCTTTTCGAGGTTTCTGCGGCCGCATGTACTGACAATCAGCTCGTTTGTTCAGGCCCAGCGATAAGTTGAGCATGGAATAAAGGAGTTCAGATGGTGAGGTGCATGACACGCGTCGAACTTGAACGCGAATGCCACACAGCTATACGACAGCCCGAATCACTGGATTGATTTACCACATTTTTACGAGTTCCTCGGTGGAATCGTTCTTGGGGAGGCCTGCGTGAGCAAGGTCATATCAAGCACCCCTGGCAATTGTGTAACTCACCCCAGATTATTTTAAAAATTCTTGTCTGATTAACAAAGATTCTTAAACGGAGATTTTACATATCTTAACGGCCAGTATGAACAGCCAGTCCGGGTTCCAAGGCGTCGAGTTTGCCATTAAGTGTGTAAAGCTATTTATTTACATACGTGTATTCAACTTGTTGAATGCTCCGATTTGGCAGCGTATGATGATGGTGTAAAGCAACGAGTATTTAGCCAGATACGTACCTGGTTGACTCGGTCTAAACGATAATAACCTGCAGTCTGTAAGTGTATACGCCTTGGTGGGCAATTACATATGCCAGGAACCTCCATGCTTTGTTGTACATCCGGATGAATTATAGGTTGTAACACATGCCCAATAAAACAAGTAACAGACTACGCAGATGAGTCAGATATAGTAATATAGACAGGTTCATAAAATCAATATACTGAATTATTGCCACGAGTCTAGTCTAGCAGACCATGCCGAACCATTCAGAGTCCGTCTACGTGTTCGATTAATAGGGTAGGCCGTGTTGTTTAGAGTCTTCCAATTGCTCAACCTACCCGGTAGGCTTCTGCGATTCAATACCATCTCAAATTGCTCCACCGAAGCGGACCAGCTTCTTCAGCTGTCTATGACGTAACCCCGCACCTCGATGGTTGTCTGACCATTTTCCTGACGTATTCCAAGGCTCTCTTGACTTGCCAGCAGCAAGTCATTAATGCCGAACTGATGTCATTATCAGCCAAGTGGGAGCTAAAGAATGTTTCTCTCAGATTCCACACAGTTAACACCGAACCGCAGAAAGTCTCATTCCTCGGCGACTCTCATTTGTCAACGACGATGAATGGGGAAGGTGCCCCATTACCGATCATCTGTGCATTGCACATGCTGACATGAGACCCGACTGCTCACGCCAGATATTGACACAAACATTTTCCAAATTGAGACGCCTGGTAAAGAGTAGCAGCCAGACATCTCCTCATTCCCGCGAGCCACCGCAATGTGAGTGGTTGAATGGTTAGTGTACATGTATGTTGGACTTTGCGCGAACACCCACCCCCCTGGAGGCTTTGAGGCGCTATTTTGCTGGGATGATGACGACAGAAATCAGGGACAGGGTCGCGCGTGTCGTAGGCCACGACGCGAAGATGGCCGTGCCTACGTCATTCCGTCAGTCGGCAGATCATCTGAACGGCCCTCCCCAGCATGAGCCAGTGAAGGTGGTGGCAAAACGCCAGCTACTTACCGATTTGGCACCCAACCACTTACGCGCAAGCATCGACGAACCACCTGACGACATCCCAGATAAAACTAGAGAAATTCTTTCCCATTACTCCGTACACTCGGACGAGATGGACCCTTGTTGTATGGGCGAATGACATCATATCATTGTGCTGGAAGCGAAGCTGCATTTAGGTACAGGTATCGATGCGGGTTGGCGCGGCACGTACTGCTACCTTAGAGAACTTGCCGAGGACTATCGACCGTATTGGCCCGATATGAATTTTGGCATTGGACCACGGGGCTGGCATTGGAGGGCGCGGTCAGGCCGTGCCGTCCAAATGCATGCCACCAACCAAGCAGAGAGGAGAGTCAAAGGCATTCAGATGATATGCTGCCCGTCCAGCCCAAAGTTTGTTCCGGCGGTGGTATTGAATATGGCCTTGGTGGGTTACTCTGATACCTGTGTGTAGACATACGTCATGGCGGGCGGTATTTCCGATGCACGAGCATAACCGTGAAGTTGAAATCCCATCCCCCAAGGTGAGTCCAACTCCACAAACTAAAGGAGGCCGTGCCCCAATTAGAACGTCGGCAGATCTTTTGTCTCGGCCGTGTCCAATTGAGGCCTTCATCTTTAAGGGGCTCTCGGGATGGATGGAAACCCTGCAAATAGTTGACTGGCTTGTGGGCCACAGCAAGACCTGACGGGTAGAGTCGCCTCGTACCGAGTTTTGCTAAAGAAAGCTTGTCATGCACATCAAAGTCCCGGTCGATGACCGTGCCACAACGAAGTCCGCAGGAGGTTTCTGGGGCTTAGGGTCGGTACAAAGTCATTCTGCCCGAATTTGGCCACACTTGCCCAATGGCAACTAGAAGGCCGGCCTCATCGCAGGTGGCCTCACGAGATAAGCATGATGCCGTTTTATTTCATTCAGCTTCCTTTGAAGAGTCGGGGTATTCGGCGGGCAAAAAGAAAATAAACTAATGGATTAATTAGCTTAGTAGTACATATATCATCGTAGCTCGTCAGCGATAGCTTGCCAGGATTTTCAGGGTCCTCGCCACGTCTCCCCGTAATTATCTGCGGTGCCCAGTGGATTCGTGATGCAGGCACGCCAGAATCCTGTTCCGTTTGGCCGTACGATATCCATTAATGTACTCCGTAACTCCTGGATTCTGATGGAGGCTAGACAATGGTATCGGTCTAAGCGAAGCCTAGCTCCGACTCGGAAGTCAAAGTAGCAGCGACAAAAATTGGCATCGTGGACGCGAGACTTGCTGTTTGGCTCGTAGTCACCTCTCGTCAAATTGACCTGGAGGTGGAGACAGGTAACCTGATCGCCGCCGCATGCCTCTTTTTGGCTCCGAGAGCAGGTACTACCACATCCCGAGTCGCGTTTGGGTCTCTCCTTTCTGGTGGATAGACCGGTAGGGCATAGTACCATCCAGCATCACCCTTGCTCCGACCACACAGGCTGCCAGCTCATCCGGTCTCCGTGAAGCCATGTCCGCTTATTATGGGTCAGAGTCATTTGGGCTCATTTGGCGTTTGGGTTTGTCGAAACCGCCTCTGTGATATTTGGCGTCGGCGTCATCTCAATCCCTAGGTACCTAGGTAGTTGCTCGGCAGGAAACTGGGCTTGGCAAAACGAGGTGTCCAGGCGCCACAGCCCTGTTGGTAGCTCAGTGCCGTTATTCTGTCAAGGTTCGATACCCCAGGCACCTAGGGAGGTGATGTGGGCATGGACAATACAGGCCAAGATGCACTTGTGGCTGGAGCGTGAAATCGCAGATATGGTGCGCCGTCCGCCTCGTCAAGTCTTCGCTAGGGTTCTGTAGCATTCTTCTCTTGGAAATTGTTCATTTGTGCCGTCAAGTGCTGCATTAGGCACCTTGGTATCTTTGTACTCACTTGAGCAACTGCTGCGGGTGCTAGTTTGGAAAGAGGCATCGACTGACTGCTCTTGCTCGCTTACAGTAGACCCGAGACAGTACCCGGAACCAAAGCGTCATTGGCGTCGACCAACTTCTACTAACCACGCCCATACACAAGCCCCTCGGTGGCTAATATCTCGAACCCAATTCCTCCTCTTCTTTTGAACTCATTACAGGACCGCTAAGCTGCTGAGTCGCACTCACTGCCGACGAAATTCTATGTTGCTGATTCACAGGTCGACTACTTCTCAGCCTCTGCCCTGGTTCCCTCACTAGTGAAAATAATGGGAATTATCTACACCGCAGTCTGAGCTTCGAGGACCCCTACAATACATGGATACATCTTTCTTCGCTGGAATATACGTAGGGTCGACAAAGGGATATAAGCCGGGCACCGATAGAAAGACTTGCCGCGCCTACTCTCTAGAGGCTCGAAAAAAGGTCTAAATCAACGCGGGCATCCAGGCCGGACGGAACCATCGCGGTCCGACCAAGAAAAACGGTCCCTTGAATTGTGTTGAATTCACTCCACGGCTTGATTTTTCTTCTTTGTACTATCCTCTGTCGTATAGCCTGAAGAAGCCTTGGTCGGAAATACCTAAGCTGCAAGGGCTTTCTTGGATTACATACCACACACAGGACTATCCTGCACCCTTGACGTTGTCTCGCCGGCCGTGGGGCTGTGAGGGTCAAAAGGCTTCGGGCGTCGTAACGAGAAGTCCTGGGTTTTTTCGGGCTATTGACAGGTCCGGTTATTGCAATCGGATACCTGTATCCGTCTCAAGCCCCAGCATCATTACTACTCCTCTCACACCTCCCTAGCGCATCCCACCTTGTTAATTCAACGGATCTGCTTGTTTACTCAGCCCTGTCGTCAGTATCTGATCACAGGGGTGGCTCATTCAACTCAATTTCTAGCCAGGATCCAAGAAAGTGGTGCTGCCTTGCAAGTCTGATTGATTCGCAGCCCAAAGCTCCGAATAGGCCCAGTCCAGCTACTTTTCAAGAGATATTCGCCACTCGGCACTCTACCTGGGGTTCAAGCTTGGAGAAGATTGAATACCTTGCTAGAAGCTTTTCAGGGTTCTTCTTTCAAGTCGTCATCTGCCCCCCAAATTCCCACCGTTTGAAACAGCATCCTACTTGGCTTGGCTGTCAGCTGAGTCGTTCCTCTAGACGCATTGCTACACTCTTGTTTTATTGAGTCTGCGCGCTTTTCTACATTCTACATTGTCTGGTGAACCAATTGACCTTTGGTTTCTCTTTTCGTCTCGAGGAGGGAGGATAATTCGATCATCCACAGTCCACAGCCAAGGCACTTATGCACATCTTCATTGCCCAATACCCTTTCGCATTCCTCGGACCATTACCTCCGGAAAATCCACATTGTATCTGCAATTAGATATTTGATACCAGCTCTACCCATTGGTGTTAAGGATCGCAAAAGCATCACCAGAGCAGGACTTGCCTGACGAGTGTGCTATTTATCGGCTTCTTGTACGGAACAAGCATTTTGCGCTTCTTTTTGTTGAAACAAATCGCCTAGCCGCATCGGAAACGCGGTCATTATTTCAGCCCACTTCACGAAGAATCGCGGAGGTTCTGCAGCACTAATTAGCATCCGCATTTATTTTACGTTAAGCAATATTCGACTTCAGTTCAAACCGATAGACCGATAGACCTAGGATACGGCTTCGAGTACTCGTATGACCTAGTCATCGATAAAAACTCTGTCTACGTTGACATCCTCGATCAGCTTTTGCAGAAGGCCAGAAGACCGGAGGCCAAAAAAATCGCAGTTTTGGCACTTGAATATCCGCAGCGAATATCAAATGCAAAGCGATTCTGTGAGCCGGACACAGGATGCTGGTCAGCTTGACGCTCCTCGCCAAACTCCTACATTTTTGTCCGCCAACCCGAACTCAAATTCCGACGAAGCTAGTGAATTACCGCCAGCTGCTGTGGAACAAGTCCAACACCAATACCCCTATCAACCTGGCCCCTTGCAGCAAACCCCAGCGCAAGCTACGATGGCATACCAACAACCGCAGGGCCACCAAGAGGCTTTCGACCTAGCTCCGATGAATAACACGTTGCTCGCCATTAATTACCGACCACAGTATTCAACTCAATATCTTCAAGGCCATAGCCAACCATTTAGCTCAACCACATCACCGCCCATGGCTCATCAAATGACCCCTATGCCACAGTATGGTGGTGCAGCCATTCCGATGCCAAACCAAGCATATTATGTCCAACAACAGCAGATCCCTCAATACTATTCAACCAGTCACCTATCTCAGGTCCAACACCCAATACCGGTGCAGGGACGCCAGGATATGGTTTACTATCACAACCAGATGTTGATGAGTCCTGCTCAAACGAGCTTCTACTATCCCCACAATGGCCAGTATTCAGGCCATCCACCAGCAATGCCTACAATGGTATCGGGAGTATTTGTAGATGGTGTTTCGAAATCTCAATCTCGCAGTCCTCCGCATCAGGCGAATGGAAATGTTGCTGCTAGAAGACCATACGACCAAGGTAGACCAACCGTGAATCAAAAGCAACTAGACAATCGGGAACTGACCCAAAAAACAGACGCGCCTTCAGCAACGCAGAATACAGTCCGGGGCCCTCCAAGAAAACCGCGACAGAGCGGCCACGCTCTTTGGATCGGTAACCTACCACCTCAGACCAACCTAATGGCCTTGGTTCATCACGTGTACCAAGTAACACCCGGAATGGAATCTTTATTCCTGATTTCCAAGAGCAATTGTGCCTTCGCCAATTTTAAAGATGAGTCTGCTTGCTCCACTGCACAACAAAATCTACACGATTCCAAATTCCAGTCTGTCCGACTCGTCAGCCGATTACGAAAAAGTGCAGTTGAGGGTTCCACAGGTAGCACCGTGCCTACTGGTCCTGCTGTTAATTCGACGCCATCAAAAACACAGGGAGGCATTGACATAGAGAGTGTTAATGATGACTCGGAGAAAAAGAATCCTCCTACAGAGTCAGAACTTGTTGCCAAACTCGCTTTACCAGTGGCCAGGCGCGATAGTAAATCTCACCAGTACGAGGACAAATTCTTCGTCTTAAAGAGCTTGACAACGGAAGATTTGGATCTAAGTGTGCAAACCGGTATTTGGGCGACGCAATCACACAACGAGAACAACCTCAATGATGCGTTTCAGGCAAGTCGGCCGATAAGTGAACTAGGACTTGATATATGTGTGGTTAATGTACTAACTGACTCGGTATAGGCCGCGGATAATGTTTATTTGATATTTTCAGCTAATAAATCAGGCGAGTATTTCGGATACGCACGTATGATTTCCGAAATCAACGAAGATCCTGCCGCCGCAATCAAGTTCGCACCAAAAGTTGCATCTACTGCCAATGTCGATCTTCCGATAGCGATTCCCACAGATGCCACTGAGCATGCCCCCAGGGGCAAAATCATAGATGATTCCGCACGAGGCACAATATTCTGGGAGGCGGAACGAGACGATTCTGAAACCGAATCTGATATGGAGAGCGAAAGCACAAGTGACAACGCCAATGGTACAGAAGATGAAACAAAGACATGGGGAAAGCCATTCAAGTTAGAATGGCTCTCCACCAGTCGTCTTCCCTTCTTCCGAACTAGGGGTTTGCGGAACCCTTGGAATTCAAACCGAGAGGTCAAAATCGCTAGAGACGGCACCGAGCTAGAGCCGGCTGTTGGGCGAAGGTTAATTGGTCTGTTCAACCGCGTACAGAATCCAACCATTGTTGCAACTTCTGCACGTGCACAAATGAACTTTGCGCCTGGATATCCAATGATGCGACCATATTAATAGCAAATGAATCATCCGGGTGGGTTTTCAACCAGGACGGGTGTACTCTACTACGCAGTCAGGGCAGTCACTGGAAGCAAGAGGTGAGGCGAATTTTGGAAGGGAATCTTGGAATGGAATCGAACCAGCGCGTCAGTCGGTGCTGGGGCTAGGGCGGGTTTGGGTAGATCAGAGAGGTGAATCATTAGGTCTGCATACGGATAATGACGATGATGATTATTTCTTTCATATTTCATGTGATGGGGGGTTAACGAATGTATATCCGGCAGATTGGTCAGGATTTAGGCGCGTCGAGCGTCTTTGGGAGATCAAAGGCCATGTCCTCGATTATGAATTCAACAAAAAAATGCTGCTTAAGAAAACTGAATCGATGCCATGTTATCCCATACAAGCCTCAAGGATAACACATCATCGGGAGTTTTAAGCTCGTACAAGAGAAGATACTCCTGTATCCTCGTTAAATATTGATGAATCGCGAGAATTGCATCAACAGATGAAGTTGGATACAACCGTGGCTTGTGAGTGGCGATGCGTTTTGATACGACATCTATGAACGAGATGTGGCTGGGCAACTGTCACACGGAGTTTACTCCGAGTCACGTCGCTGATGGTGCAAGGAGAGCTGTCGCGAATCACAGCACCCCAACGACGAAGCTATATTAGAGACTTGATTAAAGCATTTCGGCGCATAAAGTGAGAAGATCGTTCTTGTCCCTACTTGGGACTACAATTACAGTTAATTTCGGTATGCTACATTTCTCTATCTTGCTATTGATCACCTCGACAAGCAAGCGAAGCTCTTCAGGTCGAATTTGTGCCGGTGACGTCATTTCACTGTGGACATTTATGTACGTACTTGGGCCATTGCTGTCTTATTCAGCAGCATGTGCAGGGATCCTGCAGGTACAAGGTACCTCCACTGTGTGCTTGCGGCCGCGATGGCACAAAAATCAGTGAGAGCTTAAGTTGATCTGGAAACCTGGATACTTAGCAGGTTCGTCAAGAAAAAGGTTTTTGGAGCGGCATATGAGCGGGTAGTACCGGGCGTCTTGATAGCAAATGGTTAATTCAAAAGCTCGTTGTTGGTTGTGCGTTGAGAACAGGACCAGTCCGGAATACTTCTACTGGCTTCTCGAAGCTTCTAGGCGTCACTGTCATCATCTAGTGTCGTCGAACTCTGTAATCCAGTGCCAAAGCCACCGAACACGCAATGCAGCTGCTTCCTAATTGATTCTAGATACATCTAGTATATTCAACAATGTTCGCAATTGTTTGTTGCCTGGTGCGCCATTTGTCAGTACACCTTTCTGCAGAGGTATAAAACAACAGCAATGACCCCGTACATGATGACTTTCTTTCTCATCAGAACACACAACAAGTTATCTTATGCAACCTTGCAATAGAACATCCCTTCGAAGAATCTCACAAAAAGTGAAGCGATCTTCCTCTTTCAAACCCATTTCAACCACATCAACACACAAAATGGCATTCTTCCCACGAACCTTTTACAATAAACAAGATCGCTCCTTCACACCTCTGTTCCGTCTGCTCGACGACTTTGACAGCTACTCTCGTCAGCAGAACCCAAAGGCCAGTCGTCACTGCTCAGTCCGACAATGGCAGCCAAAGTTTGACGTCCGCGAGACCACGGATGCCTATGAGCTTCATGGTGAACTTCCTGGCGTGAGCAAGGAGAATGTCAATATTGAGTTCTCTGAGCCTCAGACCTTGGTTGTTCGAGGCCAGGTCGAGAGATCCTATACCGCTGGCACTCCCCCAGCAGTCCAGGTTGAGGACACTGCAATGAGCGGCGATCTCCCTAACGCTGCTGAGGAGCCCAAGAATACACGAAAGGCCACTGTTGAAGATGAGGAGGACGAAGAATGGTCCAACGCATCACACTCCCGCCCCGGAACGCCAACTACCACCACAGCGGAAATCGAGAAGCAGCCTGAGCCCGAGGAGAAGAAGGTCGCCGACAAAGCCAAGTACTGGCTCACAGAGCGCAGCGTTGGCGAGTTTTCTCGCAGCTTCAACTTTCCCAACCGCGTCGATCAGGACGGAGTGACTGCCAACTTCAAGGATGGCATTCTGTCCATTGTCGTGCCAAAGGCTAAGAAGCACGAATCCCGCCGCATCGCCATCAACTAAGGCAATACATGTATATCGGAAATGAATGATTTTGCAACTGCACTTCAGCTTTCTCACATGATGGCGTTTGGTGGCATGGGTTTGGTTTCACGCATGGAATAACAGACAAACAGACAGCTTGCTTGTACTATAGCACTACTACAAATTAATGAAGATTGATACAACAATCACTTGCCTTTCGATGACCGTGCATGTTTGTGAGATGAAATTACAAGTTAGTAGAATTGGAAGTGGGCGAGTGACCGCAGAATTGTTGCCTCCCACTTTGATTGATCACGTGTCTTGGCGTCTAACGGGTGGAGTTGATGCCTGACCTGCGACGCGTGTTAACGCGCTTGTCATATCAACACCATTACAAATCTTCACGGCCTCAGGTTGTTTCTCACTTCTTCGCCCTCGACCCAAATTGCAACTTTTTACCGAGGATTGGTCGCTTTGTTGCAAATTTCATACACGTCAAAATGGCTGACGAATACGACGAAGCCCAAGCGGGTGACGATGGTGGCATGACAGGACCTGGAGCTCCCACGCCGCTCACAGCCTTGGAGGTAACTTATCTTATATTGTACGCGAGTGAACGAGGGTATTGACCTTCAAACTCTAGGGAATTGCTGGTTTAACAAAACGCGACATTCAACTCGTCATGGATGGCGGATTTAATACGGTGGAGTCTGTGGCATATACTCCTCGTCGAATGCTGGAACAAATAAAAGGCATTTCGGAACAAAAAGCACAGAAGATTCTGGGAGAAGGTTCGTTGTTTTAATCACTTCTTGCGGGTCTTTGAAACTCATTCCCTTCCAAGCCTCCAAACTTGTTCCCATGGGGTTCACGACCGCCACCGAGATGCATCAGCGACGAAGCGAACTCATTTCCATCACAACGGGATCCAAGAACTTGGACACACTTCTCGCGGGCGGCATCGAAACTGGCTCAGTCACCGAGTTATTTGGCGAATTCAGAACCGGAAAGAGCCAGATTTGCCACACGTTGGCTGTGACGTGTCAGCTGCCTTTTGACATGGGCGGTGGTGAGGGCAAGTGTCTGTATATTGACACCGAGGGAACTTTTCGACCAGTGCGACTCCTTGCCGTCGCCAACCGCTTTGGGCTATCTGGAGAGGAGGTTTTAGACAATGTGGCTTATGCTCGTGCTTACAACTCTGACCATCAGCTTCAACTGCTGAATCAAGCTGCTGCCATGATGTGTGAGACCCGGTTCTCATTGCTCGTCGTTGACAGTGCAACTGCTCTGTATCGTACAGATTTCTGTGGTCGTGGAGAGCTATCCAACCGACAGACACATTTGGCAAAGTTTATGCGTACGCTACAGAGATTGGCTGATGAGTTCGGAATTGCTGTGGTGATCACCAACCAGGTTGTCGCTCAGGTCGACGGTGGACCAAGCTCCATGTTCAACCCCGACCCAAAGAAGCCCATCGGTGGCAATATTATTGCCCACGCTAGCACGACTCGTATCAGCTTGAAGAAGGGACGCGGTGAGACAAGAATCGCCAAAATCTATGATAGTCCGTGTCTGCCTGAGAGCGATACGTTGTTTGCTATCAATGAGGATGGTATTGGCGACCCTGCTCCGAAGGATATGGAGAAGGATTAGGTATGAGGTTGGCCGAGTCTGATTGGGTTTGCATGATATAGGCGTTATATTGGTGTCTTTGTTGTATCTACATATTTATACTCATAGACAATACGAATCGTGATGTCACAGATATGAAGATACTTCAATGGAATCTACGACATACAAAATACTCACCAATGAATTGTTTAATAGGAATACGAGATGATTTTTCCAAGTGTTCTTATTCACAGTTATACTTCAACAGTCTCGATGCTATTTACGGTAAATAGAATTCAGGCGGTATAGCTGCCTTTGTTGTGCTGTAGGGTATGGTGGTGGGGAGCTGATTTCTATTTTGGGTTAGCGTCGTCTCGACGTCAAGTTTCGATCTGAATTTCTGCCATCTAACGCGATCACCTCTCGCCAGCAACCGTCCCAACACTCACAAGAATCTGCTTCTCTCCCTCCACCCCTATTAACCAGGGACCGGGATTCCTTTATGGAGGCGAGATGGATTCTGGCGACATTCAATATCTCTTCAAAGAGACCCGCTTGAACATCGAGCCTCCTGCGCCATCGTCGATTGTGAGCATCCGGGTGCCCTCGAAAAATGGCAACGGGCGCAGCCAACGACGCACTACCCACGAATCATTATCTGAGGACGAGACGACGTTTCGATTGAAAAATCTATCCATCAACTCATCAATTTATCATCGCAAATGGCACGATACGCCTCGCAGCTTCCTCTGGCGAGTTTTGGAGGACGGAGCTGTATTGAGCATTCGAGCCGCCGACGTTTGCAAAAAAGACAAGACTCCCGATGCGCCTCTTGTGCTAAACTTCAACTTTTCCGTGCCGATTCAATCCGGTTGTGTGGCATTCTCTGACCCGGAAGAACACGATGCGCTTTGCGTTTATGTGCTGGACCAGTCTTCGCAGCTGTACACTTTTACGCTGCGACCCGAGTTCTTCAGAAAGAGGACAGCCATCGATGCGGTTCTTTCAGAACTTTGCAAGGTTCAGTCGCCGGCAGGACTTGGCTTCAAGAGCCCACATAGGTTGGTGGCTGTGACGGCCAATACTTTACTCGTTACAGTGAGCGATGGTGGAATGATTCGCTTTGACAAGACAAAACATGATGACTGTGAGTTTGTCTTGAACCTTTGTCATTCTTTTTTTCTAACGAGGTGTAGCATCGTCTGGTCTTTGGAAGGAGTCATTCTTCAACGTTCAAGGCTGGGCTCAAAATCTACGAAGTTTGTTGCCATTCCAGGGGAATCATACGATCAAGCACGGAAAAGTCAATATGGAATACAGTGCTGCGACGTCCATCGAAGTGACAGATTTTGGGCTGGAAGGCTGTCTTTTTGCCATAACAATTTGTCTCGACCACCGAATTCGTATTTGGAATGTTAATGATGGTCAGATTCTTTTCACTGGTGACTTACTCAACGTGGAGCGTACGCCTCAACAGGTTGGAAAATGGTCCATCGACCCCTCTCAGTCAAATCTGGTTCAACTAGTTGGACACAACCAGGGACAACGAATTTGCGCCACGTACTCTCCCATCGGCGTGGGCGAATTTAAGTTTTGGAAGATTATTGCCAAGGACGCACACACTGTCATTGTAGAAGATCTCTTCCCAAAGACCACGCTAATACCATCTACGCCATCATCTTCCGATATCTGGACGCTGGCTGACTTCATTCTTGCGTCACCTGCGGAAGGGTCTATTAACCTGTGGACGCTGTGGAAGAACAACATGTCCTACAGAGTCAAGCGACTTGAGCTGGATAGAAAAAACATGGCGCAGTCGTGGGAGGAAAACTGGGATGGCGTGTACCCTGACGCTGGAACTATGCCAGTTCAAACGTCCGGGCCGTGCGACTCAACCGATGTGACAGAGAAATGGCTACAGTGCATTCTGCAACCAGGACGATTTACAAAGGCAACACTCGAGACAGCTTTGTCGATATACGAGCGCGGCCTGGGGACATCAAAGGATGGCAGCAACGGCAAGGGTCGTGGTCTTGCTGAGTCTATTTGCTCAGTCTTGGGTGCAACGGCTTCACTGGAGCGCGGCGCATCGGGGGCCATGGATTACGAGCAGTTTAGAGCATCTGGTGAAATTCAATGGCGCAGATTCTACAGACTCTTAGCCGAGCTGGACCGTCAGCGTGGAGAGGCTATTGGTTTGGCCTTTGATCCCGAGACTGACATGGCTTGGGTAATCTGCACCGATCTTGTCTCTGCCATCCGACTATGCAGTGATTTGGAGCGGCTTTATCACAATCTTGGCTCTCCTGATGAGGAGAACGCTAGCAAGGCGGCCCTGGTTAACGCCGCGCTGTCCTTTGTGGACGGTTTCTCAGACAATCATGTCCAGTTAGCTCAGGCTGCATTAAGACAAGAAATCTTCGACGAATCATCCAAAACCGATTTGGAGCGCATCCAGTACTTTTCCGACAAGGCTGGCTTCTGGAGGGGCATCACTGATGAGGACTGTGCACAGGTTGTTGATGTGCTCGGCGCTAATTTCGCCATTGTCGACGACGATTTGTATGCTCATGTTTTAGACCTGATGGCTGCTCCCTTGGAAGCGAGACGGCGGCATTTACGTTACCCCTTGACGGAATTTGGGCAGAAACTCGTTATGAAGGGCGTTCAAGATGCCATTGCGTTGCAATGGAATGTTTGCTTCAGCCAGGTAATTCTTCTTGTTCACATGGAGTTTGAATTTGACAATGAAGAGGACGCCTTGCACAACCGTGTCGATATTGGATCAGTATATCGGAAACTCATCAGCGCACTTAAGAGGCTGGGACTCTTGAAGTGGCTGGCACATACCGAGTTGTCAATCCCTCTGTCCCATGGCGACCGAGCGTCACAGTCCAAGAAGGTTGGCGACGACAGCACCCAGACAGTGACTGCTCTCGAGGCCAACCTCGGGCACCTTCTCGGCTTTGATAATCTCAAAAAGGAACCTCTCTCTAGCAGCCTCGCGGATATCATAACAAACCTATGTGCGCCAGACAGCGACATCGAAGTCTCTCCGGCACTTATCCAATGTGCACTCATAAAACAAGACCGAGCCGATTTGGCTCTTGAGCTTGTTCCGTTTAGCGACCAAAACCCATTCTCTGTCTATGTGCTGGGCCGAGTTCAATTGGCACTCAACGACTTTGAGTCAGCAGCAATCAGTTTTAGAAGGGCAGCCATTGGAATGGGTAAGTTTACCTTCTGGCGTTATGATAGCGTCAATATTGACTGACAGTTTTAGGCACTAAAACAGTCCCCAGCGACAGACACAGCTGCGGGCTCTTGGGAGATACAGAGTGGAATCTCCTCAACAACGGCCAGGCAATGTATTATTCCCACATTGTTGCGCAATACGAAGCACAAAAGGCGTATTCATACGTGGTCGACTTTGCTAGGCTGGCGATGCAATTCCTGGATGCTGTCAAGGATAGTTCATCTGCGAAGGTTGAGATGCTGAGTCGTCTATTCAATGCTGCTTTGGTCACATCACAATTTGAGCTCGCTCACACAAGCCTGCTCTCCATCAAAGACGATGCCTTGAAGCACTCGAGCCTGCGAAAGCTTGTGGACAAGATGTGCGAAACATGTCACAGCATGGAACTGGTGTCGTTGCCTTTCCCCGGCCTGCAACAAGAAGTAGATGACATACTAGCCGACCGGTGCCGAAATTCGACCGATGTAGTGCAGGGATTCCCGTATCATCAAGTGTTGTACTCATGGCGTATCAAGCGCAACAATTACCGCGGAGCTGCATCAGTTCTCCTAGACCGCATCCAGAAACTAAAACTGGCCGGCGAGGGGGATAAGATTACGGGCGACGATGTTTTGGATACTCCGGTGACACGCCAGTACTTGCTTCTTATTAATGCCCTCAGCTGTGTTGAACCACAGCAAGCGTGGATATTCGACGAGGGAGCACCAGCGCTCCACCAAAATGGAGATGGTGCCAGCAAACGAAAGGTGGTGTCGCTGGCAGATATTCGCAAACAATACCAGAATGAGCTTGACAGAATTGCGGCGATCCAGAACAACCAATTTGGTTTCGAGGCGGGCGATGTAATGGAGTTATAAACGGTATGCTAGTGTGTGAATTGAGACGGCAGAGGCATGTGTAAAATATTTTTTGGCAGAAATTTTCACGATCTAGATACCTTGGGACGAAATGGTACGTGAGGCATTACGAGGAAGGTTAATAAAGAGAAAATAACCATGTTTGAATATCTGTCTGTAATTTTCAGGATGGTGGCCCACCCATTGGCTTGCCAGCCGACAGGAAGAATATCGCCTCCTTCAGTAACTACCCCTAACGCCGAGCCCTATGCTAGAAGAACACTTGGGAATTATAAACATGTGACAAAAGCAAAGGGGGCCCCTTGGTGCATGGTCCTCGGTCTTGGACCCCCTATCCTTGGGCAGCAGCAGCTTGAGCGGCGGCTAATTTGGCTTCGTTGGGAGCCGGAAGAGGCTGCAAACCGCCGGCGGTGTTTTCGGCGAGGCCGTCGGGAGCTTGGCGGTACAAAATGATTTCGGATTGCTTGAAGTACCGACGGGCATCTAGACATGTCAGCGACACTGTGACTGCGCTGGGATATACGCACCACAGAAAAAGGAGTAACTCACCCTCATCAATCAGGACCAAACTGAGGTAATATCTCGTCGAGAACTTCTTATTCACATCCCGAAACGTAGGCGTCAAGTCGAAACCTCCCAAGAACAGCCTAATAGGAATGGTCTCCCCCCTCGACGGCGAACCGTCCATGATCTCAAACCTCACCAGCGTCTCGCTCTCGTTGTACTGATTCGGCGCGGCGCCCGTCGTTTCTCTTCGAATAATGGACAGCTCCATGTGCTTAATCTTCAGCCGGACCAACAAAAAGTAGATGCGGCCGACAATGACATCCTTGAGGTGGTATTTGCTCTTGCTGTACTCGAACTCGATGTGAAGACAGTCCTCGATGCCGACGTCCATCTTAATGCTGCTATTCATCTCGGGCGGAATGCGGTAGCTGTAGACCCAAATGTCCTTTTCACGAATGACGTCGGCCATGCGGCGGGACACGGTGACGCGCACAAAGTACCGCAGCTTGACGTTGATGCCGTTGTACGACTCGTACTGCTTCTCGACGTTTTTGAAGTTGAAGTCGAAGGTCTGCGGGTGTTGCAGCTCACCGGGGGCGGCGAGTTCTTGGTTCAGCGAGAGGAATTCGTAGTGGTTGCCACGGTCAAAGAACATTTCAATGGTGCCGATGAATTGCACCTTGATGCCCGTGTGCTCGAGGCGCTTGCCATCCTTGGGGCGGACGGTGACGGCACCCTTGACGGATTCGCCGTCCATGTAGAGGGGAGCCTTTTCGCGGCGGTTCTTGTCGAGTTTGACGTCGACCATGGAGCGGTCGTCGGCATCCTCGAGAACGACGTCGATGTCGACGGGGGTGGAGAAGAAGTACGACATTATGGGGAAAAGAGGACGTACACGGCGCCTTGGGAGTGTTGACGGAGGCGGGATGGCACACGAGGAGTCCGCGAGGAGTCCGCGAGGAACAGATGGGCGCCGGTGGAGGTGAACTGGTGATGTCGTGGTGATTCGTGAAGGTGTGTCAACGACGCTGACGTACTGTTTGGGACGAATGGGGGATCCGGAGCTCCCCACCGAAGCTCGGATGTTCGAGACGGAACCGATCGATGAGCTGTCTCGCTCGCCCAAAGGTGAAAATTACGTGATGTGTCGACTGAAATAACTTCAATTCTATCATCTACATTTGAAAGTCAGACAGTGGAAAACCACCATGATTTTATTTTGACTTTTATTGGATTGACCTGTTGACGCGGAATGGTTACAAGTCAAAACAACCTGGAGATCTATCAACCAAACATCAACCAAAGTGGGCCCTGGAGTATCGGATGAGTCACGTGTGAGATCACGTAGCTCGTTTCGCCCCCCCACCACCTGCCCTCACGGCTCAATCTCGGCCACCCGCAATTTCTGTGCTCACGTGAAGCGAGCCCTAGAACTTTTCCCGCCCACACGATTTCGCCAACAATTTGTCGTGACCGCAGCCGACGACCTACGACAACCTCCTCACCTCCCGACATCCACAACTCACAACCGGCAGGATGAAGTACATTCATTCTCAGGAGATCCTTGAAATCCCCGAGGGGGGTACGTACCAATTTCTTACTTTGATCGATTCCGAAAAAAAAAGAGTCCAAACTGTCCGCTGTATTTTCGAAGTTGGAAATTTTGATGCCCGCCAGTCCGACGCTGCAACGAAAGATATTAAATTGAAAGACAAGGAGAGGAATTGCATTTGGAAAACCGACACCGAACGACTGGCAGTGGTATCGAAAATTTCCGACGACGAATTCACGGCGCAATTTGGACCGAACGGCAAATTTATTTCGTAACACGACACTAACACACCTATAGTCAAGGTTGCCATCAAGACGAGAATCGTGACCGTCGAGGGTCCCCGAGGTACGACACACTAACAGCGACATGGCCTTCTGTGAAAAAAAAAGCCACCCCATCAGCCAAGGACCTTTTCTGACATACACGAATAGGCAAGCTCGTCAAGGACCTCGGCCACTTGGCCGTCAACTTCGGCCACCCCAAGAAGAACACCATCTCGATCGAGATCCACCACGGCAACCGTAAGAATGTCGCCACGCTGCGTACCGTCCGATCGATCATCCAGAACATGGTAATCGGTGTCACCAAAGGTTTCAAGTATAAAATGCGATACGTTTATGCTCATTTTCCCATCAACGTCAACCTGGATAAGAGCAACGACACCGGGCTATGGGAAGTCGAAATCCGAAACTTCATCGGCGAGAAGATTGTCCGCCGGGTCGTCATGCAGGAGGGTGTCGACGTCGAGCTGTCCAAGAACCAGAAGGATGAGCTCGTCCTGTCTGGCAACTCTCTGGAGCGCGTGTCGCAGAGCGCTGCCGACATCCAGCAGATCTGCAAGGTCCGCAACAAGGATATCCGAAAGGTGGGTTTTTCATCACTGTTGTTTTTCCTACCTCATCAGCGGGGTGTAAAGAAGGGAGGAGGGCAGATTGTTGACCAGCCATTGTGACAATCTGTGTCTGCAACCAGCCGTAACATGTTGAGGACTGATTTGCTAACGCTTGGGTTGCAGTTCTTGGACGGTCTGTACGTTTCCGAAAAGGGCAACGTCGTTGAGGAGTAAGATTGGGAGGGGCACGGACACGGAATTCTTGTTTCTTTTGCGTTTCTGGGTCTCAGGAGTGGCGACGGTTTAACCATTTGCATGTCACGTAGCAAAAGGGCTACAAAAGAAACTGATTAAAAAGTAACGATTTTTTGTGCATGACTGTGCCTTGTTTGTGTTGTAGGAACTGTGAGGCGGTATCATCTGTGATGGAACTTGATCCAAGCTTGGAGAGAAAGTGGTAAAACACTCGTGTCAGATTGGGGCTCTTTCGAATCGCTCCATCGTATCGATGCGTTCCATGACGACGCCAGTTGCACAAAATTATAAGACGAAGAAGCAGGACGGAAAATTGGAACCAAATGTGGTTGGTGTCATGTCCATTATAGGCGCAAGTCGCCAAACTACCTAGGTGTTGTATCCGTCATCTATGTGCAAAGAATTTCGTCCAAGTCCAGCAACCGTCATCTTCTATGTTCCTCATATCCAGTCTTCTAGTTCATATCTTCATTCCCAAACGTGTCCATTTTATACTGATGAAAGCAAAGCCGACCTTGGGCAGCGTGTCAAAACCAGCCAACTGTGAAATGCAACAAGATAATACCGAAACGCCACAGCTCATTACATGCAGAGAAAACTATAGGTAACAAAAACAAAGGTGCCCCTTAAAATACAGATACGGGGTTCACCACGGAATGCGAAATATACGGGGGTTTGAGCACGGAACGCGTCTCAATCGAGCAACCAGTCTAGGGTCGGCGCGTGGTGGCACGAGAGTAGTAGGAGGCTCCGCCACGGCTATCACTGCGGTGGCTCCGGCCTGTTCGACCGGTACGATGGGTTCGTCGTCCTGAACTAGAGCTGCCTAGAAATTGGTCAGTGTTTGACCAGAGGAGAATGAACACAGACAGGTCGCAATATAAACTTACTTGGGCTCATGTATGTAACGTCGGAATACGTGTAGGACGACGAATCAGTGTACCGTGAAGACTGCGGCCGTCGAGCAGGTTTCTTATCCTTTCTGAGGTTGAGTAAAGCCAACAGGGTCGTTGCTGCGCCCGCAAGGCCCAACCACCATTTTCCATCCGACTTCTTCGGGCGGCGATCAGCGACAGATGTTGGACGGCCACCAAACCATCCAGAATGGCGGTCTCGGCGGGAATAGGCAGAGGGTGCCTGGCTGCCATGTCGTGAATAGCGGACATCTTCCTCGATGATGACCTTTTCAGACCTTTCCTTTTTCCGGCCAAAGATGGCGTTCCAGATACCACGGGCGATGCAGCAGAAGCAGAGAAGCATGAGCAGGGCGACACCAGCCAGCGTGCCGATAACAATACCGGCAATGGCGCCACCGCTCAAACCGCCTCCAGTTCCGCCCTTGTTGCTGCCATCAGCTCCGATAGTATCCCCATCGCTAGTGGAAGTTGCACCCGCAGAGGTGGTGGTTGCCGTGGCTGTGAAGAAAGACTGGTCGCTTCGAGTACCGCTGCCGATAACAGTCGTGGTGCCGGTGACTCGGTAAGGAGCAGAGTACCGAGTCGTGACTACACCATCCGAAGTGATGACGATGGTGCTGGGCTCTTGATATCCCGGCCGTGAGGAGCACTGGCCCTTGAAGGCGCAAGTTTGCCAACCAGCACAGCAAATCGACCCGCAGGCTTCTTGCTCCGGACTCTGAGGTTTGCAATCGACCCCGGGTATCGGAGTCGGCGCCGGAGCCCAATTCGTCATGATGGTACTCGTGTAAGTCCTCGTCTCGGTCCACGTCGTAGTGTATGCGCCGTAGGAGCCGCCGCCGCCAGGCGCACAGGTAGCTACATTGCCGGCTAGGGTTGTGCAGACCTGGTTGGAAGAACAACAAAACTGCTTTTCAGAGCCGCAGTACGTTGCGCAGTCATCTCGTCGCAAGAGAAATGAGAAGCCCCAGTCGTTGACGGCATTCCGAGGAAAAGGTGAGGCGGAGACAATGGCGGCTGTGGCGCCGAGCAAGACGAACAACCGTCCCGTCGCCGGCAAAGACGAGACCGGAATGGGGTTTTGCATGGCGGCCGAGCGAGACGACTTGCGGCCAGGAATGCCCACTGGAATGCGGGAGCGGGTGTGACGCTGTCGAGGCTTATGACGCCTGAGAGATTAACAGTAGAAGGTTCTTGGAGTCGCGAGCTTTGCGAATAAATGGCCCAAAGGCAAGGAATTGCTGGGCAAAGTCAGCGGCCAACGAAGTAAACAACAATAAGTGACAATTCACTCCAATAGTCTATCTTTGTAGCACAATGCATGAAAAAGAGAGAAACATTTGGCGCGTCACGCATCATGGAGATTTTAAGAGGCTGCAGGTCTGGCCGCGACTGTCTCGGCTTGCATCCCCAACCTCCTCCCGCTTGGATGCAGAGGAAGTGGCCCAGCCCCTCCAAATTCGACACTGGCACCAAGACGTCACCTTCTACTCCGTAATCCCGGCGCAAAACAAAGGACCAGGGGCTTCCCAGGAGCTACTCAGTAGAACTAAATTTTAATTAATTTTTTTTCCAACCATGCCTGATTGATTTCAGGGGTCCAATACGGAGTATGGATGAAACTCGTTCTTGATTTTGGTCCAGCAGCCGGTGATATTTTTGTGCTTCTTGTCCTTCCGCTGCTTTGTCCGATGGCTTCAGCTGTCAGGGTTGCCGGGGTTGCCAGGGCGCCAACCACCCACACCATTATTACTCCGTACCCAAGCTCAAGCTATCTCGGTGTCCAAGAAAACGCATGAATTTAGGCGGGGACGGACATTGGACTCAACGGCCCGCAATGCCAACTCATCGGCACCTAACGCGGCCTCGTGAACCGACTGTTTGACCAGTGCTGTGAGAATGGTTGCATGGCCTTTCATTACTGGATGATCGGGTATCGATGCTGGAACAGTTCGTTTGCTGTGCGTGGCGTGGCTGCATGTTGCTGGTACCTGGTTTCATGGCGGTGACACCTAGCTTCCTTCCTTGCCAACTTTAGAAGGCATTGTTCGACCGTTTGACCGTTCAACCATCTACTACCCTCTCCGTACGGAGTATGTACGTCGTATTCAGATCTTATCTTCGAGAGACAATGGAGACCATGTATTGCCGCTGGATGGCGGACGCCCGTTTGTTTCTCTAAACTCGAGGCCCTGTAGCGGACAGCGGGATGCGGCAAGGCCGAACCCAGGACACATGCATGCGGGCGGCACTTGTTCGATCGGTAAAAGCTTATTCATGGCCATCTCAGCTGGTGAGACCAACTCATTGGGCAATACCCGACTTTTATTATTACTGGAAAGATTCAGGTCTGGTGGCTGGGCTCGTGATGCTTGCAGCGGCGCATCCTCGGGTAACAGCTGGCCGCCGCAGGTCGAGCCGTTGCTCTTGCCTGCCTGGCAATTGCTTCCCTCGTGAAGCTTGGCAATTGGGTGGGGCATGAGCAGCTGAGACCTCCAGTCCGGCTCCAGAGCTTCCCTGGCTGTTTGACTGTGACGCTTCGCTGGTTGGCTGCATCATCGACCTCATCTCATTAAGAGCCTCAAGCGGCACCACGTCCACATCCATCGCCAACGCCTGCCCGCCCATAACACTGAATCTCCTCTCTCCCGGTTGCAGCCCCTAGTTTCCTACTTGGTCAATACCAGTCGTCGCCTGTGCGACGCTCCGACGACAACTGCGCCGCCATCATGTCGCTCGATCCGCCCACCTATCTAGCCTCCTTGCAGAGCAACATTCGACAACGGCCAATTCCATGGGACGGCGCCGTGAGGGCAGGTACGCTTACCGAAGAGCAGTACGCAAAGATCCGTGCTGTCGACAAGGCAAAGAAGCTCGAGCAGAGAAAGGAAGTTGTCGAAGGCGATTTCGATGGATACAGGCTGCTCTTTGTTGGCAGCCCAGGCAAGCCAAGTGTGCTGGAGACTGCAGGCAAGCATGCCAACGTGATTCAATATATTTTGGTTCTTCTGGGGGATCTGATTGATGGTATGCTCTCTTGTGATCTAGGTGGAGGCAGCTCCCGGCTGGATGCATCTGCCAAATCTTCTACCATGCTTCTTGGCTGACAATTTGGCCCTTGCCTATAGCCGTCCCGTCTCTGGCGAAAGCATTATTCAAGAACACCGACCCATACAGACATTTCCTACCGTTGCTGCATTCAAACACCACCGAAGACCCGATTCCGTTGCTCACGTCTCACGCGTTGACGACCCTCATGTCTCTGTCTCGGGACGAATCTAAAGCTACCGAACAGGCCTTGCCCGTGGTGTTCACCTATCTGTCTGGCTTAGCCAAGAGCACCGATGCCGGCCTGCAAGACATTGCCGTACAGGAGTATTCGGCACTCCTCTTTGGCCGATCCTCACGCCACAAGTTTTGGAACCAGAGAAGCGAGACGGTTGAGCCTCTTGTCAAGATTCTGCAGACTGCTGCCGGCATTGGGAACGGTGGAAACTCCGCCGCCAACTTATGGAGTGGCAACGTCAACGTTCGTAACAATGGCTTTGAGGGGTCTCTGGGTGGTGGCGTGGGTCTTCAATTGCTGTACCACGTTTTGCTCGTTATTTGGCAGCTGAGCTTTGAGGCTGATGAGATTGGCGACGACCTGAACGAGTAAGTATCAAGTGTCCTGGCGAGGACTGCGGAGAGTGCTCCATCTGCTAACCAGAATAGCGAGTACGACGTAATTTTGCTTTACACCCATCTTTTACGGCTGTCTCAAAAGGAAAAGACTACAAGACTCATCCTGTCTACGCTGTACAACTTACTCGAAAAGAATCAAACCTCGCTTCTTCCCACCGCCGTCCTCGCCCGATTGCCGGCTCTTTTGGAGAACCTTGGCAGTCGCCACATGACGGACCCCGATCTGCTGGAAGATTTGCAGAGCCTGAAGGAGTTGCTGGACGAATATACCAAGACCAAGACAACTTTTGACGAATACGTTGCCGAGGTAAACTCTGGTCACCTCCGCTGGTCGCCTCCTCACCGAAGCCAAGTATTCTGGGCGGAGAATGCCAGGAAAATTCTCGAGTTTGAGAACGGCGAGATTCCCCGAAAGCTTGCCGAAATCATGCAGAAGCCGTGGGATAACGACAAGCAGGTCCTCGCTATTGCCTGCAATGATATTGGCTGCCTAGTCAAGGAAGTCCCCGAGAAGCGCTACCAATTGGAAAAGGTTGGTCTCAAGACTCGGGTCATGGAGCTGATGCAGAGTGACGATGAGAATGTGCGATGGGAGAGTTTGCGGGCGTTGGGCGGCTGGCTCAAGTACAGTTTTGAGCACCAATAGGTTTCAAGTGAGACGGCCTGCATTGTAGGTTTTCGGTATTGTAATGCGCAGCAGGCATCAGGTTATTTATTACTAGTAGACGCCCTACAATGTACTCAGTATGTAATTTAGATCACGGGCACAGCTGACTGGGGCATCCGCGTATATCGGGCAGTGTGGCTAATTGGCATAGCAAAAGCTGGGGACTCGTCTGGGGTCTGCCGGGGGTCGGGGGCTATGGAGACGAGCAGTAGTAAATCGAAACCAGCTGTGATTTTTTCGCTCGCAACGGAAACGATCAGGTTGTGTGTGGAGTGGGCGATGTGGTTTGAATCAGGTAATGGAAATACTACTCGTGGCCTGCCGAGTATATCGGACGGCGGCGCTTGATTGCTTAGAGGGGGCCGCGGTGCCTCTCATTTTGTCCGGGGACCAGCGCGGTTCGATATCGGAGAGTCCGTGGTTACCCGAGCCCCACCACAGCTCCTACTCAATTGAGCATTTCATCAGTCATGAATTCCACACCACCTTAGCTTGTGTCAATGGATGTTTCTCTTACATTTTGATTCCAATTCTTCCCCTCCCCCTCCCCCTCCTCATCCTCCCTTTCTTCCAGTCACTGGCCTGTCTCAGCTGCATTTTTTGTCTTATAGATAACCGTCATTGCCTGAAATGAAGGGGTTTGGAAACGCTGTGCGGGCGGCGCCCCGGCTTCAGGCCTCTCTTACCAAGAGCCGACTCAACACCTCATTTGCGGCGATACCAGCGTTCAAGGTGTACCAGCAGCGCGTCGACGTCCGATATGCCTCCGACACTGCCAACGCGGATCTCAAGAAGACTCCTTTGTACGACTTGCATATTGCGCAGGGGGGCAAGATGGTGCCCTTTGCCGGCCATAGCATGCCCGTCCAGTATGCCAATGCCTCACTCGCCGAATCTCATCACTTTACTCGCAACCATGCGTCGCTCTTTGACGTCAGCCACATGGTCCAGCACATCTTCAAGGGCCCCAATGCTGCTGCCTTCCTTGAGAAGCTGACCCCCTCTGGATGGAGCAACCAGGGTATTATGCAGAGCAAGCTGACCACGTTCCTGTGGCCCGGAACCGGTGGCATCGTTGACGACTCTGTCATTACCCGCATTGGCGAGGACGAGTACTATGTCGTGACCAATGGCGCATGCTTCGAAAAGGACTGCAAATACCTTGATGAGGAGCTGGGAAAGTTTGGGGCCGGTGTTGAGTGGACTAGACTGGACGGCTCCGGCCTCGTTGCTCTCCAGGGTCCGCAGGCCGCCGAGATTCTCAAGGAAGCCCTGGCCAGCGAGGTCAACCTGGACAAGTTGTACTTTGGCAACGCTGTGTATGCCGATCTCAAGCTGGCTGACGGCAGCAAGACGCATCCCGTCTTGATCAGCCGCGGTGGCTACACAGGCGAGGACGGGTTCGAAATCTCCTTCAATGGCAAGCTGTATCCCGCCCTGGAGTCGACGACCCCCGCCGTTGAGTCTCTGCTGAAGATTGCTGGGCCTGAGCGCCTGCAGCTCGCTGGTCTGGGTGCTCGCGACTCTCTCCGTCTGGAGGCTGGCATGTGTCTGTACGGCAACGACCTCGACGACACCACAACCCCCGTCGAGGCTGGTCTCGCCTGGGTCATTCCCAAGGACCGTCGGGCCACTGGCGGCTTCCACGGCGCCGAGGTCATCATTCCTCAATTGACCCCCAAGAGCAAGGGTGGCGCCGGCGTTGAGCGCCGTCGTGTCGGGTTTGTTGTCCAAGGCGCTCCTGCTCGCGACGGCGCCGAGGTCCAGAAGGACGGCGAGCCAGTTGGCAAGATTACCAGCGGTGTTCCCAGCCCTACTCTAGGCAAGAACATTGCCATGGGATACGTCAAGGATGGTCTGCAAAAGGCTGGTACTGAGCTGGATGTTGTGGTCCGCGGACGTAAGAGAAAAGGCATCGTTACCAAGATGCCTTTTGTGCCTTCACGTTACCACAAGCTTGAGTAGGGCGAGACGTGCTTTTTCTTGTGTTTTTAAAAAAGGAGTTGCATTTTGATAGGCGTATTACAGTCAGGGGGGTGTGGGCCCAATTTCGATACAGGTGTTTATTCCGAGAATTTAACTCAATATCCACGTCTAGCTACAGTCTGTGGCAGAATATATTTGCTCAGCGAGACGCATACACTAATCAACTGTAGTGTATTATAATATAGAGCGCGATAGTCAGGTGCCTGATCTGGTTGGATACTATTTGCCTCCCACTGTATATGACGTAGCGTGTTGCTACTGATTACTCCCCCGCCAACACTAGCCATGCCTCAAATTGCAGCCTTGGAAGCGGCACGACGGGCAAATCGGGATGAAGCGACCCCTATGCCTTGCTTGTGAATCGTAGCCCCTGACCAGACCCCTTTTCATGTTTGGCTTGCTGCTAATCCGCGGTCCTTCAACGTCCGAAGCACATGTCTCGATAAAGCAACGGGTTTCGAAAAGAGAAAGATGCTGAAATAGGTAACGATTTGTGTGTGGTAATCGCCAGAAGAGGACGCCGCGCCGAGTCGAGTTCCTTGGGGTGATGCTGGGAGACGTCGCGAGTGCTTTGGCGGCGGACGCTAGAGGCGGCGTTATTATCTGTGATTCGGATCCCGGGGACATTGGGGACATCTTTCGGACAATCATGGAGGCGGCAGCTCCTAAACAGGCGGCATAGTCGTCAATGCTGGATGTGGGTTTGGGGGCGGTGATGTCGTTCCACGCGGAGAGGGAGGCGGATGAGGTGCTGTGGATGGAATTAGCTGTCAGAGCGGTAAAGTATTCTGACGGCGGGATTGGGGATGCCACCCCTCCTTTTCTTTTTGGAGTGGGAGGGGTGAAGCTGAGATTGGGCGAGCGGCGATGATGGTTTTGGCGTTGAGTTCTGAAAAGCGTCATAGTTGGGGCGTCTGCTGGGCTGGCTGGGACGTGTCCGCTGCGGACTGGTCGCGTAAGCAGCGTCAGCACGAGCAAACGCCATCTGTCTGTGGGGGTGACAAAATACTGAGTAGCAGGCTTGGTGTTTGCCCTGTGAGGGGATGGGTTGTTGAGGGGGGCAGCTGCGAGGTGTAAGTGACTGACGTTTAGTATCCTATCGCGCATTTATGTGTACCGTATAGCAATTCCTAGTGGCAGATAATATGAGGGTGAAATTTCTTCTTTGTGGTTGATTACCAAAGTGAATCATGTTATGTCTGAGGCAAACCAGAGGATGGGCTCTGGCGATAGCCTCTCTTCTGTTCTGTTTCGGGTCGAGATATCGTTCATTCTGATTTGTGCCGATGCCCAATTAACAGAATAAACCAACTAGCCGCTAGCTGCGGTTGTCTCGCGCAGAGAGAGTATGGGCAATCTTTTCCTTAATCTGAATCGGACTCAGATAGCCCTCCTGGAGTCACATCGTTTGGAATGCTGGTAAACTATAAGGACTAAACCTAGCTTAGGGTCACTCTGGTAGTGAGTAAATGAATCCTTGGACTTGGGCTTATTATCTGCATGAAAGTTGAGTGGATAAGCGACTATTTGATGCGTTCTCATTACATGGACTTTGAGAGGAAGTATCTATGGCTATGAGCTCTTCTTGAGGCAGCCATATCACGCGGTTGGAACATTCCAAGCTCAAGAAATCAAAACTCTGAAGCAGTAAGCTCACAATACATTTGATAAAAGGCGCTCCGAGACAATGACACCCCAAAACATAAGCGGCGGGCGGAGATGCTGCCAGCCTTGTTGAAGGACCGCACGGATAGTAGGGTCATCATAGACGGGCGCGAGACTTACTGAAGAAGTCATCGTTCCTGTAAGCTGATAGAGCAGGGAGTGCAATGTGATCTACAAGCCTCTTACTGTTCTCGTATGGAGAGATACGACTAAAGAATGCGGTCCTGGACTCTGAATAGCATAGAGTGTTTTCGAGTTCTTCAGCTACGGGAACCTATTGAGAACACAGTTTTCCCCCTCCGCAATCAAAGATGACGCGAGGCTGGGAATACGACGGTTACGGCACAGGCTGGTCGCATCACGAATTCTCCGTGGGAGCGATGCTTACTGTTGGCGAGAACTATTGGCAATACTCGGTACCAGATTTGCCGTGTCATCCCAAACAAGCTCTCGGGTCATCGGGTCTACGGCCTGTGGCTGTTGGTGAAATGTACTACGCCATCTATCAGTCATTGGACGAACACTTGCAGTTTCGACTCATGTTCAACGACCCAGTTGTAAAGAGTCGGGTAAGCAGTCCAGGTGGAAGGGGCTGAATCTCACCGAACGCAAGGGGCTGTAAATAAAAGGACGCTCTCAACCCGAAGATACTCTCTCAAGTCTTGCATGAGCAGTTCCTGCATACATCACCTAGTCTTGACCACCATGAAAACCTTTACCATTATCGTGACTGTTCTCGCAGGAGTCGGATTGGCAGGCCGATTTCCAGCGTGTAGAAGGGTGAGTCTACAACATGCAATGAGTGACAATAACCAGACGGCTGACAAGGCAACTAGCCATCTGGCGAGTGCATCATCGCATGCCCACAGAACCCGTGTCCTGCCGGTCATATCTGCTGTGAGACGACTTGCGGAGGTCGCATCTGTGTAAGTTCATTCCGAGTGATAACTAACCAGCGTACTGATATTAGTTGATTTGCAGGAACCCGTACGTACTTGGTGAAAGTAGTAGGAAACATGGTGAACTAATCATGCCCGATACGTCTAGGAGATTCCTGACTGAAACTTGCTGCCGAAGGTGACGAAAGAGGTCAGGATTATTGGAAGGCTGGACCTGCGGAGAAAGCTTTGGCCGTTGTATGGAGTTCTCTATATGAGTTTAAGCTCGGCCGACCATGAGCGGGCAAGTTCTGAATATGAAGACGAGAATTTCCTAAAGTAAATCTAGAACATGTGTGGCGTTTGGATGTGTGCTCAAGGCCATAATTCGGCACCTTGCTAGCATAACGATGGAGAAAGGAGAGCCACTACTTGTGCCGACGGCCATCGACATTAAAGGACGACGTGGCTAATAAAGAGCCAATCTAAGAAGCTGCTTGGAACCAAGGCCACAAAGGGGAAGCTGTTCGAAGACTACAGCCGTGGTCAACAACTGGAATGATGGCTCGCTGCTAGATATGAAGCTTGCCCAACCGAAGGAGATGTACAAGCTTGTACGAGAGTGCGAATACAACCAAGTACAGAAAAGCCCAATAGCAATCAAAGATGGATAAAGCCAAACCAAATCATGTTGAGGAAGCCGGCCCTGTGATACAGGGTTGCAATCGCATCAATGTCGCCACGATTACCATGGGAAGCCGTCACAGGATTTGCGTACGACGACCCTCAAACGAGCGGCTGTGTTTGTCTAGCAACAATGGATTCCTCGATTGATGACGATTCTACTCAGGAAGAATGCCTGGCGCCGTTGGAAACGAAGCTGTGAGGATGCTGTTGCGATGAAGAAGGGAAACAGAAGAACGGACCGAGTTTTCAAAATCTGCACTAATGACTTTAGGGCGCCGCCCCACTTTCCGGTCCGAGCTACCGAGACCGAGGGTTAGGGTTATGCACCACGCGATTGTCAACCTGCGGTTTGTGGACAAGAACTCCGTACACTTCTCCCAGTTAACTTGGATTGAGACGACTCTGCATCGTGCTATCCCTCTTCCACTGATGATGGCAAGGCCATCCCCGCATACCTTTAGCCACCTACAAAACACCCCGGATGAAAAAGAGCGTTCTCGGACGACGGGGACGAAATTCTCCTTCCACATGCCAACCGACAGGCTTGCTTCGTCGTCCCCTTTAAGCTCTTGGCAGGCCACCGCCCACCTTCAATGTCATCTTATGGCTCCACGGATTCCGCCCGGCATCGTGGCATCACAGGTCTTTGACTTTGTGGACAACGCCACCGAACGTCAACGCCGCAACGGGCCAGACCATTGGACCCGTCGTCGTATGACGCTGACGCCATTCCTATGCAGCATCGGCGGCACAACTAGGAACCGGACACGATGGAAAGGAAGCTTCAATTTCCCCTCAAAATTAGACTCATTCTCTCGCCAGAATACTTCTTAAACCGTACCGGCTGTCCCAAGTGAGCTTCGCAAAAACAACAACAGTCCCCAAACCCCCAGCCTGCAGACAGGCAACTTGACCATCATGAAAGCCCTCGTGTACAGCGCCGCCGGCTCCGTTTCTATCCAGCAAAAGCCAGACCCTGAAATTTTATTACCCAGCGATGCCATCGTCAAGCTCACCAAGACGACCATCTGTGGTACGGACCTGCACATCCTGAAGGGCGATGTTGCAACATGCCAACCTGGACGAATTCTCGGCCACGAAGGCATCGGGGTAGTCTCCTCAACGGGATCGTCTGTATCCCGCTTTTCCCCAGGGGACCGCGTGCTCATCTCATGCATCTCGAGCTGTGCCGCCTGCGAATACTGTCGCAGGGGCATGTATAGCCATTGCACGACCGGCGGCTGGATCCTAGGCAACTCCATTGACGGCACGCAGGCGCAATATGCGCGAATTCCCCACGCAGACTCTAGCCTTTACAAGATCCCTGCCGGTGTGGACGATGCGGCCATGGTGATGCTCAGTGACATTTTCCCCACGGGTCTTGAATGCGGTGTTCAGAACGGCAGAGTCCAGCCCGGCTCGACCGTCGCCGTGGTGGGAGCAGGACCCGTGGGCTTGGCGGCGCTGATGACGGCGCAGATGTACTCGCCGTCCAAAATCATAGTCCTTGATATAGATGACAAGAGGCTGGAGACGGCAAGGGAACTTGGCGCGACAGCCACCGTGAACAACAAGGCCGAGGATGCAGTTGCGCGTGTCAAGCAGCTGACAGACGGCAAGGGGTGCGATGCTGTAATCGAGGCGGTTGGAGTGCCGGCGACGTTTGCGCTATGCCAGGAGCTTCTCGCTCCTGGAGGAGTGCTCGCCAATGTCGGTGTCCACGGAAGCAAAGCCGATCTTTTCTTGGACCGTCTGTGGGACAAGAATATTTGTGAGTCTGGCCGAGTACGGGGGAGATGCGAAAACCTGCTAATCGTCTCAAGCCATCACAACAAGACTGGTCGACACAGTATCGACGCCTATGCTGCTGAGAATGGTGGAGTCGGGGAAGCTCAGAGCGGCGCGGCTGGTTACACATCGTGCGTCTCTCCTCAAGTCTGGACTAGACACGTACCAGGGCATTTGCGTGCTAACGTTTTGAATAGGCTTCAAGTTTGATCAGATGGAGGAAGCATACAAGACTTTCGGCCAGGCAGGCCAGACCGGGGCACTCAAGGTGTTGATCGATATGGAGTGATTTCCATCTCCTACGTCCGGACCCCATAGTCGATCACATGGTTATTCACTGAAATATTCTTGTAAAATTTGTCTCGTCAGATAAAAAGAAACATTCAGATTGAAACACTACCTGCATCCATTTTATTGGCGTATCCCAGATTCAACCTCGGTCCCAAGCCGCGTGCATGTTCAAAAATGTCGTCTCCCCCCCCCCCTCGGCACCGGATTCAAGCAAGACGCACGAAGGACGATTCTCGAGTCCAACACGGTCAACGTTTGGTCTCTGGCGCAGTTTCCCAGCCGGCCAACCACCTACACCCATTAAGAAAAAAGACGACTCCTCACGACGCAGACTTCTTCCGACCGTGCCTCTTAATGTCGTGCTTGTGCTGGGGCGGCGTGTTCACCGCAACAAGGTAATTCTGGCCCGTCTCCGAAACGGCATGGACGGCGACATTCTCGCCAAACGGCCACTGCTCGACAAACTCGGCGTCGCCCCGGCAGTCGTACTCGGCGTACCCCGACCGGTCGAGGCACTTGTGCGCGGCCGTCCAGGCGTCCGCGCGATGAACATAGACGCCTTGGATCTCTGTCCGCTGCAGGCTGCCGCTCCGATCGACGTTGTAGTCCACCATGGTCTGGACCATGTAGTGCAAAAACTGCGCCCCTTCGGGAAGCCTCATCTTGCCGTCCTCTGTGCTCGCATAGAGGGACTCATTGTTGGGCGTGGTGTCGATGCTCACGCGAAGCTCTTGGCCGTCAAAGGAGCGGGCAAAGGCTAGGACGCCATCGCCGTGGATCCAAGTCTTGCCGGGAGCCTCTTCGCCCGAAGACCGCACATTGTACTTTTGGAAGTCGTCGGGCTTGAAGTTGAGCGTCTCGAGGGACTGGGCGGCAAAGGCTTTCGCCGCCTCCAGAGTCCCGTGTGTTCCAAGCACAAATGTCGTACGGCTGGCCCCGGACGCGTCGTGACTATAGTCAATTACTGTGAGGATGGTGTGAAATAAAAGCTCGGGGACTTGGTAAGGCGCTGGCTTGTTGTTGGGGTCCATTGTCAGGTCTTGCAAGAGCTGCGAATCTTTTGGCGGCGGCGAGTGTGTGTAGCTTTCTTGTGCGGAAGCCCGTTTCCTTTTAAATACATGTACCGTAGGGCATTACAGTGACATATGGCAGTGGCGTGATGCATCATATCATCTCCAAGTCGACTGGCATGGTCTCGATGCGGCTGGTAGCATCGTTTGTGGTGGCGGTGGCCACACCACCTCCCTCCTCCACATGAAAAAGCATGGTGCCGGAGCTCGGGGGTCAATCGAAAGACTGTGGTGTAAGTCAGTGAGAGGTTTCACAACTCTGTCCTGGGAGATTCTAAAGCTCGTAGATCCCGTGGTTGACTGACGGCTGGCGGTTTGTGGGCTGTGTTGGCGGCGATGTGAGCTGATGTGAAGTTGAGGATCTGATGACCATGATGGCGGATACAATTTAACCTTTTGTGTTGGGCAGCTTGGCAAATACATTTGAAAGTAGGCCAACGTGCCGTAGCGACGTTGGATCTTTCGAGGCCATTTCACGGATAAGGTCGTATTCAGGAGCTTGACCAACCGTGATATCTCGCTGCCTCTCATACCACACGTGTGCTTGCTATTATACTGGGACAATCTAAATGAGGTTTTAATCTTTATTTAGACACGGTGAATTGAATTGATGAGCTCATTTGCAAGGCCTAGCCCAGTAGGCGACCAAGGCAATACACATGCGGAGCAATGCTGCTTCATCAAAGTTGCCCTAGCACACAACCTGCCGCCGGCTCATGCTGAGGATCATATCCGTCATGTCCTGCCTGCAAGAACTGTGCTCTACACGACTATGGAACCTTGCAATGATAGGCTGAGCGGGAATATTTCGTGTGTCGAGCGAATCTTGAAGCTTAAGGATGTTGTACGTTCCGTGTACGTAGGCATTCGCGAGCCAAGTACATTTGTTCGCTGCAATGATGGAATGAAACGACTGCAGGAAGCAGGGATTGAGGTTCGGATAACAGAGGATATGAAGGAGTATATTTTGAATGCCTCAATATCTGGACGCCGAACTGCGAGTCTTTAAAACCTCCTGGTGTGCCGAGCCATATCTTGAAGGAAAGTTCTCGACTGCAAACACCCAATGCTTCCTCGCGCCCAATGGCCTCTATGTTCATTGACGTACTCGATATGAATCAAGTCATAGCTCGCATCTGAAAGCTTGGGGATATCTCATGGCGTGATCATGATGATGAGTTTTGCAAGCGGCCAATCAGGTTGTGGCATAGGGAGCAAGTTGTCATGGCCAGGGAAGGGTTGAGTCTGCCACCATGCTTTGTCTCTTATATATCGAACCTGGAATGAATGTTATTTTTGAAAGACAATAGGGGGAGAGTTGTCGTACTGACTAGAAATTAAACAAGAAGACCAACAAGGCGGAGAACTACAACGGAGGGGGCCATGTGACAGGTCCTATTCGGTTTCTCGCGCCAAACAATGGCTCGGTTGTGGAACAAAATTACTTCATATTAGTTCATTTTTATATTTTGATGAGCTTCTGGGACAAATGGATACTGATCTTTGTCGCACGCATGCCCCATAAGGCTACTTTATAGATCTAAGATTGGCCCTCCCTGTCTCGAAGAAATAAGATATTGAAATTGTATTAACATGGATGACTCGCATTCAGGGCTGCCACGAAGATGTCAAGAAATTCTGTCGAGCCTCATGGTGTGTGCTTCTGGACCACTACATGCAGGATCGTTGTTAACCTGTCCGAAGGGACTGAGAGATCGTCTTTCAGTCAAGCCCCCATTCAAGAACAAGGGAGACGCATGGTTAGGAGCGAGAATGAATCTTCCTAGGCTATTTGCTCCTTTTGCGCGTTTTGGTTCCTACTACAAGTGGCTTCGGGGCACTAGCCTCTACGTCAGATGTACACTTCTTCATAGCAGACCATTTTGAACTGGGTAACAAAATGCGTATGATAGGCCAGTCCGGTTGTGTTTGATGCTTGCTGTTTCTATCCTCAAAGTGAATGTAAGGCGCCACTCACTGAAACCAAATACCAATGTTATACGCTCAGTTCCAACAGACGAGTTGGCTCCTGGATGCTCGTCTATGATAATGTTGGGGCAGACGACTTGGAGGCGTACCACTCCATAGTCCCAGTGTTAGCACCGGAAGAAGATTGTGAGGGCATATGGGAGCTTTCTAAGCTGCAAAATGCATAATCCCTCTTGTCAATGAAGGATAGGACTAATACTCAACCACCAAGACGATTTAATACCCACGTTTCTGCACTCTTCCTAGACAGCACGAACCCTCAATCGCAGCAAGGCAGACAATCCAAAGAGTGATTAATGCAGGACCAACATGCCACAGGGTGTTAGAAGATATGGGGAGCCAGGTCTTCAAGTACGGGGACGTTGGGAATGGCCCCGAGGCTAACGACGACTTGGATACCGTTACGAAACTATTCAACGCCGAGCCTTATCCATCGCGGGGCGTTGAGCGGTAGATAGCTACCCATTAGATGTCGGAGTGTGAAATAGGATGGCCGGAATACGGGTTCGAGACTTGAATCGAAATAAGCGCTTCTACCGCGTGAAATGAAAGACTGCGGCCCATCTTTGTACCTTTGTTGATGTCGCAAAATAGATGTCTGCCAACACGCTAGTGGAAACTTGGATGAGCAAATCATGTTCTTCAACACACTGTATTATAAGATTGTCATCTGCTACTTGAGCAAACGCGCATGGTCAGGCGAGCAGCAACGCACCATCACCAGCATTTCACCGCCACAGAAGGGGGCCGAGGATGACACATTGTAGTCCATCAAGGTGTTGAAATCCGTTGACGTCCGAGGCGGATGCCATGCGTGGGTGACTGTGTGGAAACATTGAACGTCTGGTGAGCCTAAACGAGGTCGCGTGCCCCTCCATGCCCTCCTATTCGCGGTGGCGCTGTCGCAGTCGCCGAGACGGCGGCTGCTGGGAATTTGCACCAGTTGACAACTCGACGCCGTGTCACTGGCGCACGTGCTGGCGGTGATGCATGAACATTGGCCCATCCACGATCGGCGGGCGGCCCGTGATGGTAACATGGAGTGGCAGAATAGACACTTGCCATTTGTGTGGAGCCGAATATACCAATCACTGCTTGGATTTGGCCCCCGAGAAGAGTATAGTTGCAGCCAGAGTGAGGAGCATGAGATGCTCTAAGAATGGCTTGTCCGAGTTGCCGGGCCCAGATTTGGGATAGCTTGGTGGTTCAAGCTTTGGAGTTTTGGAATTTATTAGGGCCATGGGAAGTGGGAAGCGGCAAGTGGAAAGCGCATCGGATGCACTTGCCCCAGATTCTCTTGCTAGCTTGCTACTAACGACTCATGAGTCTGAGTGAACGAACATGGCATATTATCTTTCATCTCCCACCGGATAGTTCTCTCTGCGCTTTGCGTTTTGCACCTTGCAACTCTCGCCTCCCCTTCAACTTCACCAGTCCATTGTGCCCCTCAGGCTTTTGCCCTTGCTTTGTGCATTCGCGTGCTGCTGGGGCACCCACACTGATCTTGGGACCTGCAGCCCATTTTTACGTCACCCGAACGAATACAGCGTCAGAAGGCCGACTCGCCCGACTGGATGAATTTTCTGTCCACCACCGACGCAACCACCCGCCCCTTGGCCTTCGTCAAACCACAGGATCAGGCGCTCGGTTTTGGAGGCCGAGACGACTCACACTGAGCCGTCTCTACCAAGACTCCCCGGCTCATTCGCATGACCTCTCTGCGCCATCTTAACATTGCTACCTGACATTCATCTATTCGCAGGAGTCAACGAATCTTATAAACCTGGTTGATGGCAGTCTTCTCGAACCGTTTCCATAAATTCTTATGCGCTGTACTAGGCTCTAGATCTTAGGACGATCCCTCTCCCTCTCTTTCTCTCTCTCTCTTCTTTTTTTAATACGCCTTGCCTTGTTTTGATACCCGTGACTAGGCGCCACCATGCCTGGTCCAGCCTTTTGGCTGCAAGCCCAGACATTTCTGGCACTGAGCTGTGGCGTCATTTCGTCGCCAATTTTGGGCGACCTGCCCCAAAAGACCCTGCAATATGAGTCGCAGCCGCATCAAGAGTTACAGTCACGCAAGCTCAATGGTCGGTTCCTGCATATAACAGGTTCGCTGCCGTCCCATCCCACTCTTTTGCCTTTCCTGGCGACCAGCATTTACTCACAAAGAATCATTCAGACTTTCACCCTGATGAGTTTTACAAGCCTCACACATCAACCGAAGACGGTATCGCGTGCCATCGCGGCAATGGCATGGCTGGGACGTATGGAGCAGAAAAAACGGACTGCGACTCGCCATTTTCCCTCGTGGACGCCACCTTTCAATGGATACAAGAGAATATCAAGGACGACATTGATTTTGTAATATGGACAGGCGACACGGCGCGACACGACAGCGATGAAGCGCATCCGCGAACCGACAAGACTGTCCTCGATAGCAACAAGGTCGTTACTGATAAAATCATCAAGACTTTCAGCTCACCTGAGGGGAAGCTTGAGGTTCCCATAATACCGACATTCGGAAACAATGATTTTCTTCCTCACAACATTATGTATCCTGGCCCTAATCACTGGTTCGCCGCTTATGGGGAGATTTGGGATCGGTTCATCCCGGAGGAGCAGCGCCATTCTTTCCAATTCGGCGGCTGGTTCCATGTTGACGTCATCCCCGGAAAGCTTACAGTCTTTAGTCTCAACACAATGTACTTCTTTGACCGTAATGCTGCTGTGGATGGTTGCGCGCTACCGTCCGAGCCCGGGTACAAGCATATGGAATGGCTTCGGGTGCAGTTGGATCTTATGCGAAAGACGGGCACGAAAGCTATCCTTATGGGTCACGTCCCACCCGCAAGAACCGACAGCAAGCAGAATTGGGATGAAACTTGCTGGCAGCGATATACCCTATGGCTTCAAAAGTACCGGGACGTTGTTATCGCCTCGTTATTTGGCCACATGAATATCGATCACTTCCTTCTGAGCGACACCAAGGATATCGACTTGGATGTGGCAGCGGGTCAGAGTCCTGCCGCACGTAGCATCTTTCGAAAGTCGATCAACGAGTCCGAGCTTTCAGCCCAAGGTAAAGAGGACTACCTCCTAGAGCTGCGAGACATTTGGGGCGACATTCCTGGTTCCGCCATTGAAGTGCTTAATGAAGAGGATGACCACGCCGAGGTCGATACTGAGAAGAAGAAAAAGAAGAAGAATGGCTTCAAGAAGATTGGGGGAAAGTATGCCGAACGATATCAGCTTTCCTTCATCAGTCCAAGTGTGGTACCCAATTACTTTCCAACCATGCGAGTTTTCGAATACAACGTGACTGGGCTGGAAAATGCTACTGTTTGGAAGGAAAAGAATGCAACGGAGAAAGTGCAGTCGACTGAGAATTTGGAGCTGCGATTCGTTGGCATTGAAAAGAAAAAGAAGGGGAAGAAGGGGAAGAAAGGAAAGGAGGGAAAACAAAAGCCCAAGGACCCAAACTTGATCATCCCAGACGATCCTCCCAAAACAGCGCTACCTGGGCCAGCCTATTACCCACAGCAGTTTACCTTGACAGGGTACACTCAATACTTTGCCAACCTCACTCACATCAACAATGATCAACCTGGCTTAGACGGCGTCGAAGGATCTAAATGGCATGATGGCAACCACGGTGACAAGAAACCGATACACAAGCCAGCTCAACCACGCAAATTCCAATTCGAGGTCGAGTACAGCACATTCGATGACAAACAGTTCAAACTCAAGGACTTGACCGTCCGAAGCTATCTGCATCTGGCATACCGCATGGGTCAGCGCAGCAAAAACAATGAGATTGCAGAAGGTGATGGGGCCAGTGGTGACATAGATGCGGATAAGAAAAAGAAGAAGAAGAAGAACAAGGAGAAGAACAAGACTTGGCTACACTGGCTCAACTTTGCCTTTGTTTCAGCTGTGTCAGAAGACGATTTGGAAGAGATGTAGGGACATTTGATTGAGATTTTGCTTATTTCATGGCATGCATGGCGTTTGTAGCATTTACTTGGAGAGGCTGCTTGACCACATATTTTGGATTTGAGCATTGCATATATGTACGGGTGTTATGATAGATGACTTTAATGGTGATTACAACTTGATTAATTAAGAAGTGTGTAGGTGCCCGAGCTAGTAAGCAACATTTCCAGCAAAACAATAGCATTCTGTTGTCAAGAGAATTGACCTCACGGCGTCCCAGTTACGTAGCACCGTAGTAGGTACAGGTACATATGTAGGTCTGGTACGGAGTGCTCCGTACAATTACTCATATCGAGGGGCGGCACGTGGTGTGGTACGGGCTCGAACGTGATTGCCCTACGACATGCACACATTTCTCTCCTTGTTGCCCCTTGGACTATTCATCTACAAACCAGACGTCACGACGTTGAGCATGTTGCCACCCAAGTTAAAGGAAACGGCAGACGCCTGCAGCGGCTCCCATGTCTAGCGCGCTCCTTCCTAGTGCCCACTTTCCAGCACCTGACAAATAGGTCTGGGGCAAGTCCATTGTCGGACATGCGCCTTTTGCTTCGAGAGGCAAGTGATCCATTGATTGCACATTTCGAGGAAACAACTCTACAGGCCTCAGAAGTCGAGAAAAAACCTAAAAAAAAAAAACCACGGCTGTGATCCTGAACCTCACCCTATCTCGCTGCTTTCATTTGGTGGGACAGCTTAGGTTACCCGCACGTTGCTCAGCGTACGCGGCCTCTGCCACTCTTAAATAACCGTTATCGGAGCAACCAGACACTGTGTCTCAAGGCCTCACCAGTTCGCAGTTGCAAATTCACACTAGGATCCGGGAGTATGACGGCCTCAGCGCCTGCGCCAGCCCCGAGGGTCCTCGCCGTTGCGAGCCATGTATGTTCTCGTCCCTGAACTTAACTTTGGCTTGGAAATGACTTGCTCATCCGTCGTTAGGTAGTATCTGGGTAGGTGGTGGCAGAGTTGGCTGGCTTTCTTGCCCCGCATGCATCACCAACGGCGGCAATGGAAGAGACAAGCCTGCTGATATTCTCGTTTAGTTATGTTGGAAACAAAATCGCCGTTTTCACTCTTCAGTCGCTTGGCTACGACGTTGCCGCCCTAAACACCGTTCAATTCAGTACATATGGTCTCCCCCCCTGTCGTTTCATCATCGGTTTGCTAATGTCGTAAAGGCAACCACACAGGGTATAGGCAGTGGACGGGCACAACAGTGTCTGCCCAAGAAATCACAGACTTGTACGATGGTTTGCGCCAGTCTTATCTAGACGACTTCGACATGATGTTGTCGGGATACATACCCGGAGCGGAGGCCGTAGCCTCGGTAGGGAACATCGCCAAGGAACTCAAGAACAAGAACAAGGGAACGCCAGGGAACTTTTTCTGGGTTCTTGATCCGGTAATGGGCGATAATGGCAAAATTTATGTCGCCGAGAATGTTGTTCCCGCCTACAAGGAGCTGATCGAGCATGCCGACTTGATTCTGCCGAATCAGTTTGAGGCCGAGTATGTTTTGGCTTCAATCTTGACGACTATAATCAACCCGTTGCTAACCTAATGTTCTCAGACTTCTTTCAGAAGTCAAAATTGTTGATATGGAATCTCTCAACACAGCTATCCAAGCCCTCCATGACAAGTACCGCATCCCTCACGTCATCATCACATCTGTCAACTTCTCACCACCAGGACAACCGCCCTCGCACTTATCCGTCATCGGCTCAAGCATGACATCAATTGGAAAAGCACGCCTCTTCAAAATTACCTTCCCTTCGATTGATTGCTACTTCTGCGGCACGGGCGATATGTTTGGAGCTCTCGTAACAGCCCGGATGCGCGAGGCGGTGCAATCCGTTCCGGGGCTTATCAATCGCGCAAACTGGTTAAGTGACGATACTGTGTCTGCTGCACAGTTGCCGCTGGCGCGAGCTGCAGAAAAGGTATTGGCCAGTATGCACGAAGTATTGACCAAGACGAGAGACGCTATGCCGGGTATAATTGAAAGGACGAGAGCGCGGTTGACAGAGGAGGAAAGAGTGAATAGAAAGGGGGAGCGGCAGATCACGTCCAAGGCTTCGGAGTTGCAGTTGGTGCAGAATTTGGAGGTTTTGAGGAGTCCTGGCGTGCAGTTTAAAGCACAGCAAATTTAGAGTTGGGGGACATAGTCAAGTAAGAGAGCGAAGAAAGACATAGATTCGCGTATGCATTAAGCCACGCTATAATTCACACATTCATCGCGTCAAAGTTCACGAATTGGGCGTGACGTGTTTTATTGCAAGTTCTTGACTCTAGGTGAAGCTCTCTATGAGTTTAGTTTTAAAAACCAAGGAAAATAATCATCATGCATTATCGTGGAAGATGGGCTGCCAGAGGCACTTATTCATTTCAGCTTTTTCGCCTCATCTCCTGCGCGCCATCGATCGCTTCCTGGAAACTCTTCCATTTTCAAGCAGCAGTGCCATTGGCAAATCCACCAGTGCTGCCGAAACCACCGGCTCCACGAACACTCTCCTCCAACTCCTGCACCTCCACAACCTCTGGGGTATAAATCCGCTCAATAACCAGCTGGGCAATACGATCACCCTCTTTGATCTCAAAGTCGGTCTCGGCGTGGTTGAACAACAACACCTTGACTTGGCCCCTGTAGTCGGCGTCAATGACGCCGGCGCCGGTGTCAATGAAGTGCTTGGATGCCAGTCCTGAACGGGGGGCGATACGGCCATCTGTCACCAGGACTAAATTAGCTTTCAAGGAATTTTTGGGCCGTGGTCTCCAGAATGAGGGTGGGCTTACAAGTTCCGGCGGGCACGGCAATGCTAATGTCTGTATCGACGAGGACCTTGCCCCTCGCAGGGACGGCGGTATCCTTGGAAGCGTAGATGTCGTAGCCGGCGGCAAAGGCACTGCCGCGGGTAGGTAGGCGAGCCTTGTCGGAGAGCTTCTTGACTTGCAATGCGGGAGGGGCCTCCATGGTGGAGAGATCGGTCTTGACGCGCTTGGCTGGCGGTGAGGTGGTTGCGGCGGCGACGGATTCGGGGGCGGCAGACATTGTGGGTGGGAGAGGTGCAAAGGGGAAGATGAATTGGATGTTGGTAGGGTGAGAAGGAAGAATGGTCGGTATTTAATGGACTATTCTGGTGTGTCGCGCATGTCGGCTGAGCTGTCTGGTTAAGGGCGTGGGGTTGGGAAGCGAGGGAGACGCGACTTTGCTGGGACGACGCGCGACGTGGAGTGCAGACCCGGCTGACAGGTCAAATTGACCAGAGCCAACCGGCAGACGAAACCCAACCCAGCCAGCTTTAGTTGGGGGAATTGGCCAATGATAGCACTAGCCGCTATGGTCACTGGGAAGCGTGGGCGGTGGCCAATATCAATTGGGTTCTGGGAACATCGTCGACAGTCTTGTGCAGCACCAGATGCATAACAAGTGGGTTATCGTCCACTGCCCCCCTAAAACACCCTGGTCCAGGCGTACTCCGTACAGTTTGGCAGAATATTTTGCCAATTAAGCACCTACCTAGGTAGGTATACACTAATATTCCATGGTGTATTATAGCATCAACCGCGATAGTTAGCTACCTGACCTGGTTAACTGCCTGGTAGTGCCTTTTGCCTCCCACTGTTTGAAAAAAAAAAAACCAAATCATCCACAGGCCTGGTCCAGGTTGGCGATACAGATCTCCAAATTGTCAAGGCACATCAACTTTCGCCTGTGAGCAGGCAAGTGCAGTTGAGTCAATTGCATACCCGCTGCAATGGCTCTCACAATCCCGATACCAGAAGGGCCCTTCGAGTCCATCGCCTTCCTCGGAGATCGTACGGACTGGCCAGCCTGGTTTGACGATGTCACCGCCATCTCAAGGGCCTTGGATATTTGGAAATATGTCGATCCCGACGGCAAAGACCACCGTCTGAACGAACCCATCAAGCCTACCGTCCCGAAACGACCCAACTTAAAACAGTTTCCGGCTAGAGGGCAGTACGAGACGGACAAGGTGTACGATTTGCGGGTTGAGCAGGCGAGGCATGCTCATTCTCTCTCTACACGAGAATACGATGTCTTGTATGAACAGTACCGCATGGACACTGCTAAATACTTGAGCGACCTTGCTGGTTACACGGCCGCCAAAGACGGTCTTCAAAAGCTGTACAAAATCATTTACAGAAGCATCCCTGAGAGATGCCGTGCCTACATGAGACTAGATGGAGCAGAGACGCCCCGTGATATGATCCTGTGTCTGAGGTCGAGAATCAACCCCCCCTCGGATGAAGAAAGGGCGTCGATTGCTCAGCGACAATTTGACATCAATTTGAGAGCTCAGCCTACGGATGACAAGCAAGTATTCATCGAGGCCATTGCCCTGGCCGCCGTCGAACTGCATCGACTCCAAGCGTCAACGTTTCATGAGGCTGTCGCAGTCGAGGACCTGATCAAGTCTTTCCAGACAATTGATAAGCCCTTGGTAGATGCGTGGACTCGCAAGCTAGATGGGGCCCCTGGACGAGCCTTCGGCACGGTGCTTGACATCGTCGAAGAATTCAAGTACAAGATGCGCATACAGGATGACAAGCCCTATCTTAAGGACCTGTCTGGTGCCACACCCGCTTCGGCCTCTGTTTCCGGTGGCACAACGCTTGGAGAACCGGAGCCACCAATCTCCGTGGAGGTCGAGACGCGGAAACCCCTTGTTCAAAATCACACAGCTAAACAGAATGGAGTTGACTCGGCAAACCCGTCCAAGAAGGCAAAGAAGGTCAAGCAAGACGCAGTTGTCGCCGACGAGCAACAGCCCAAATTCGAAATGGCAGAGAGGGAAGCTTCGTTCAACGATAAACCCTTCAAGTCCAAGAACGGTGGTTCAGATCACCCGCCTACAGAGAAATACTCCAAGTCCAAGAAGAAGGACCAATCGAACGGCGGTCTTGCTAAGCAAACCTGCCCAGGCTGTCAGTTAAGACATGTTATCCGGGGCGACGCCTGGTGGGAGAGCTGTTACGTGTACTACGAACTCGAGGATTTGGGTAATGTGCCGGAGCATTTCACCGTCACCGACAGGAAATTGGATTTGGCCTTCTCTCGACTGGAGGATTTCCCTGATGAGCGTAGACGGGCAAGTGAGTGGGCGGGAAAACAGAGTGGACAGAATGGCGCGAAGGAGCCAGAGCCTGCCGCGTTCAATCTGTGGTGAACGGTTGATCTCACATGTAGACGAAACGAAAGAGGGTATAGTAGAGGAACAGGTGATATAGATGATGTATTTATTGTGTTGTGGGATACATGGTCGTACACTTCGGGGGACAAGAGGCTTGAGCGTTTTTGTTGTTGCAATCTCATCCGCATTCATCTGGGCATCGCACGCGCTCCGGTAATGGCGATAGGAGCTTATAATGTTTTGAATATTTACATGTAGAAACACCAGTCTGGTTAATTTTCCAAGTCTCTTCCAAAGTCAATCAGCCGCAGCCTGTTGGCATCCTTGGGGTGAAACTGCGCAACCTTGCTCCGCACCAAGAACCTCGCCGCCGCCGACTCCCGTTCCAGCACCACATACGATGCTGAATTATCCCCCTTTGCCTGAACCAACCTATTTGATAACTCCTCGGTCAACTCGCGCATCTCCCTCCCCGCCGCCTGGATCTCCTCCTCCCCATCCACTCTACCGCCGCCGCCGCCGCCGCCGCCGCTGGTCCTTCCGGCCGCCGCTCCCCAAATCTCATCTATCCTTCTCTGCCGCTTATCCTCCCCAACACCCTTGGACTTCTTCAGCTTCCCCTGGGCGTTGAACCCGGCCGCCAAGTCATCAGGATCAACTTCCATAACATCCCCCACCACAGGACCGCCCAGCTCCTCAGCCGCTAGCATGGGAGCAAGCTGATTGTCAATAAAGTCCAGCAACGCCCTCATGAGCTGTTTCCTCTCTTTGTCGTAAGCCTTTGTCTTCGCACGCAGCTCATCCATCTTTTCGCGGGCGCTGTCCTCGGGTCTCATCTCAGCCTTAGCCACGAGTTCCTGCCGCAGGGCTGCGATTCTCGACGTGAGCGCATCCGTGAGGAGATGCTGGTCCTTGAGGTTGGTGCGGTCAGACTCGAGCTGTTTGCGTTCACGCTCTGCCTCGGAGGCGTGGGATTCCAGGTACGCCCTTGACTCGGTGATGGTTTGGTGCGCGCGGCGGAGGGCAAGGAGCGCGGGCAGGACGGAGCCGGGGAAGGGGAGGAAGGGCTCCGATGTGGTGTTGATGTTTGCTAGAGCGGTTTTTATGACAGTGGCTTGGTCTTCTGGTGATAGGGAGACTTCTGTTTGCGCGGACCGGTTCTGGTGGTTTTTGAGAGTCAGTGAGGGCATCGTGGAGGGAGCGCGAATAACGCGTCTGAAACTCACTTTATCGAGATCGGCTTGGTGGTCGCGGACTTTGCGTTGTAGCTCTTTCAGGGTGAAACTCAGGTTTGCCGCGTAGACGTCGGCCTCGGTGGCTCGCGAGCCGTCATCCATGGCTGTTTATGGTGTGCAGGTGGGAAGTTGACGAGTAGGTGAGTGAGCGGGCGAGCATCTCGCACACGCGTTGGTCGTTGGCAGCTATGTTGCCAATGAGCTTATATAAGTCACAGGGTTTTACCTCGTTTACAAAAAAAGGAAGCGTGTGAGATGATTGGGAAGGGATCAATTACTGCGGCACAGTACGCCCGAAGGTGAGTTTGCGGCGAGTAGGTCCAATGACAGCATATCACATACAGTGTGTATGACTTATGTGGGTGGGCTCATGCGAGGCCAGCTGTGATGAGGTGCAAGAATTACCATTGCCTCCTATTCATGCCGACATCCGCATTTCAAGTCAGGTCATGGCCGGTTTTTTATTCAAGATCCCCCAGTAAGGTGAAATGGCTCAAAATAGAATCTTGTCAATCCATTCATCAACAGCCAGGCTCCCGGCGTTCACCATGTTCGCCAATCACTCGGTGCAGCTTGCCGCTCGTGCAACCCATCACTAGGTCAGCTCCCACGTGACACACCTCACACACCTCACACAGCTGGTTTCTCTTTCTTCTCCACCCTGGGCCCTGGCTGACTCTTTGCTCTCCCAACTTCTCGCGACACGCCTCCAGACAGAGCGACCATCATTTCCTGCTCGGCCGAGAGTCTTTCCATCTTGGGGTGCATACGTCCCATATCTGACAACCGTCCTGACGGCCTCGACCGCACTTCTCCATCTTCGCTTTTCCCTGCGACCCATTCTCACCCCGCGCACTGGCACATTCCATGCTCGCCTGCTGACTCAATTTGCGCCCTCCTTTTGCGACACTCTGGTCATATCCCACTGTCGACTTCCCTCTCCTTGCGGCGTCCTCCGCACGACGACCATCTGCCAAGCGATATCAGTCCGTTGGTTATTAACTTTGAAGTGTGGCCAACAAAGGTTTGGTTTGAGCTCACCGCTTGCCTCTTCCTTGTTCTGCTTGCGAGAAAACCTTCATCCCAGTAGTCGATCGCTTCACCTCACTCCGTTTCTTACCAGCCAAAGCAACTTCCATCATCGCACCTCCCTCCTCTTTCTCCTCCACAGTCATCTAGGAGTATTTCACCAAGGAAAGCCCTGGCGTTTCGGCACCCTCCTTTTATACATTTGCAGATCAGTTACCGTCAGGAAGACAGACACTTCTACCACATCCTGAGCCCGTCTTTTTCACTTCTTTGGCCCGCGCCCTCAGTTCTCGTCCACGTCCTCGTCCACGTCCACATACTCGCCTCGCCCTCGCGACACTAGCCAAAATATCCAGTCACATCACGAGCATTGCAGAAAATTTTCCGACCCCAGCGATTCTCGTCACTACACCAGCACGTTTTCCTTTCGAAAACCCCTGAGTGTAGATAAAAGACGTTAAATATAGCAGAGAGATCTTGAAAAATCTCTCATCATTTGCCAATTACCAAAAGAACAGTCCCGCCTAGAATTCCTGGGTGCTTGTGATATCTTACGTCAACCAATAATAAAAAAAAAGGGGGAGAAGAAATGTCTGCCTCGCCGCCCCAGCCAACCTCGACGAAGCGTCCTCTGGAGGAGGCTTCCTCGCCGTCCCGTGCCACGGACCAACCCGACGCGAAGCGCCCAGCACTGGATAAGGTCATCAAGAATGATGAAGAGAGGGAAGCTAGCGAATCCACAATTGACGTCGCCGACAAGAACGGAGACGAAGATGGCAGCAAGTCAGATCAGCCAGATGTTCCTGTAACAGACGGAGGCAGCGATACGAAGGCCGCTGGTGCATCCAATGTCACGGCATCGAGCGACGCTGCGGCAAACTCTGCTGCTGCTCACGACGAGACATCTTGGATTCACATTCGAGCTGTCATCTCGAGTCCGGAAGCCGCCACAATCATTGGTAAAGGTGGCGAGAACGTTTCTAACATTAGGAAAATGTCGAATGCCAAATGCACCGTCAGCGACTACCAGAAGGGTGCTGTTGAGCGAATCCTGACAGTCAGCGGAATAGTAGATGCTGTTGCCAAGGCAAGTCCACTTGAGCTTGTTCCCGTCTCAATGGCACCGAGCTAACTTTCTCCTAGGCATTTGGCTTAATTATTCGCACGCTGAACAACGAGCCGCTTGGTGAAGCCTCTACCGCTTCTTCCAAGACATATCCCCTACGTCTCCTGATCCCCCACATTCTCATTGGCTCTATCATTGGTAAGGGTGGTGCTAGAATTCGTGAGATCCAGGAAGCTTCCGGTGCCCGGCTCAATGCCTCTGACTCCTGCCTACCCATGTCGAGCGAGCGATCCCTTGTTGTAATGGGCGTTGCGGATGCTGTCCACATCGCCACATACTATGTTGGGAGCACGCTGCTAGAGCAGCTTAACGAACGCTTCGGTGGTCCAGCCGCTTCGGCATATGCCACACGCAGCGGTGCCCCGGCAGGCTCTATCCCCGGTGGCATGCAAGTTGTCCCTTACTCGCCTCAGCCGGCTTCCGGTCACTATGGACGACCAGAGAACTACGGCCGCCACCAGGATCGACGGGCTCACCACATGCCTCCGGCTACCTACCCTCCACACTACCCGCATAACGCTGCTCCTCCCAATCCCGCTATGCCTATGCAGTATGGAGGTCAACAAGCAGCCTATGGAGGTGCCCCCCATGCCACGCAGCATATGCCTCCTCATGTTGGTCCCCAGCCTCATGGCGGCCCTCAGGGCCCACCCATGCAGCATGGCATGCCCGGTGGCCCTCTTACGCAGCAAATTTTCATTCCCAATGACATGGTCGGCGCTATTATTGGCAAGGGTGGCCAGAAGATTAATGAAATTCGGCAAATCAGTGGTAGTGTGATCAAAATCAATGAGCCTCAAGACAACAGCAACGAGCGACTGGTCACCATCACGGGTACGGAGGAGTGCAATCGTATGGCATTGTATATGCTCTACTCGAGACTCGGTATGGCCGTTACTTCCCATCAATTTACTTCACGGTCTGTATTTCTAACTTTTGATTCCAGAATCGGAGAAGCATCGAGTTTGATTATCAAATTATGGCAAACCCGAAGTCATACAACAACCTTGACGTTCATTGGAACAACACAGGCAAGGAACTTCTTGGCATGTATCAGCTTAGTTTATGTGCGCCCTGTGACGGACTAGGGGTGCGGCTTAGTTGGCCGGTCGTGCTGCATGAGATGTGGTGGTGTGTAATGGCATATTTATTTTACGAGCAAGGTCGTAGGACGGAGAAGAGAGCGTGTTGATCGGGTGATCAAAACGTGGGAGTTTATGGGCTGTGAATGTGTGGGCTGCACCAAGTACTTGTTCAATAGCGCAGTCGAATCTATTTGAGTTGATCGCGTTAACGTATGGGAGTTTTGAAATTCACTGGAAAAAGCTGTACAGTTGCACTGCCATGCGTTCCGCAGGGTTTGTTGTGTAGGGTGATGATGATTTGACGCGACTGTCGCGGTCGCCAATAGAAGTATCTTCAAGCATAGTCATAGACGGGGCATGAGGCTGGCAGAGAGCCCAGCGTATTGTTTAAATTCAACGCTCAAGTTCAGGATGATATCCAACAGGGTGATGCGGTTGGGTAATGGTGAGAATATATAGAAAAGAATGAGAATCATGAGACATAACCGCCCGCCAATCAAAGCCTGTTTAGTTTGACGTGGTACTTGAGAAACACCAGTTAGCCGAAGCGGGATCTTGGCTTTTGTAGCAATCGGATTTAAGAGAATAACGTACCATGTCGACCGATCTTCTCTCTTCTCTCGTATAGTGAATATTTTTGTCGATTACTAGATATTCGGTTAGCATTTTGTTCTCCAGTCGCACAACATGCGGGACAGTCCGGGGGGCGAGGCCGGGGTAAGCGTTGTCACACATGCTGCGGGAAATCGAGCAACTCACCTTTGCCCTCGCCACGCTCGGCTAGATGCGCTTCTTTGCTGTCCCAGCCGAGCATCATGCTTACTGTAGTCCCCTCGGGGACGTCATGCGAATCATGCATGAGGACGTCGTACTGGCCGTAAAATGAGCCGTGGTGTCCTGGAAGATTGGCAGCATCGACATTGTCGGCAAAGGGCTTCATTCGCATCTCGAGCCAGGTGTCGGATGTGCCGTAGGCCGTGAAGACCTCTGTGCAGGGAGCATTTAATGTTGCACTTAGACTCCCACGGACCAAGGCCTTCCAGAAGATATACGTCTCCACTACGGCACGGAACGAAGCAATCCAATTCGTAAAACTGGGCGAGGCAAGAAATGCGTCGTGCGCTGCTAGAGAAGCCCAGCGAATGATCCAAGTCCAAGTTCCGGGACGTTCGATCTGCTGGCCAAAATATGTGGATGATACGCCGGGAACCGCCTGAAGCTGTCGGCAGACGTCGCGAAATGAAAGAGGCAGCTCGGTTCCCTGTTGAAGGGACGGTTTAAATTTTAAAGTGGCGATCTGAATGAGCTCCGAGGAGGTCGTTTTCTGTTTTATAATATGATTCATTTTGAAGAACGTAGCGGCGAATCAAGGCGAGGCAGATTCGGGATATTATGGTCTTATACACGGCTGGTCGTCGACAGTGGGGACTGTTGGTTCGCAAATGCGGCGCGATTTGGGGCGTCTTTAGCGACAACAACAACAACAACAACAATGATATTGATGTCTGTTGTATCGAGGTGGAAAATGAAGTCAGGTTGCTGGAATTGATGTCCGGTTGAAATAAGTAGTCAATGGATAGGGCCTCGCAAGAGTAGGGGATAGTGCGGAGGAGAAGATGGGCAGGCAGCAGAGAGCTTTATTGTTACACGGCGGCTATATCGGTGGGCACAGGACCGGATATTACGCTGGAGGCACCGGCGCAAGAAGCCATGGACCATCACCCACAGGAGCGATAACGGGGGAGGGCATGGACATCGGGAACTATGGGGCGTCCTTTGCAGAAGTCTGGTGCAAAAGGGACCAACCAGTTGAGCCTTTTCCCTACCCACAGTATTTTGTCGTGGGTGGCGAGTCGACACACGTCCAGGGCGGCTCCCGAAGGCAGAAGGAAGTCCGATCCAGTTTTCTCCGAATGCTCTAGAACCGTGGCATACCGTCAAGGTGTAACGTGTGTCATGAAAATTTTACAAAAACATGGACCGAACAAGGGATAACAATAATCTGGCGTGGCCCGTGGTCCATATGTTGACACAACAAAGGAAAGCCCCTACCTCCGCAAGGCCGGAATCCAGGATCTCGGCCAGCAAGACTGGGTGGTGGGACAAAGGACGCAAAGGTCTGGCGTGATTCCTCAGCTACATGTCAGGAGATGGAGGCGCAGGGCACAAGGGAAGACGGAACCGAGGCAGCCACTGACAAGACGGTAGAGCGAATAGCGTCAAGCCAGATCTGTATCGCATTTGTCGATCTGGCCAAGTGGGGCATTCCGAACTAGATAGAGCCTTGAGCCTTGGGTCTTGAGCCTTGAGCCTTTGAAGCCGGCCACTTTTCCGTGGTTCCTCCAAGCCCGGTGTACGGCGAGGTAGTCCGGCAACGGAGGAGAGCTTTGCGGGGATGCACAACAAACGCCTGCTGCGCCCAGGCCTTCGCTTCGTGAACCAAATTTTTTAAAACATCCACCAAGCTCCGTACGTGGAGCAAGAATGGCCATGTTCCCATGTCGGTCGGTTTCTGGCGGATGCCAGTGCCGAACTCGGCAGGCAAATCTCTCAATTTGTCGCTTGCATCGGATCTAGGTCCCCCATTGAGAAGGACGACAAGGCTGGTTTTTATTGCGGTGTATAGAGCTCGGTTCTAACTTCCCTTGTCACCGCGTCTTTCAGTGCCAGTGTCAGTCTCGTATGAGGACCCCGTGTCGAATCTTCACCGAAGATGTCGAGACCACATACATAAATGTACAGTATTTGCCTTCGGATCGGACCTGCCAATCGCAAGACCGACGGTGTCGCGTGAGCTACCAAAGACAGTGACAGCTTCATTATTTAGCATAGCATCCATTGGGACGTGCAAGGCACATTGGGACGAGAATATGAGGGAAAATACTCCGTACTGCAGATCCGAGAGAGTATTTGGCCAAAGAAAAAGAAAGAAAGAAAAAAGCAAAAAAAAAAAAGGTACAAGAAATTATCTGCTTAGCTGAGCTCAAGCAATTGCTCCCATCGTGATTGCCGTTGTAAAGCTCATTTTACTTCGTCACGTGTCAACAACCATTTCTCACCACCAATCAACCTAGAGAGCCTCAACAGTGCCTCCACCCAACACTCAATACGAATCAAAGCCAAACCTACGGAAGCGGTAGTTGAATTAAACAGGCTCACAATGCCCTTGGCTAATATTGAGACCGGCCAAGCGCAGCACAGCACTGAAAATGACGTGGATCCGACCCTTCCATCAGAACTCACCCTCCTGACCCTCAACTGCTGGGGCCTCCTCCATATATCGGCCCTTCGCACTCCTCGCCTCGCCGAAATAGGTAGACATATAGCTGCACTCGAGCCGACTCCTCACATTGTATGTCTCCAAGAATGCTGGGTTCAGGACGATTACCGTGCCATCCGAGACGCTACGCGGGCCATTCTACCTCATGGAAAGTTCTATCACAGTGGTGCGTTTGGGGGTGGTTTAGCCATCCTAAGTCGTTGGCCTATTGAGGAGAGTTCCATGTTTCCTTACAAACTGAACGGACGGCCAACCGCTTTTTGGAGAGGTGATTGGTATGTCGGGAAGGGTGTTGCCACAGCCAAGGTGAGATACGGACCAGGTAGAAAGGACATCATTGAAGTCTTCAACACACATGTAAGTGGCAAAATCATCCATGACAAGCTTTTTCGGCCTTTTGCATAACTAAAACCTTGGTACGAAAGACTCATGCTCCCTATGAAAGCGAGCCTAATGACTCGTATCTCTGTCACCGAACCGCCCAGGCATGGGACATCGCCAAACTGGTCCGCGGTGCCACTGACCGTGGGCACTTGGTCGTCGCCCTTGGTGACTTCAACATGATCCCCCTCTCCCTCGCCTACCGCATCATCACATCCGGCGCCCCCATCCGGGATACGTGGCGTATCCTCCACCCTGACAGTTCCATCGGGGCATCGGACCAAGCCGAAGAAAAGGCTCGCGGTCTCCCCGTCCCTACAGCCGAGCACAACCTCCTTGTCAACGGAGCAGCCAGTGATACAGTCTATAACACGTGGAGATGGAGCAAACAAGAGCAAAAGAAGCTCAAGCACGATCCCTGCCCCGTGGATCCTCATACAAAAGACCCCCAGGGCAAACGCATAGACTATGTCTTCGCATCAACAGGCGACGTCTCCGGTGGAACAGGCTGGATAGTCAAATCTGCTGCTGTAGAAATTACAGGTCGCCACCCAGAGTTGAATTGCTCCCTGTCTGATCACTTTGGCGTCCGGGCCACTCTTCAACGGCACACTCTTTCTGGCGGTGCTGTTCAAAAGCCCACCGAACATGACTTACAGCTTCGCTATAATGAAGAACATACTTGCAGGCTCACCCTCTCCGACTATGACGAGATTCTCGCCTTGACGAAAAAGTATGCTTCTCGAGAAAGGCAGCAGCGATACTGGCGTGGTCTTCACTTTTACGCGTCTGTACTTATTTGGATTGGCTGCTTAGTAGCTGTGTGGTTCAGTCCGCGCAACTTTGTTTCCTTCCTCCTCATGCTGTTAGCCAGTCTAGGCTTGGCCACAGGTGTTATAGACGGTCTCCTGGCTTTATTGTTCTTCTCCGGCGAGATTCGTGGTCTCAAAGAATTTGAATGGGAGGTCCAAAATGCCAGGGCCGCTGCCGTTTCACGCGGGTCATCTTAAGGTGTAGTCATACCACTTACCAAGTTCTGTTATACGCTGAAAGGGGAGAAGAAAAAGGAATAATATTCTATAATACTAATAATACTATGGTCCAGCGACCAATAATTCATTTTCTCAGTCTTCATACTCGGATCCCATACTCGTCTAAGAGTTGCTCGCGCTTCCCCCCCTTCAACTGTTAACACTTCGCTGAGTTTAGAGCTCCGCCATCTCGTATTTCCCCAAATTTGGCGTTATGTACCCCCCGGGACGCATCCGACGCCACCCGTACCCCATGAATGCCGTCTTTTTTCTCACGTCCAAGGCCAATGTTTTGGTGCTCTGATCTCGCAATAATATGTCTCTGGGTCGCTTGCGTTCTTTTCTTCCATACATACGAATGAATGTTTTGAGAGTCTTGCGCTCTTCAGGCGAGATATTGAAAGTTCTATCAATTCTGCGATCAGCACTACGCAGTCTTGTCGAATCGTATGGGGTTGCAATCAGCTCGATCGCCAAATTTTGAACCACAGGCCGGCATTCTCGCAGCACCCAACGAATATGATCAGGTGTCGGGTCCACTGTCTCGTTCTCAGAGGAAGCCATGGGCTCTGTAAAAGGATCTGACTCGTCAAAATAATGAGTGTCATCGAGACTAGTTATGTGTGGCACAAACGGTGGGTTGATGGCATGAACACGGTCCCAGGGAAAATTCTTGAACCAGCGGTGAGACTTGATATCTTCCGCATCATCTGGAAAGACATGTCTTCCAAAGATATCCGTGTATCGTCTATTGTCAACCTGGCAGCGATCCTTCATTTGGTACCGCCTCGAGCATAGCCGGAGCTCCTTGTCCTGAATCAGCCGATATACCAAGTCCTTGCATTTATCGCTAATCAAAGGTCGATGTGGGAACGAGAAGATCTTTTTGTGATCCTAGGAGTATGATCATCAGAAATTCTTGGTCCCTGAACCTCGGGGAACTCGGACGAAACCTACCAAGATGTTGCTCTTCGTCTGTTTTCGACCATCGTCGGCAAAGAAAGGGGTATGCCCATAAAGGCACTCATATAGAATGATGCCAATGCTCTACCAATCGCACCTTCCATCATACTCAGAACCTTTACAAGCTCTGATCACCTCTGGTGCCATGTACTGGCTCGTTCCGACGACAGAATTCGCTGAGACACGGTTGCCGCATCTGTTTCTCTAGCCCAGAAGGCTAGGCAAATCGTCTTCGTTTCCTACACTCTTCCGTTCGTGGCGGTCCAAAATTTCCTTCATTGCTTGCAGCCAGGGTATCTGTGAACTAATATTGGCAGACTTCTTTCGATCCTCTGCGTCGCCATCCACACGGATACCCAGTCTGCCCAACAAAGAGTAACGCTGGCAGTTGTAATATGAAAGGTCATGAGACCAGTGTCCGTCAAATGCGAGCCCAAAGTCCGATATTTTTAAATGTCCCGATGCCGATATCAGAAAATTGTCAGGCTTGATGTCACGATGAATGAACTTGAGTCGATGCGCTTCCTCAACCGCCAGAATCATTTCAGCAATGTAGAATCTTGCCACTGACTCAGGAAGTATGTTTTCTCGAATCAATAGACCAAGAAAGTCTCCACCTGGCATGTATTCCATCACCAAGTAAAGACTTGTCAGGTCATCGAAACTGGCTACCAATGGAACAATCCTGTCGTGGTTAGTGAGCATGGCACCGCCTCTGAAATCGCTGGGAACTCGAGACACTAACCAGTTGGAACCTTCTGAGGCGACAAGAAAATCCCTCTCTGCTCTTAAATGTCCCTCTTGGCAGCTCCGAAGCATCTCCGACTTTCGTATGATCTTCATTGCATAAACTTGCCGAGGAAACGCATGCGCCTCACTAGCTTTTTCACGTACTAATTTGACAACCCCAAAGCTGCCTCGGCCAAGCACCTTTAGGCAGTCATAATTTTCCGCGTAGGAAAGGTCTTGACGATCGAGAGAAAGAAGAGATTTTATTGTCATTACTCGTGTCTCTCTTGAGTGGCACGTCTCCTGGTAGTAAAATGATCGTCTGATGACATCCTTTTCATCTAGATCCAAATGCGGACTGTAGTAGAGCTGGGATTCTAGATATTGTTGGCGAGCAGCCCGAGCGTTCGGCTTGTTTAAAAGATTATTGAAGTAAGTTTCAAGATACACCTTGGCGCCTGCTGCCTTCTCAACAGTGAGGATTGTGGGCTGTGGTTGATATAGCCCCTCGTCGATGGTTTGCAAGGTGCCAGCATCCGGACTAGATCTGGACCACGGATGCCTACGGCTCCGACGTCGTTTCGGACTTGCTTTGTTGGAAGTTGATTGCGAAACCCTAGAATCCACAGATGTTTTCCGAGTTGAGTTGTTCCCAACGACGGACGATTTGTCAGTACCCAGCGAGGAAATCGAGCTAACAGCATCGCCAAGAGGCAAGGAGGGAGAGCTTGGCATGGCTTGCAGAGACGTCCGCCGTCGCAAAGAAGAGCCTCGAAGGACAACTGTTGCATTGGTTGAAGTTCCAAAGTTCTCAAATCTGAGCCGCTTCGCGAGAGCTTTTGGTGACGAACCCCTGCCTTTGTGCAAAGGAATTGGTGTCATCCCACCCACGCCATGGCTGACGTATTTTCTGTCCGCATTTGGGGATGAAGAGCGCCTTTGATTCCATTCAATGATGTTGGAATTATCCGAGCCTAGTTTTTGTTGGCAGGTGTCAGCCATTATGTCAAGAAAAGGGGGCAGGCACGTACAATTGTATGTGGTTTGTCTGATGGCGCGGATAGCACTGCGTATCTCGGACAATACTTTGATACTCCCAGGTCGATTCTTGGGTGAATTCAACTCGGTTTGCTCTCCATCTTTTGCGTTTGGCTGTGGTCCTGTTATCTGTCTAGCTGCTGGGTCCAGTACTGGGCAACTACTGCGCTTGTTCAACAGCTTCGGCAGCATATTGCCTGGCACTCAACGACGACTTCAATGTCAAGAGCTGACTGTCTTTGCCGAACCCACCTCGATAATATTTATTCCTGAAATGCGTCGATAGGCATGTAGGCGGGTGAGTTGACTTCCACAGCCCACGGGTCGGGCAAATGGAATGAATGCTACTGATCAAAGTTGGACGACTGGCACGGATGGCAAGGAGGCGAGGTTTCGGTTTCTGGGTTCGTTTAGACCGAACCTGCTCTACACGTGAATTCGGGCTTCGTTACTTTCCGCTTCTTGGCCGAATGTAGGCGTGATTCGGGATGGCTCTTGCCTCCCCAGGACATGTGTTAACACGGCTTCCTCAACTCCCTGGCTACACATCAGCAAGTAACAAATAGTTCTATGTCAAGGTATACAGTCGCAAGCATCTTCGGCATGTGTCTCGGCCATGTCACGCAACTTCCATCAAACATTGCTTTTATTGTATAAGTACGCCAGAATCCTTGAAGCAGGCACTCAATACATCCATCAGCGGCGATCTATGCTATCGACAACGCCCTGCTCAGTGATACGCCAATCATGCAAATGCGGATCATCGCCTCATCCTCCCCTCTATGCCCAACTGCATTATTGCGTTCAGTATTCATCAAACACGCCCGCAAATCCTAACAGAGGAGACAGGTCCAAGACTCTTCAGCATCGCGGTGGGTCTTACGATGGAAATTCCAAACCTGGAACGTGACAAACGCCGCTACCCAGCTCGTGCCAGTATCAACTCAGAGTTGGGCGCCCGGGATATTCTTTTACATGCAAAACCAAGAACAAAGGAGAAATGAATACATCAAGTCGGGAGCCTGTTTTGACTTATTTGATCTCGAGAAGCTTGACATCAAAGGTCAATTGGCTGTTGGCAGGGATGCCAGGCATGCCACGAGAGCCATATCCAAGATTTGCAGGGATGGTCAAACGACGTTCACCGCCAATGGCCATGCCGGCAATACCAATGTCCCACCCCTTGATAACCTCATCCTTACCGACTTTGAAGGAAAAGGGTTTACCCTTTTTGTTGGCTATTTCCATGACTTAGCATGATAGAACAGATGAGAACAAGTAGATTCGACTTCACATACCATCAAACTGCTGGCCGTTAGCAAGCTTGCCAATATATCGGACGGCAACGGTGTCGCCCTTCTTAACGGTGCGACCCTTGCCAATGGTTCGGTCGTCGACGGTAACGCCCTGAACGACCTTTACGCCAGTAGTGGCCTTGCCGGACTGCTTGCCAGAGCCAGTAGGCCCCTGCTCGAGGTTCTTGGCGAACTGGACCTTCTTGTCCTTCTTGCTCTCCTCGGCAGCTACGGCCTCCGCCTTGTTGTTCTTGAGCTTCTTCTGTTGCTTCTTGGAGTCGGAAGCCTTGGCAATCATCTCATCGAGACCGTCGGCTTCCTCGGCAGAGCGCTTATTCTTGCCCTTCTTGGTCTTTACCAGCTTAGGAGCTTCCTCCTCGTCAGAGTCGACCTCGGTGACACGGGGATCCTCAACATCATCAAGCTCGTCGCTCTCATCGTCACTAGCATCCTCTCCCATGGCGTAATCCAGCTCTTCAGGGTCGAAGTCATAGTCCTCCTCGTCATCCTCACTGTCATAGTCGTCCTCATCATCCATGATGTAGTTTCCAGTGAGGTAGACGGTGTGTGTACCAGTGACAACAAAGAATACCTTCTCGCCGTGGTTGACAGTGATATCGAGCGGCTGCTGATAGTTCTGCGTGCTACTGTTAGCCCCACATCCATTGACTGACATGATCAAGGCTATTGACTTACCCGCTCGGTATCAAGAGTGCAGACAACGAAGTTCTCGAGGTCAGCACCGTCATCGCTGTCGTCATCCTCGTCATCCTCGTCTTCATCATCCTCGTCTTCTTCTTCGACTTCCTCAGTGGCCTTGGCCTTGCCCTTAGCTTTGCCCTTCTTGTCCTTACCCTTCACACCGTTGGGCTTGGCATCCTCCATGTCTTCATCTTCGTCATCTTCTTCATCCTCATCCTCCTTGGTAGCCTCAAGGAGTTTCTTGATAGCAGCGGCCTGCTTCTGCTTCTTAGCCTTGGTGGGATCGCTAGGGCCACCGTTGGCTTCCTCATCATCCTCATCCTCATCGTCGTCAGAGGCAGCGAGCAAAGCCTTCATATATTCGTCATCGATCTCCTCGTCGTCATCCTCATCGTCAAGGCCAGGGAAAGCCCGCTTAACAAGTCGCAGAGTAGCGCGAGGAACAGCAGGCACGTTGCCCTCTTCATCAGCCTCTGGCTCCTCGGTAGGGTCCAACGCAGCCATGGTGATGCGGAACTGGTTTGTCGGTTAGTTGATTTGCCGCAAGTTCATGGCAGAGAAATGCCAATCTGAAGGGCATGTTTCATGCTTGCATCTTGGGACATCATAACAACATGACAAGGTGAGAAATAGCACTCACAGAAGCAGGGAAGTCCATGGCGGCCGGGATCAAAATCTCGCCAGGTGGGACCTCGAGGCCATACACGGGACCAGGAACGGCGGACATTTTGGCTAGACTAGTTATAAATTGAGAAGCAAGAAGATGTGTAAAGGACGCCGAGGGAATTATTAGGTGGAGATGGAAGGCGAAGAAGTCTGCAGTTGCAAAACGTGATATTTCTCTGGCACTGGCGAGGTGTGAAAATCGAAGATCGAAAAGTCAAGGCCAGCGAGCGACGAGCTTTGGAAATTTTTCTTTTCCTTCGCTGTCGAGACTCCGCTTTGGACTTCTGGCCAATTAGAAAGCGCGATAAGTCGTTATCGTAACGTGGGACCAGCACTGGGGCGCTGTCTCAGCAACGGCCCCACCCGAACCGCCCAAGTACCTAGGTATCTAAGCACCGTAACCTGCAAACGCAGGCAACTGCGACTGAGGTGAACATTCGAAAATGCCGTCTGAATATTCGGACTGATATCAAGGGCTGCCTCTCAATCAACCAGACGTCATCATTTTCTTGACCACGCCCCTGAAGACCCTTTCATCGTCCTTCATCGTCCACAATAATGCCTTTTGAGGTGAGGAGTTCAATCAAGAGTTTCATGGCATGTTTGTACGCTACATATATATTTACGGCTCTTGTCTTGTGCCCTTGCCCGGAGTAGGAGATGTTTCCGCTCTTCGAGAATCGATACCACCCATCAACCCTGCCGACACCAAAACGACGAGATATACTACATTTCTACCCCGTTTCTTCAGCATCCTCACAACACTCCATCACGTCTGATTAATTGCCCCCAACAAACTTTCACCTCGTCCTCTGCTCTGTCACGACTGGCTCACGGCGTCTTTGCCTTCGCCGTCTCCTGCCGTCGTGTCAGATTCAGAAACCATGCCTTGACAATTTGCCAGGAAAAACGCAGATAGAATACAGATTGATTACCTTCATAGAACTGGCCCCGGTCCCCAACCTCGGTCATCATCAGACCTGCCTCGACAACTGGCTGAGCCCAGCGGTTACTAGCTCGTGCATATGCAGCAACCAGCTCATTCCCATTCGTAACGCCGCCTAAAACACCAGCATCTAATATTAGCCTTGCATCAGAGGAGCCGTGGGTTGCAGCATACCGCTTGACCAAAAATTGCCATCCTGCACCCATCGGTACTTGTCCCCAACTAGATTCAACTTGGGGAACGACTCCTTCAACCAATTCTGCAATCCTCTCGGCCCACTCGCTCTTTTGCCATCCGCAATGCCTGCAGACGCACATATGAACAAGCCCGTGCAGATACTCAGCACATCCACGCCCTCTGTCTCGGCATGTCCTCGTAGCCACTTGAGTCCCTCTTCTGCAAACTTCTCTGTCGGATCGGGGCCAGGAACAACCACCATGTCCAGTTTGCCCGGAGCCACCTCCTCGTCCGTGTATACGTGGGTAGCTTTCAGAACAGCCCCTGAAGTCAATGGAATCTCGGGCCCTTGCTTCGGGCTGCTAACGTAGTAAATGGACACGTCTGGTGCGAGAGAAGAAACGTGCGAAGGGATGAAGGGGAGGACGCCGAGGTACTTCTTGGACATGACGCCGAAGCTATCAACGCATGCAACGTCGAGGAATTGAGCGCCATTGGGGATGAACACTCCTATCTTGATGTGTGACGACATTTCGACTTGCCTTTATTGGTCCTTTCTTGCTGAATAGTTGATGGGTGATGTGGGAGGTAAGAGGGCAACTTGTAGTGCAATCTTGAATAATGCACGTTAACACCACAACTCTAATGGGCCGCCCACTAAATCCAAGTGGACAATTCAGTAGGGAGAGTAGAGCAGTGCGCAAGCAGGATGAGGGAAAGTGCGAGGCAAAAGAATTTGTATTCCAAGACCCCAACACTACTTATACTCTTTCTACAGCCATAAACCCGCGACACATCGGATTTGCGACGCCGCGTGGCGGACGCAAAGTGGACGTACATCCGGACCTGCTCGGAGTTGAGACGGCGGCGGCGGGAGATCCACTCCGCCTTTGCCGCCGAGGCAAGCGATTAAACTTCAATGTCAGCATTCCGATGAGCGTTGACGTGGGCGAATAACCAGTTTATTCGTACGACTCAGGGGCCAGGACAGCGGGCTGTGCTTGCGAGATTTGTGTTCCATCCAAGCGCAACTTTCCTTGCATTGGCGGTTCAATCTTCATCACGGGGCGTGGCATTAATCATCACTTACACCACGGCCCGGCAGAAACCATTGACAAAATCCCAGTCTCACGCACCGGAGCCAGGGCTACATCCATAAGCATTAAATATTAATCATCTAGTCCAAGACATTAATTACTTCCAGTCTCGTCGCGCCTCTTCCGGGCCCCCATTACAGCACGACCCGAACCCCCCATGCTCATTGATTCCTCTATGCAAAAATGTCTAGCGAATGTGCAAGACCAGCCAGTGACCGGGGACACTGCGCGGATGCCCAACCCCCGAAATAAACGCCGGCCACTGAAGTTGGAAGAAAGAAAAGAAAGGAAAGCTTCGCATCGAAACATGATTCTTTGACGCTGACTCCCAGGCTATGAAGCGGGTAGCTCATGCAAGTATGTGCAGATTAGGTCCTGTACAGCACGTTGTGCCATAAAACCACCACCATGTAAAATAAATAAATATATGTGAATCAAAGAGTCGCTGAACCAGGCATCCCGAAATCACCAGTGCCACGCCTTCGTGTCTCGCAGATAAGTCGTGGTGGCAAGAAGGAACCACAAGTAAACATTTCCATTGGACAAACGGGGTCACGCCATGTCCATCGCAGCCTTGGACGTGGCCCTCTGCCGTGTGACTTTCTTGCTGACCGCGTATACGAGATTCACCGTCCAAAGATGACATATCTCGGCCTGGGCGCAGGGGATGGCGCCGTACAGGGGGGCCACCACCGGCACGAGGATGTAGTCGACAAAGTTCTTCTTGACCGAGCGGTGCGAGAAGCACATGCCGTCTGCGAGCTTGGCGCGCGTCATTTCCTTCTCGCGTGCGGCTACGCAAATCCGGTGGTAGCTTTCATAGAGAAACAGGTAGCAGGCTACGCCCATGAACCCCATGGTTCGCAACATGTTGGATACCGCAAAGATCCAGGCGACATTGTGGGGGTCCCCGTTTCCATCTGCAAACCATACGTACAGCGCGGAAGCAAAGACGAGAATGGTCATGTGGACGGGTAAAAAGTGCGCCTCGAATAGTCGGTGGAAGAGATAGAATATCTTCTCCAAGTGCGGTTCCTTGATGGTGTCCTGGGTCAGGTCCGAGAAGATGCCGTTCGCAGCCGACACGTCGGCGGTGCTTGTGAATTCAATGTCGGGAATATACAGGCTCGATTCGTTGCCCTGGCTGTGAAGAGGCCTGAAGGTTCTCGTCGTCTGTTTGCGCTCTTTCCACATCTCAGCTGCCTTGCGCAGGGCGAACCCAGTATCCAATGCTCCCCACATGTGACGGAGAGCCTGCTTATATCGTGCCTTGATGTCCTTCACGGCTCCTCGGATGCCTCCTTTCCCGCCGCCCGTGACATTGCTCTGGCTTACGGGGCTAAGCACTGTCCGACAGGTCAAGTTGCCATTGAGCGCAAAGAAGCATTTAATGTACATGTGTAAATCTTCACCAATGGCCTCAGCGTCGCAGTCCCAGCCGCCGACACGGTCAACCAGGATCAGAGGCAGAGAGTAGACTGAAGTAGGGGGGGCTATAACTGAGCCCTTGTAGAGACCAGAGATTCCGGCTGCACACCAAAGAATGTCAGCCACGCGGACAATCGCCGGTACGGCATGGGCGTTGCGATCAAAGATGATCGGCGCGGCATACAGTGTAGTCGACGCTGTGTCAGGGTGGGCATGATGCATGCTGGTAATGCTGGTGAAGTAGCTAGATGAAAGATGGCTGTCCGCTGTAGAATCTTTGTAAGCTCCGTTGTCTTCAAAATGCACAAGAAAGACCTGGACGTACCATCAATTCCAGTCACAATGACATTTTGCCTCATCCCCATCGAATACTTGACACTGAGTTTGCGTGCAGCCCAAGCCAGATTGCTGCCCTTTCCAGCGGCCTCCCCTGGAATGTCTGCAGGATGTATAGAGAAGTCGATGGAGCGGAACTTGTTGACAAATTCATGGATGAGCTTGAGAGCCTTTGATTCAGATTCGGCTTCGCGCTGTTCCATTCCGAGGTAGACCTGGTGCCAGCATTAGCCTCATCCTATCTCTCGACTGGCAGATCTGCCACCCCAATTGTTGCGCTTGATCAAGTGCCAGAATAGCATTCTCGATGCTGATAGTAGCCGTGAAACTCAGGCCTTGCGTACGCCGGTTTTCTTCTCTCTTTGAGGTACTTACATCATAGCAATTTCGAGCCTGGGAATGCGAGGCCAGGACGTCCAGTGTCTCTTTGAGAGTGTCCATCTCCTCCTTGTAATTAGGAATTATAATTGCGTGAATGACAGCATCTTCCATGTATTCAGTGGCATCTGTGTAGTTTTCAAGCTCATGGTCACTGGTCTCGCTGAACATTGACGAACAAGCATTGCTCTCCGTAGCCAGAGTCTCCGAGGTAAGTGTCGCAGAGCTGCTAACAGATGTCAAAGATACGCGACGGCGCACCATGGTCCTTTTGTAGTCCTCAATTGCCTTGCTCTGGGCCGCCTTCTTGAGCGATTGGGTCATGGTCCAAACCGACCAGCATGCCCGGACGGGGAAGACGAACACGAGCCCATGGATAAACAGACAGTAGTACGAGAATACCACTGTCCAGATTCCCGCCCCGTGTTGAGGGGTTACGATCGGTTTGAAAGCCGCTTGCTCGTTTTCTCTGCTGAATTCGTCGCTTTGCCATTCTTCTTGCGCCTCGCGAGAGACAACCCAGTAGCATAAAGCTATTAGAACAAGCATGCTCAGGGCGCCGGCCCGTCTCGAGCACCACGTAAATACGGACATTGTCAATCTCGGAGCTCGGGAAGCTTCGTGGCTTCGTGGCGCGCCCCAGACCAGAAGCAACTGACAATCCGACGATGCCAGTGGTAGTTGCAATTCGGGACCGAGGCTGCAGTATATTGGAATGAGCCACTGAAACGTCTTGTCCCATGAAGGTACAAACAAGGTAACAGGAAAAGTCAACAAGGCTTTGCCTAGACTGCAGAGGGCGAAAAAGATGAAGATGAAAGAAAAAAAACAGAGCAGCCACACTGAGAGGGCTGGAGTACCTGGGCCAGATAAAACTGACCACAGATCTCTTGGCTCCTCTCTCGGGCAAGTTTGTCGACGCATGACCCATCCCAGGGGCCTGTCCAGAAATTGATGGGCGGAAACATGACGAAATTGTACAGAACAAGGCTGGACGACGGATTCTATTCCCACATCAAAAGGCTGGCTAGACGGGCTGTTCCACATGTCACCGTTCAACCGCCAACAAGCCTCAGTACAGGCGGTACAAGGTACATGTGTGTGACTGGGTTGGAATGAAGGGTTAGCACTTGCCTTGGGAATATGCATGGTCCATGTCCGTATTGAACGGTGATGGTTTAAGGATGTGGTCTGTAGATCAATGACCCTTGGTGTAAGCGGTGCCTGGACACTCCAGCTCCGTTATCAGACCCTTTCAATGCTGGCCTATAACTAAGCCGCAACAGCACACGCAATACACTAGAGTATTATTGGGCGGGCTTTGAACCGCCTCAACGAAAGACTTTGCCAAGAGGGTTTTGCAAGAACGCGCGAGCCGTTGCAATTGAAGCAAGTGGCAGGGCAAGGCGCAGTCAGGAACAAGGGTCCGTGGAAGCTAACAAGGCGTCTTTGCCTGGCATCTCTGAGTTGTCATAAGTTATATGAAGTTGGTAGCTTGTTAAAAAAAGGGCGTGATGAATATACGTGTAAGGTGAAGACAGAACCAGCTTTCCATACACATACTAGTATTGGAGTGGCATTTGAGGAATGCTACCACCATGCTAGGTTAGAAATACCATGTTCGCTTGATCACATCTGTCCGTCATGCATTGTATGTATAACCAACTGGAAGTACCGAATAGCCGTCGAGAAGAGCTTCCGAGTCCGATGCAAACCTTGTCTCAGACTGAACGAACGGCCGGGTCCTGGCGGTCAAAGTAGGACGTCCAGCCTCGGGTCACACAAGAGCACCGGCCCAATGCCTCCGAACCCGGGGTGACACAAGAGTGTTAAATCAAACTCAAACTCCCACCGTTGAGGCTTTGGCTCTGCTGAGCGTGGTTGACGCCAACTGGAGCTCTTTTCCATCGTCGCCCGGTGAGTGGCTTCAAGGTTGCCAAGGGCCCAGGATGGTCAACTACCCAATTAGAGGCTTGGCTGTTGGGCGGAGGCGACGATCAGTTCTATTAGAGGCTTGGAGGCGTTCCTGTGCAAACCAAGTCAGGTTCCAGGTACACATGTCTGAGGGGAACTCAAACCCACGACGAAATCAACATTTGAAGTGGCACGTATGTACAACATCATTTGCCCATGCACTGTACTCCATGGTTGTGATAGGCCCATTAACGTACTCGGGAGTCGGGATGTTGAGCTCTGGGTAGACACTGAGAACACAGCCGAGTGAACTTGGCGTCTCGTTCGGGTTGTCTTGTTTTGCTCCGTGACCGTTGAATTGGCTGCCTCCCGATCAGCCCCAGGAAATTGCTGCCAGAGGCTTCATAACTATCATGCCACATCATGCCATGCCAAGCAGCACTGCTTGCTTTTGCTCTGCCACTCCTGTGACGAGACAAGGCCATGTTATCCATCTAAGCAGTGACAACACCATATTTTGAAGCCGTGAAAATCATGATCAACAAACAGAGGCAACATCTGAGGGAGGCTGCGGCATTATGTAAAAGATCGTCTATTTCGTGCCGCACATTCCCAGAAAGTACTGTACTATCCCCCTGTACCCAGTTCAGCGGGTGTTGTCGTTGCGCTTCTCGTTGCTTAGTGGCAAGAAGACCGTCGCCGCCTCTCTGTCCAACTTGGCGTCATGTTCATTCTAAACATATTGCAAGTCTTGGTGCTGTCCTTGATGTGTACTATTGGTAGCCAGAGGCAAGTGCCGTCGAATCCCCATGAAACACTGTGGGGAGGCTCATCGGCAATGGAGATCCGTCGCCAGAACACACTCGTACGGGCATCTTATGTACATGATACCCATTTTCAGGTTGTTCGCGTTAATCGCGCCGAAACCGCTTACAGCGCAAATCACTTTTTGATTCTGCACGGCAAATGACAGCTGACGATGTCGAGGAAGCATACGGCAGAGGCAACAGAGTATTTAACCAGCTCAGGTACGTGGCCGTCGCGCTCCATGCTATAGTACACTACAGTACTCCGTAGACGAAGTAGTAGTGTATGCTTCATGGGCAAATATATTCTGCCACAGACTGTATAATCTGATCCTCATCTTATTTTATCAGTTTGTCGTAGTATTGCTACCGGTGATCAGGACTGGGGTTACCTCTCGCTAGCTGACCCCTGTTGGCCAACGTTGTCTGGCGTCACCGTGCACTTGAGCACATTTCCTCCATCGTGGTCGTCAATCGCAACTCAAGTCTGACCCACGAGGCTTCCTCAGTGGTGAGTAGACCCATGCCGGTTGATGGCCGCATGGCGGCTTGCGGTGCCGCTATTGGCCTGGCCTTTCTTCTTTCTCCAAAGCCGACGCAGAAAAGTTGCGGGGTCAGGTGGCATCGCGACCGATTTGTGTTGGGAACAATTTAAGCCTCTCGCAATGATTTTTGGCATAACCTGAGTCGTGATTTGGCGAAATTTGGCGGTGAACGGAGGAGGTCTCAAGTCCAACGTAACGGATGACGAACCATTTAAAACGGAGACGACTTCATAATAGTACTCTCGAGTTTGGCCAAATCACAGGAAATGAGCTGTTCAACCACGTGTGTGCAGCGACTCGTCCAGAACTTCGAACATTGAGCTTTTACCACTTGAAACTCTAGCCCTGTAGATGTTGGAATGCCGTTCCATTTACCACCACCTCAAAGGGGGGATATCTCTGAAGGACATGTACTTACGAGGTATCCGATACATTCACGGTACATTAAAGTGGTCACATGGCTTCATGTATGGTCTTGTTGTCAAGAAAGAGGAGGAGGTTTTGCCCGAAATTTGATTGTATTGGTCCGCGAATAGTGACTCTTCTCGTGAACAGCTTTATCCAGCGGACTGATGAATAATTTGGCTCAGCCCTTCAAAAGATATATGCAGGTTGGTTGGCCCGATCATTTGTGACTCAAAAATATTGACAACACCGGCTTAATATTTCATCGCCATTTCTCAATATCGCACCGTAAAAGTAGATATTGGCGTTCGACCTCGGTGTTTGATATAAATAACTGAAGACGGCCAGGCTGTTGCGGGGGGCCGCAGAGACAGGGATGTTCCTGAAAGGGTGGTTGGAACGGCAGGAATCTTTGTCGGCCTCGAGACCACTTGAATATTTACTTCATCCAGAGATATGATTGATCCATGGAGACGGTTCCTTGTCGGAGCTAGAAAGAGCATAATTGTCCTCTGGTAGAATTCGTCACCGAGTTCGGGAATCTCATTCGAATGATTCCGTAACTATATATTTACCATGTGACGGTGCTCTTTCTTTGTCATACGGTATCATGTGCTCCGTAGATTGGACCCTGGGATAACGCGATGGCGTGCCAAGTTCAGTCCGAATAGGCAGACGGTCCCGGACGGCAAGCTCTTGTATAGTGCGCGATCCCTATTGTGTCTTTTTGTTTCTTTTCCCCCTCAGGGTGCCTTCTCAAAAAGCTCCAAAATTGGTTTCGCGGCCTGGTGTAAAGCGTTGGCGACATTCCAGAGACGATCCAGTGTAACGAGAATAGCAACATCACTTACATCGATAAATTTTTCAAGGTCTTGGTCCAAGTTAGCCAAGTCGTCCTTTCGCCTCTTATTCTCTGCGATGAGTTTTTGCTTTCGTTTCAGCAACTCTTGACGTTGCTGTTCTAGAGCCTCACGCTCTGTGCGTTCATGGTCAATTCTCGCCACCATGAGCTCATCATCGTCGTCATCGGCATGTTCGGGGTGTTGGGCCAGGAATTCATCGACAGGAATAAGGGGCAGTTGCTGGTATTTGTGGCTAAGCAGGAAAATTAGCTGGGGCCTCGAAATGTTATGCAGACCAAGGGGTACGTAACAAGACATGACATACTCGTATGATTCGCAAGCCGATATCTCGCCTTGAAGATGTCGCTGCTCATAGTAAAGGTTCTGCAGCTGAAGATGCAGACGGTCGACCTCTTGACGGGCTTCGGCAGTCTGGGCTTTAGTTTCGCGGGCAGAGATGCAAGCGTCCCGATGTAGACCGCGAAGTTGCGATATGCTAGTAAACAAATGCTTCTGCTGCTTGGCAATCTCGGCCTGTGACTCGGCTGAGGTATGAGAGTCACTGGCCTCGTCTGCCAGGCGAAGAAGTGTGTGAGCCTGGTCGCGTGCTTGGTCGGATATTTGCAAGGCCGCCACCAGACTTGGCTGGGAAACAATCGTGTCGACAGCCATCACGACGCTGTGGCAAAGTTAACCTGGGCAAAAGGACGAAGGGGTGTCTTGTCCCCTACTGATACAGGTATGGATGATGTTGACGAAAGTCGAAGCGGCGTCGATTATTGATTTGTGGTCGTTGGGAGAGCAGAGGTCTCGAAGGGCGGACTGGTGTTTGTTTCAATGTTCAAAACAGGCGCTGGTGTCCCGGGTAGGTACAGGGCGGTAAGCTTCCGCTGTGGGGCACATCCAACAAGATGCAGTAGTATTATTCGCTGGGAGATTTCACAATGCATTGATTGTTTGTTCTCGATGTTTTCGCAAGTTACGGGGTTCACAGACTACTGTACTCCATAAAACGGGGCAAGTTCCTTCTGGATGTGGAACACACACTTGACGTTGACGGTCGATGGGCATGCTACTCCAGGGATATCATGACGACAGGCTCAAGGACGCATTCGACAATGCCAACTTTATGCTGTCAGAAACAGAGCAGTCACCAGTCTTTGGGCTATTCCGAGAAGCCGGGTGGTTGAATGCTATCTCCTTTGGTATACGGATGAGTCAGGTATTGCTATTTCCTTCACGTTTGATCGCTGACATGCGTGCCGCCGTTTTTGCACATGGCTGGCTGAGTGCTGACAGAAAGCAGTCAATCGCGCATTGTGAAGCAAGGGTGTGTCAGACGCTGGTCTGCCAAGGAAGGAACTGATTTGACTGACTCAAATAAGCCTTTGCTTTACGGATTAATTTCCCCGTATGTCTCAAGAAGTAATTCGGAAGATGCCCTTGAACGCGGCACTAGGGGTAAAAACATGGGCGGCATGGGAACTCCGAGAGAGAGAGTTTCAAGGCAGTCGACGATTTATTGTTATTAGACGGCGATGGCCGCGACCTGGAAGGGCTCGCTTGCTCGCCAACCTGACTGCATTTAACTGCATTGACGTAAGCTCGTTACACCAAGACTCGGCCGGCGTCGGAGGTTGCAATGTGGGAGCAAAAAGACGCCGTCAGCATCATGTTCATTTCCGACTAGGTGGATACCTGTGTGCCTTGGGCCTTGTAACTACATAATACACCGGATGGAGTAATAAGTCTTGACACCTTGTCAGCAAGTCGGCATGAGAAATTTAAGAGATTCAGGCAGTACGCTCTTCGCGCTTCCGTTCAATCCCTCGCCCAGACGCGCCGCTGCCAAGTCACGGCGCATTGCAGGTAGCGCTTGGGAGGAGAAGCGATATGCATCAGCGCCGTGGGAACCTCTTTGGCCCTCGTCGCCGGCTGACCCAAGATCTGCGCCCCTCTTCTCCGCCTCCTGCTTGGCCAGTTAGTTCAATGTTGACGCTTTCTGCACACTTGGTTGGGGCCAAGGAACCGGGCGCCCCTCAACAGCGCCTTCGCTCCTCCGAAAGGTCCCGCTTCGCCTGCTGAATCCGCCGTAGCCGCTTTGCCCCAACCAGACCCTCAGCGCCCATGCCCCCAGCCAATTGTCCTCGGCCGCTGTCACTCGTGGTGTCTAGCCCTCTGCTGCCCTCCCTGCATCTCTGTCTTCGACACTCCCGCAAAACTCAACTTGTTTTGTGCCGAGCCCGAGACAAAACCTGCCCGGCCTGTGCGAACGACTCCGTGCCCAAGTACACATATAACCCGCCATTCCGCCCATCCGGCCATGCCATTTTGGTATTCGAACTCTTCACCATGAGCGACGTGACCACTGCCATCACGTCGGCCTGTGGCTATAAGCCGCGCGATGATGAGCAATTAGGCACATGCGCCGTAAAAGCCTCTGGATCCGAGGTGCAGAATACCGACCCCCCCGCGAACCAACGACGACGCCACTCCTTCTTCCTACCTCGAAGAAAATCAATAGTAGAAACCATCATGGAAGGCGAGGAGGGCCTGCTGCTCAAGGTGGACTTGTTTCTCTCCGAGCTGGAGCGCCGCTTGGACTTTATCGAAAGCTACTATGACGACCTTGGCAGGGACTATAGTTTCTCTCGCGCATTTTCGACTCTACAGGCCGTCAGGACAAGGTGCTCCCAGGCTTCCGAGGAGGTTATCGGTGCTGGTAGGCGGCGCCTGCAAATCATGGTGGAGACGCTGGAGATGCGCTACCAGGAGACTTTGACTGCCGCCGAGTCTATGCACGAGAAGGCTCGTGTCGGCGTTGATCTCCTTGAGGAGATGCTCTCTGAGTTTGAGGCACGGGCGCACAAGCTGCGGGAGCAAGGTCTGGCCGGTGCCACGACCGCTGCGGAAGCCTTCATGGATGAGGGCCGCCGTGTTGCTCACGAAAGCATCGAAAGGGCGAGGGGTGTCATGGACGAAGGTCTCGAGAGGGCCAGACGAGCCGCGCTATCCCTGGAGGAACACATCCAACAGGCCGTTGCAAAGGCGAGGGAGACACGCTTGCTTCACTATAACGACTTGCCCATGCCTTGGCGCAACAATCCTCACATCACCAAGGGCTATCGCTTCACCGAAACCAAGATTGAATGCGTCCAGTCGGCCTTCAACATATCCAACGAATTCATCAACATCTGGTCTCACGCCATTGGCCTTGTCCTTGTTCTCGCCGTGGCGCTCTACTTCTACCCGGCCAGCGCCAACTTCTCCCTGAGCTCAAAAAGCGACGTCTTCGTTGCCGCCGTCTTCTTCGTCATGGCCTGCCTCACCTTGGTCTGCTCCACCATATGGCACACCATGAACGCCGTTGCCGACGTCGACGCAATCTCCATCTTTGCCTGTGTCGACTACACGGGAATCTCGCTGCTGATCGCAGCATCCATCATGACCACCGAGTACACCGCGTTTTACTGCGACCCGCTGAGCAGATGGGTGTACATGACCCTGACAGCCGTCTTGGGCATCGGAGGTGTCATTCTCCCATGGCACCCGAAATTTAACGGCACAGACATGGCCTGGGCCAGAGTGGCTTTCTTCGTTGGACTCGCCTTGACAGGGTTCATGCCGATGCTGCAGCTGTCGCTGACCCACGGGCCCGATTTCGTCCTCACCTTTTACTCGCCAATCTTCAAGTCCATCTTGGTCTACTTTGTCGGCGCCATCGTCTACGCGAGCAAGATTCCCGAGCGCTGGTGGCCAGGCATGTTCGACTATGTTGGGGGCAGCCACAATCTGTGGCATGCTGCTGTCCTAGGAGGCATCCTGTTCCACTACACGGCCATGCAGACCTTCTTCTCGAATGCTTTCCACCGCGCGGAAGGCGGTTGTCCCGCATACTAACGTATTTCAACGAACAGGACTTGGCTGGGGTTTCAGACCGGAGAACCAGCAATCACAAACGGCATGAGGGACGGAAGGTACTTGATGAAGCAAGCACGTTATCGCACGACGTAGTGAGGTATGAGGTGGGAATGAGAGTTTTTTCACTTCTTCAGACGGGGACCGTATCCTCCCTGTCTTGGCTGCATTTGCGCCAGCGATTCTTGAACAATAAGCATTTACATTGGGCGTTTCGGGCATTTACGGAGCATTTGTGTAAAATTAGAAGGGTGCATAACTAGTAAAAGTAAGGACTAGAATACATGCTAGCGTTGCTTTCTATCAAGTCCAAACTTGAACATGTCATTAGAAAGACAGGATGACCAAATGGACGTGCTCCGTTGCAGTGATTAATATACATGCTCGCTACCCATCTTATTGTACAAGTACCAACATACTTCTGTAATCCTTCTTCTGCCTCAGTGATCCCGATATTTCCAAACATTTCAGCCCAAAGAACCTAAATCTGCACATATTCCACGGGTTCCTACCCCGCTTTCTTACCCATTCATTCATATCCCCGTCCATATTGCCCCATCATCAATCATCAATCATAGCTAGGGTTGACCTAGCTAGTAACCAGACAACTGCATCCTCGACGCCCTGGAAGTTGTTGACAAGAAAAAAGAAAAAGGTACAGTGATATTATTATCGTAGAAGTAGTCGCATGGCTCGGTAGCAGGAGACAATACGAATCTGACATGTATTGGTACAAGTCATGCCATTCACATTGCGTGCGAGGCAATTTCCGAGTATACATCATCGGGAATCTTCTTGATGATTCCAATGGTAACGCTCTTGATCAAGTCGGAGTTCAAGGCTGGAAATGACCTGAGGACTTTGTTTGGACTGATCAACACGTTAGTATATATGATGGGACGACTGCCTAGGTAGTTAATACTGAGCAACTCACCTTGGAGACTGGAGAATCTGCGACCTCATTATGGTCAGCTGTGCCACGATACATAGGATGTTCAGGTGCGGGCCGTATGCAAATAAAAAGTCCCAAAGCCGCAAGACTTCTGGCAGTGGCGGCGTACAAGCACAGAGAGTCAAGACTGAAGGAAACGCATAAATCTCAGCCGAGAGTCCCTTGGCGGTAAGGTACATGCTGAGCTTGGGGTCTACAATAGCAAGCACTTTATCGACGAGCGCCAGGCCGCGATGCACACCGTCCATGGCTCCACGGATATACGCAGGACACTCCTTAGTAAGGAGGGAGTGGAACGCAACAAAGGCTTCGGCCTCACTGCGAGCAGCGTATAAGAACGGGGCCGCCAGGACATTCATGCCTTGTACGTAGGTGCCGGGCTCCGGGCCGGTGCCAGACTCTGCTCAGGATTAGTAAGTGGAAAAGACGTCCAGTAGCAAGTTGAGCTCACAGAACTCAACTAGCAAATAGTTTAACATACTGGCCTGGGAATGCCCGGAAATGCTTCCTCCAAGACTCTGTCTCGGATGTGTCGAATGGCTGCTACTCGGTCGACTGCTCTGCCGCTCCTCCTCCTTGGCATCATGTAACCGCCATGCTATGGCATTTAGGAGCCGGATTAAGCTTGCCTCGCTAACCCTTCGTCGGAACAAAGGGTCTGTGGTGAGGGTTCTGAAGGTGTCGTTGCGAATTTTGGAATATGCTGGCGAAGCACCTCGGTGTATCAAGCCAAGGTATTCATCCGTGGGCATGATGGGGGTATCTAAAAGAACCAGCCAAACGTATATCCTCAACGGCGACTGCAAGTAAACTGGTTAACATTTCGTCATGAGCAAGGTGGCAAGCACGATGGCGAAGCTAAGAAAGCCAAGGGGCACCATACCATCCCATCCTCTGCACTTTTGATACCCTCATCCACAACCTTCCACCGGGCACTTTCTAGAGCGCCCAAGAAGTCACCGTCGCTCGGCCCATCGCGGAATATTTGCTGGAGTGACAGGTGCCCGTGTGAAAAAACGGGCTTCTTCATGCTGGAGCGTTTCAACCCGGCCACAGCGCCCATATGGTGCATCAATGGCGAAGTAGCATCGCTGTTGGCGCGAGCCCGCTGAGGGGAGCGAGTAGCCTTTGGGTTCCGGGTTGGGGAGGCATTCCGCTGTAAGTCTCGACGCTGTTGTGAAATAAGAGACGGCTGGTTGGATGACCTTGCAGCCCCAAGAGTGTGAGCAGATTGTAGCCGTCGCAGAGCTCGATGCGTTCGTGGAGATGGAGGGACTTGGAGGTCGATGTGTCCCGGGGCGGGGAGCGATGTAGGTTGCGAGAATGAAGAGGGTGGAGGGTTCACCTCTCGTGAGGGGCTAGGCATGGCTGTAGATGGATCAACGGCACACCGTGGCACGACGATACATGGCAATTCAACGACGACGGTCAACTCGAGCAGTTGTCAGCAGAGACGCCAGACGCGAGACGCGATGGGTGCATAGGCTGGTGGAGGCGTGGTGGGTTAGGCACAACTAGACACATGGCGGGGAAGGCTGGGATCACGTCACAAGGCCACACAAGTCGCACGGCCGTCTCGAGCGTGGCCGGTTCGACAGCGCAAGTTGCTCCTTCCCCGAATGGTAGTTCTCTATTCTCTGGAGGCTGTGTCGATTTTGGCAAAACACCTCAGATTCGACTCGACTAATATCACATTTCACCTGGCATCGTTTGGCCTTGCAATCGACATGAGCACTGTCCCCTTCCAGACCCTGGCTCGGAAGCCTCCCTGCATGCCTTATTGTCTTGCGAGCATCGCGAAGAAACATCTTGACCGATGGAGGGCCGAATGACTCGATCAGACCAATTGACGCCACTTGCAATGCACGACGATACTGTGGCCAAGGGCACAATTTGAGCTTAACGAGTGATGGCCTGCGCAGAGCTGCCCGTGTGAGCAAACCAGGTGAGCTAGGCCCTGCGTAAGCCCTGCCTCATTGTACATACACTTCCTTTCGTTGGCTCAAGCGTATTCTGAGCCAACCTTTGCATCAACTGCCCGCCTGCGTTTTGGGGCGACGAATATGTCAAGAAGTGATATTGCGAGACTGGTACCTACACCGAGGCCAGAAGTTGCATCAAACGCGAGTACCGACGCCGACTGTCGTGCACTTTGTGGCCTTGGCGACTCACTCGTCACATGCCGTCGCCCGAGGTATTGGAGGTCTCGAATCTGCATGTCTTTGTGACGACAGCTCATTCGTGGCAGTGGAATATATACAGCCGGCGCTTTTTGCGGATCTAGGAGACAAAGAAAGTAGCCACATTTATCACTCGCAGAAGACGATAGCACCCTGCGCAACTTCAAAACAGTGGTCATGCGATACGGCATCGTGAATGCAGAGGTCACTTTGTCACCACATTCTAGACCGCAGTTGGACCAGAGAACTGTCTCACCAAACGGTAATATTAGATCAAGGGCATTCCATGATACGGAATGCACAATGAACCAAATGTAACATGGATCAGTCTGGTCCTTGGAAATTTACAGTTGTGGTCAGCGCTTGTCTTGGGATGTTCCATTCTAAGGGTTCATGATATGGGATTGGCGGCCCAAGGTTGTTTCTATTTATGGAAGGTTTCAGCTGGTTGTTTGGATTGTCTCTAAAGGACTTTGACCAGCGACAGGTCGAATGAGATAACGACATGGAGCTCGAATACAGCGGGAGGCAAAAGGTATTTGACCAAATCGGATACCTGGCTATCGCGCTCTACACTACAATATTAGTGTATACATACTTACTTGATACATTACATTCTGCCACAGACTGAAGCTACGTGGCCAGCAGACCCCAGATAGCCGCCCAGTGGATTTGCGGCACATTCATGCATCAGTCTAGAAGGTGAAGCACACACTCGGGCATTTTATGATGGCATTGAGTGATGGTTGGCTAAGTGTGCTCCGTACATGCCGTTTATTTATTTACATGGGTACAGTTCGAAACTTGTGCATACTGAATCCAGATATTGAGGATTTGTGGTGTACGGAGTGCATACACGTGCTTGCTGACAAAGTCCGGGCACATATGTACTTGACCTCTCCAGTTCCTTTTGAGAGCGCTCGACGCTGCTCTCCCCCAACAGGCCGTTATATGTCTGGTACTACCACGCAATGGATAGCCAAGGCAGTCAAGTCAAGTCGAGTTTGATTAGAAGCTTGAAGCAGCCATCTCCGCTGCACTATGCTGTTCACGGCCACCAGGCGATTGCGACATCTCCAAGTTGTGGGGCCAGTCGAGCACCTCATCGCGCAAGCGCATTTTGATGTCGACCGTCTCAACAGTCCCAGGTCGAAGAAGCCATATACGCACGCCCCCGAAATTTTAAGGAAAGAGATTTTCTGCTGATGAATCCGTTCGATACACCTCCGGGAGATGATTCCCCCCCTCACTGGCATCCCGCCATGGCTACCGCGGACACGTCGACGATCAAGTGACAAAAAGTCCTACACACCAGTGACACCACCATCTGAGACGACGCATTTGGCACTTGGCTGGCTTTTTCACTATTGATGTCTTGAACCGAGCGGTTTGGAATGAACCCCTGCACTCCCGTGCTTGCTGCCGCTTTCTGGCCCGTATTTCGCTCGTGTTACTTGTCCCCTCACCACAATGTTGGCAGACGAGGCATGATACCAAGGTCAGGCTGGTCGCGCGGCACCCTCGGCTTGTCGGCCTACCAAGGGCTCATGATTCTATAATTACATGTATGGGCTACTCCCCTTGGTCGACTTCCGTGACAAGACCGGGAGATCGGCATGTTGACGCACGGATCTAAGCCAGATCGTCCTGGGTGAAGGTGCTTACCTACGATTTCTTATACTCGCCGCCTCTCCTCCGGTCCACAAGCTACGACATTCCTCCACATTTCTTCCACTTTTGTTATATCAGTTGTCTTTCTCTCCTCTTCCCTCTTGGGCAATCTGATCTCCCTTGTGTATTTATTCCCTGCCCTTGGCTCTCGGCCTTCATCTGCTCTGTTTGTCGAACTCGAGACCTACCTACTCTCCCCCGGTCCTCTGGATCCAGTCCTTGATGCCTGCAACACACGTCATCGCAACATCATGATGTCGTAACAAGAGGCCCTGATATACTATACACCTTTTCCATGCAATCCTGCAGTGATATCAACCTTGATTGAGACTCAACCGCTACCCAACCATGCCCTCCTTGGCAACCAAAACAGGCCATGCCTTGGCCAAGATTCTTGGCATCACACTCGAGGATCCCAACGAAGACGCCGCAGCACCTGTCACCAGAGGAGAGTCAGTTCTCTCCATTCAAACCAGTGACAGCTTCGTCGAAGGGGCCCCTGCTACATCTGAATGGCTTCACGATCAAATACCCACGCGGCAAGAAGTCGGTGAATATGCCAAGTCCTTGTTTCCCTTTCTGTCCTGGATAGGACACTACAACCTCCAATGGTTCGCTGGCGATGTTGTTGCCGGAATTACTATTGGCGCCATTGTCGTGCCGCAGGGTATGGCATATGCCCTGCTGGCCAAGCTGGAGCCTCAGTTTGGCCTCTATTCCTCCTTTATGGGCGTCATAATCTATTGGATATTCGGAACATCAAAGGATATCTCTATTGGCCCTGTAGCTGTCTTATCTACAGTTGTGGGAAGCGTTGTTGAAGATGTTGCCTCATCCCCAGATACCAAAGACATACCGCCGCATGTCATCGCCTCGGCTCTGTCCATCATTGCTGGGTGTATTGTTCTGGGAATCGGCCTTTTAAGATGCGGGTGGATCGTTGATTTAATTTCCATCACCTCCCTGTCAGCTTTCATGACTGGATCTGCCATCACCATTGCATCTAGTCAGCTGCCAGCGCTGATGGGTCTGACTGGCTTCTCAAATAGAGATCCTGCGTACATGGTCATCATCAACACTTTAAAACACTTACCCGAGACAAGACTTGACGCGGCCATGGGACTGACGGCACTATTCTTCCTCTACCTCATTCGATTCACTCTCACGTCGGCTGCGGAGCGATTTCCTACTCACAAGAGAATCATCTTCTTTATGAATACTATGCGAACTGTCTTTATCATCCTTCTGTACACCATGATCAGCTGGCTGGTCAACATGCATCGTAGGGAACATCCACTGTTCCGTGTTCTTGGAACTGTTCCAAAGGGTAAGACGAGACAAACCCTCGATCTCAGTCATTAGCAGGGCTCTTGGCTAACCAAATGGCAGGTTTCCGCAATGCCGCTGTCCCAGATCTGTCAAGCAACGTGGTCTCACATTTTGGCTCCCATCTACCCGCGACCGTCATTGTCATGCTCGTTGAGCACATTGCCATTTCCAAATCTTTTGGCAGAGTCAACAACTATTCTATCGATCCTTCACAGGAAATGGTTGCCATTGGCATGACCAACATTCTAGGGCCCTTCCTCGGCGCATATCCATCTACGGGCTCTTTTAGCCGCACGGCAATTCAATCAAAGGCCGGCGTTCGCACCCCGGCTGCCGGTATTGTCACTGGAATTGTCGTTCTCTTGGCCACATACCTTCTGACAGCAGTCTTCTTCTACATTCCCAGCGCCACGCTTGCAGCTGTCATCATCCACGCCGTCGGTGATCTCATCACGCCTCCGGATACAGTTTACCAGTTCTGGCGCGTTTCTCCCATCGAAGTATTTGTCTTTTTTGTTGGTGTTTTCGTCAGTGTCTTTGCTCAAATCGAGGACGGCCTGTATGCCACCGTCGCCATTTCAGCCGCCATTCTCATATACCGCATCTTAAAGGCCCGAGGACGGTTCCTCGGCAAAGTACGAGTCCACTCCGTTCTTGGTGATCACATTATTGGTGAGGATCATAACAAAGTATACGGAGAATACGGTACATTCGACGGAGCGGCCGAGGTCTCTGCACGCAATATATTCCTTCCCCTGGATCATGGAGACGGCTCCAATCCTGAGGTAGAACTAGAGAGTCCTTACCCTGGAATCTTCATTTACCGCTTCTCCGAAGGGTTCAACTATCCCAATGCTAATTTCTCACTGGACTATCTCACCGACGTTATTTTCTCACAAACGAAGCGTTCCAGCCCCGAGAGTTTTGAACGCGCGGGTGACAGGCCTTGGAGCAACCCGGGGCCTGGAAAATCCGCCAAATCTCGCCAAGATCTAGAAGTCGACAGACGGCCTACACTGAGGGCCATCATTTTGGACTTTAGTTCTGTCAACAACGTCGACATCACCTCTGTCCAGCGACTCATTGACGTTCGTAATCAGCTGGATATGTACGCTTCCCCCGGCGTGGTAGACTGGCACGTTGCATGCATCAATAATCGCTGGACGAAGCGTGCCCTCATGGCCGGAGGTTTTGGCATCCCCACAAAGACTGATGATGGCCTGCATCACAGATGGAGGTCCATCTTTAGCGTGGCTGAGATCGGCGGAAAGGACTCTGCCGCGGCTTTGGCAGAGGTTGCTGCCAACGAAAGGGAGCTACAGGCAAGCCAGTCGCGAATGAGTGAATTAGACGAGGAGATGGGCCAGAGCTCTGATTCGGAAGAAGGCTTGCCTAAACCGGGCGATGAGAAGGCAGAAGGTGCAGCAAAACAGAAAAGACGTGGGGCGGTTGTTCACGGGCTGAATAGGCCCTTGTTCCATGTAGACTTGACCAGCGCGGTCCAGAGTGCGATTGCGAATGTGGAGGCTAGAGAGGAGTTTAGGGCTGCTTCTTTGTCGTCGTCGTTTTGATCTATATTGGCATATTTTGTTCTAAGCAAACGTATTGGAGTTTGGGCATGATAGATTTAGCGGAGGCATAAGCGGGCATTTTGATACACTAGATACACGTATTTCAAGCCATAATATCGTGAAATCTGGTTTATGATCTATGCTGTGTCTCCACCGCATATATGAGTGCCTTTTCAATGTTTATAGGCATGACTATTACAGAGGATGTGGCGTTTGGTGCCGCTCATGGGTAGCCAGTGACCTGAAGGACATGACTGAAGTTTGACGATTTGTTAGTTTGTCTTTTATTTGATGACTAGATAAACCATTTTCCCCTTGGCTATCAAAAATATTCATTCAAACTCTGGATAATGTGGGAACTGCAACTGTGATGATGGGACCGTTAAAACGAGTCCAAGCAGTCACCTGATTTCGCGTCCGTTTCGCCACGCAATTCACGCCCCGCCAACTTGTCTCATCAAACTCACCGACGTTGCAGACGAATTTGAAACCTCTCGTCAGCATCCGAGTGTCCTGCGTGTAAAAAAAAGAAAAAAAAAAGAGCAAAACCACATCTGTCATTTGAGTCAATTCGTTGTGCTGAGACCGAGAGACTGGTCACTACAGCCTTGTCGTCATTTACAATGCCCATTGGAATCTAGCGACTCAATGCCAAGAAGTCGCAACCAAACGCCAACATCGTCTTTATCAAACCACTGCCTGGTTTGAATGAGAAGACGGCCCAGGGATTCCTTGAAAGAATTGCCGCACAATGCCGTGAGCCTCACCCCACGAGTCCTGTTCTTACGACAACTAACATTACCAGTCCCCGTCATGCGGAAACACCACATATCAGTCATGACCCTGGAAGAATACGAACCAAATCGCGAGTTTGTAGGCCGCAATTTCAATGCTGGTGAAGTGATTCAACTTGTTCTCCGGTCCCCCTCAACAGGCCGCTGGCTCCCATTCGAATACGTCCAAATGGTCATGATGCACGAACTAGCGCATTGCCAGCAAATGAACCACTCCCGCGCTTTCTGGGCGGTAAGAAACCAGTACGCCGCGCAGATGTACGAGCTCTGGAAGGAAGGATACACAGGAGATGGAATCTGGGGCCGTGGTGCGAGTCTGATGACAGGGGAGTGGGAGCGGAATCAAGTACAGGCAGACGAGGCTCTTCCAAAGCATTTGTGCGGGGGGACATACCGCTCCAGACGGAGGAAGAGAAAGACCAAGCCTGCCTTGTCGTACAAGGAGCGCAAAGAGCGGAGGATCTTAAAGAAGTTTGGGAAGAATGGGATGGCGCTGGGGGCGGATGAGGAGACAAAGACGAAGCTGGAGAAAGGGAAGAGGGTGCAGGCAAAACCGAGAGTGGCGAGCAGTGCGCGGGGGCGGGAACTACGAGCTGCTGCAGCGCTGGCGAGGTTTGAGCAGAAAAAGGTGGAGGTGGAGGAGGAGGAGGAGGAGACGGTCAAGGAAGAGACGGGGTCTGGGAGTGAGGGCGAGTATGACGACGATGCTAGTGATGGTGATGGCGAGGCCGCTGTTGATGTCGACGGTTCAACGTTGAGGGATAGCACGGGCAGAGGGATGGTCAGAGTATGTCAAGACGAGGATACCAGTGATCCTGATGCCCGGAATGAACTAGGCCAGCTGGCAGAGGTGTTTAAGCGGGCAAGGAGGGGTGATGCTGGAGGCATAAGCTCGCAGACAGTACGGGTGAAGGCGGAACCGGAAATGGAGGCTCCCTCATCCTCGTGGTCGACAGGCGCAAAGACAGAGGCCATTCAGGGTGGTCCACGACTTCACGACATACCGGTTGCGCCCCCGGCGGCACAAATTGACAAAGGGCCCTTCAAACAGGAAACCAGCGGTCCTTCGCAGCTAGCATCGGTACAGAGCATTTCAGCATGCTCAACGTGCTCCTTCATCAACCCTTCATCAGCACCAACATGCAACATGTGTGCCAATGTTCTCGACCCAACCCACACACCGAATTCCTGGCGTTGCACCAGCACAGCGTGTACAGACAGCAAATATGTCAACTCTGGCGACTGCGGCGTCTGTGGTCTCTGTGGACGAAGACGAATATAAAACCTGTCGCAAGACAAAGTAATGGGCAACGAGTGATGAGTCTTTGTATATACAGGTGGCAATGTCCACCAAGGCATCTACTAAAACCATGGTTATACGCTCAATTTCCTTTATTCACTTTTCCGCCAAATCTAATCGCATTTTTCAATGCACACTGGCCCCTTGGGGGCCGTCTGGCCTGCTGATGCATGCAAGTCGTACGATTGGTCTCATCTCACATGCATATTTCAGCAACCATCGTTTCATGTACACATGGAACCACAGAATGGCCGCATTGGACACGGCGAACCATACCAATTGAAAGACAGAGTGTGATCTGGAGGAGTACAAATCGTGTCATTTGAGTGGTGGGCATCCCTGGATCGCAGACGGGATTGACTGTCTGTGTTGGGCACGGGGGACATGAGACTTGTTTGAAGAGCGGCAGTTGGAAGTTGGACGACGAGTGGTGTTTGACGGAATAGAATATCTTTCATTCTTTGTCATTCCTCTGCTGCTCACTCGCATTGTTCCGTTCTCGACGGTCGAATTGTCTAGATTCATTTGGCATTGCTTTGTACGTGCGCGGCGGTATACCGTGGTACACTTTGCACATACGCATAGCGAATACGGCAAACCGCCAGTACTTTACAATCATCACATCAATGCCGTGAGGTTCTTACAATCTGCCTTACTAGCCAGCCTGGCCGTGTTAGCAGCGGCCAAGAAACTTCCCGCCGCACAAGTTCTCAAACTACCATTCATGCCCCGAATCCCGAGCCAAGCAAAGCACATGGAGGTGCTGCGAACTCGCTCGGCCCTCCCGGCGCCAGATACCAGCGCCGTAATATCTACAACTTGCGTAGACGCAAGCCAGTTCGTGATTAAACTGGGTATATTATCTTCGCGGGCGATGACGGGCTGACAACGTCTTGCAATCAGGGAGATAGGTGCGCACGACGAAAATGAGGCCCAGCTAAGCACCTGCGGCGGCATGCCCGTATCAATACACGCGTGTCGAGGCGCTCCAGCGACGACAGGACGGGCCCGGACGGCGTTGTTCAGCGTGTCTCCTGCCGGTACAGATGACACTATTGTCATTTCTAGCGGCAGCGGCTTTGGTATATCCATCCCGCGAGGCCGGCGTTTCCTGGTGGAAGCCTATCGGCTGTATGTGCTGGATGGGCATCGAGTGGTGGGAATGTGGCATTTACGTTGCGCAAGCCGTAAGCATTAAGCAAATAACGGGGAAAAGACTGGAGAACTGCTCGCATAGGCTATAATTAGCCTCGGACACAATGCGTTACATATCTCGTTGGGATGAGTCCAACATAAGGAAATACTAGCGTTCTTGCTTCGAGAACCCTTGCTCCCGAATGTTGATTCCGACGATCCGGAGCCAAGGTACGTCGGATATGCTGCAAGCCTCCATCCGTTCCGTTGCTGTTGGTTTACATGTTTACGACGGACACTGGATCTGATCGATGATGCCAGGGCGTCCGTGTATTTAAAGAGACATCCGGGTCCGTATCTCGGGTGTGTGGGGACACATTAGGGCGAGTCTGGGGTCATTTAGGCAGATGATGACTAGTTCATGTGGATTTGGGGCCCTTATTTTCTTGTAGAAGATGATGCATCAGTTCTCAGCAGTCTTTGGACAGCTTTCCTCGTTTGAAGCCAGACTTGTTTGTTAAGGTTTTGGGCCACCACGGAGAGCGGAGAATGCATGTGGCTACGGAGCCATGAGGAGGGGAGGGCTATGAAGCGACCTCAAATAACCAGCATATTCGAAGATGGCCCGTGATGTTTCAGACGGGACAGATTGCCGGGGTATACAAATACTCGTTGTAGGTAGGCAACGATGTCGTGTTGTCTTTTGCGTCAAACATTGGCACATGGGGGGTTGGGTTATTCGTCATCAACAGTTCCTGTGCGCCGCGTCGCGCAACGCATCGTGATCCATGCCTGAGGCACAAACGAAACACTGATGTGGCAAAGGTGCCATGTGCTCTCATGGCAATAAACGTACTACGTAGCAGGTATTATGCAACAATGGGCAAATGCAGATCTGGCCTGGCTGCCATCCCTTTGCGCAGTCCGATTCTGTATCGGACCAGGATTCTAGCCAATGATAAGCACTGGTTGAAGAGATACATTAACTTACGAGGAAATTATCTAGTAATAAAAGTACCCAAAACCTTAAAGCTAAGTACATAACAATATAAAAGATCTACTACTTGTTCTCACTGCTAAGAAGGTACCTTCCGGTATTGTAAAAGAAGTGGGTACACAAATACAACAGCGATTGTCCTGTGCACATTCAAAGGGCAGGCGATTTTTATGTGATGAAGTGACAGGAGCTGGCACTGAAAAAGGTGAGGAGACCCTTGCGACCTCCCAGGGTTTGTTGCGGGGTACCGAACGGCGTACCCAATTGGTACTAGCACTCCGTACCCTGAGCCGTGCTTGCAGGGATATTACCCCGCAAAGTGCTTCCATTGGATGGCGTCTCTCGTTGTCCCAAGCAGCCTAAAAGTGTGCAGGTACGGAGAACTAGTACTGCCCGAGTTGGGCTTGCAGTCTCTGGCGATGGATTGATTGTCCCTCCTGCATTGTGCGGAGTAGTCGCAACAAAGTTAGGGGCGGACTGGGTACTTAGAGTACTTTATGTGAAGTACCTAGGTACTCCGTGCCTGTGCAGAGCCTTTGGGCTTAACCCTAACCATTAGCAACATTTGAAAACCATCACCAGCAAGTACACCATCATCACCTGCAGCATCATCTGGAATTCTCCCCACTCCCAGCGGCAGCGGCCAAGCCTGCACTCTACGGAGTACCGAGTCCCACAGCGAGTGTCGTACACTTTCCCAGTGTGATTCTGACAGGACGTCCTAGGCTTCGACCTGAAGATGGGTGGGTGGCCTGCTCGGTAACTACATGTCGTACGGTTGCTGCGCCAGATTTCGAGTGGCCACGACGAGCCATGGCGTTGATAGTTCTGGGTGCCGCTCCGTAGGCAGTGGGGATACCGATTCAAACTCTCGAGTGTGCCAAACCAAGGTGGGAGAACGCCACCCATCAGGACTGACAAGTAGGGTTGCTGCCGTGGAACAACATGGTTTCCAGATGCACCTCCACTTGACCTGCACACACCCAGAGCCATGACTGATGCCATTCGGTAAATAGAACTGTCCCGCCGAAATCTGTTTGGTCGAATGAGTATCCTCCTCGAGCCAGCCCTTATCAGCCCCTCAAGCCATGGCTCGACGGACCACTGTGGCCGGTTCCAAGGTGAAAAGGGCGAAAGGACAAGTCCACGAATGAATGACGATGCAACGGCTAGCCGCAGGCTTGCAGAAGCTCCTTGCAAGACTGCCAATCCGACCAGACGTCTTTGACGCCCGGCCAACCACAGCTTCGTCTATGGGGCCGGCGGAAATGTCGCCGTTCCTGGCTCGTGCCAGACTCATTCTCATCGTCCTACTCCGTACTCCGTAGTGCGTACGGAGTACATGAAGACGGAACCCAACACCAATCGGCAGTTGTACAATCTTGCCAAGCTGTACCAAGGCAGTAATTGGCAGCGCCTAGCAAGCCCACGAGTCCCTTCATCCCCACCATGTCGAGCCCATCCTTCAGGATAGAGATGGCAGCGGGCCCAAGAGATCTGAGTCGCATTGGTTAGGGCTCCTCACCCGGTTCCACCGATCGCGGCCAGCGGGCCTGTCGACGTCACCGGCTGCCTTTGAAGGCGTCAACTTGGTGTTGAGATCTGTTTGGTGCATGCCAGGATGAAGCTTGTTATTGTCCTATTCTCGACTTTGATGGGTTCCACCTACATGGCCGAGCTCTCCACCGCCCAATCCGTTGCTTGCGTTTGCGTGCTTGGGCGGGAGCTTGGGGTCGATCGCCTAGTCACCGTTCGTAGCTCCAAAGCTATCTATGTACAATACCAAACCCTCCAACCGGGATGGATCGTGTCGACCCCTCTCTTCACCGTGTTTGACAGCCGACGGCGGTTTGAGGTGTCGCATCTGGGCGACTAGGTGCCACCCTTTTAGAGTTGGTCCTTATCCTGTCTGCTGCTGCCCAATATGTAAAGAGCACACACTGTGTGTGGATGGTGACTCTCAAGCAAGGTGGATGAGGTCGTCATTGCATGACACGGGAGCTGCAAATGGGAAATCGGCCAGCTGCTGAAACCAGTTTGCCTCAGGACAGTGGTATTGCCCTGTTCTGTTGGCATGATGTGCCATGATATGCCCCCCTCAAGGCTCTCGTCTGACCTGATCTCGCCTGTGCCCTGCACTGAAGTGAGCCCATTATCCATGATCCATCAGCCGTCCCCCACACGCTCCGCTACGTCCGTCACTCATTCCAGGCCCTCCGCTCTCGGTCCTCACGGAGGTGATGGGTGCCGTCCGTCACTCATCAGTCCATCGATCCATCAACCCATCAGTCGTGCGCCCTCCCATTCACAACCATTCTAACTTCTGTCCGTCCCTCTCTCCTGTTCTTCGCATTTCCGCGTCGAGCTCATGTTGGTTGACTCGCGGCATTGCACTAACGGTACTCCGTACGTTGTTCTGGTCAAGTCCCCTCTCACCATCTGTTGGCGTCAACTCTGTCCCTTCTCGGCACCACACAGTCCGTTGTATCTTCTCTCTGCATCCACCCCCTGCCCAAAGTATTTTGAGTAAGACAAATACCACTGAGGCACGGTTCACACTTCACACCACCCCGCGCTTGCACCTCGACTCTCTCCGCCGTTCCTTCCACTACTTCTACCTCGCTCTTTCCTATCGTCGCTCTCACTTTCCCAACCTAAAAAAAGGTTGCCCCCCTTTTTGGTCTGGCTGCTTGTTTTATCTATCCGTCGTTCCTTCCAGCTCATACATCATACGCACAGCCTATTGGCGCTTTTCCCAACTGCTTCTTGCGCAGCAGATACCTTGTTTCTCTCAGCCCCCCTCTTACGACTCTGTCTATCCGTCAGCACGCTTTCTAGTCTCGACCATCTC